ATAAATTAAAGATAAAGTGTACAAAGTTTCCTTTTTCCATGCAAAAAATGCCAAACAATACGTCACCGTTCCCTCGCTTCCTGCGTGCTACATTTACGTATTAATCAAGACATCAAATCTCTCACCTCCTGCCATTTCCATGATGAACCCAGAAAACCCTAAATTGAATTGAAAGTTGAAGCCAACCGTACACAAAAATGATGAGACGAAATGGGATGAGAGAGAGAGAGAGAGCCCTCAGCCAAACCCAATTCGTCAAACCTTGTTATATATAGCCTGTGTAGCATTCATTTGGATTTTGCTCTTCAATAGTCCACACCACATATATATGTGGCTCCTACCAAACATTCCAGCTAAGAAATCAATTATCTCAAATCAACCTCACGTTACAGTTTTACCCCCTTGGGATTGTCCAAAACCTCACCTTCCTACCAGCTAGCAGTAACAGTAGCAGTGCAGGCAGGCAGGCAGGCAGAGGCAGTGTCTCAAGCCAGGAACCCACGTTGGCAAAGACTAAAAAGAATATATTAATTATTAATTGCATTTTACAAACACTGGTTTTTGTAATTATCTGTGCTTTACGTCACTCTAAGCCAAGAACCCACGTTGGACTGTCCATTGCCTTTTGGCATATATGAAAATTTTGTCTTCCCAAGTGCACTATTTGAAGACACTTTGATCTTTTTTATTGGTTGGAAAACTGGTTTTTTCTTACCAGAAAAACTAAAATATATGCTTCATTCATATTTATCTGTGAAAACTAAAAATCTTTGTAATATAATTAAGCATGAAATGACATAAGCCTGCATAAAGTACATTGTGGGATAAGAACTTTAAGCTATGCATGTCTGAGGCATTGCAGCGGAAAGGGTAAAACCAAATTGACTGATGAGTTGAATTGGTGCACAATTAATTGAAAGAAACAGAGAAAAAGAATTCTGATTTTTCAGAACTTGGATGCTGCAGCAACCAGCCGAATCCTCATCATCTTTCAAATCCAAAAACAGAGATCAAAGGGGTGGCACCGTGGCAGCACAGAGAGAAGAAAACACCACAAGGTCGAACAACACCTTTTAATTCCAATCGATCATGCATTCATTGCCATCAGGAAAAAAAAACCCAGTTGCATAATGATTTTTGCTTCAATTTTACATGAATAAATTGTGTATAAATATTTTATATTGCAGGCAGGGCATCACGAGAGTGTCAGAGGGAGGAGACATTGAGGTATCTTTTCCTTTTTAGGACACGTCGCTCCAGAAAGTTATGAGAGAGAGAAGAAGGAGACGAATATTGTTGAGCTTGAGATTGAGACACTGCTTTTTCTTTTACTAGAAGAAAAGAAAGAAAAAAGCTTTTCCCAGAATCCGGAGTTGCCCATTGGAGCAGTGAAGATCCGAGCGTTTCAATCGCTTTCCCACCACTGTTTTCCTTGGCTTTTTTTTTATTTTCTTTTTTGGCACTTTTCTGGTGAGAATCTGATTCTACCGAGGTGACAGAGGTGAGTTTACTCGTTCCTCTGTTATTATTTTACTGTAATTTTTTTGGATTATCTGCTAAGTGGAACTTCCTAATTCCTATTATTAAACTTGGGATTTGTGGCACAAACTCCATCTGTCTTTTTTCTTTGTTCAAAAAAATTCAAAAACAAATGAGAGAGAGAGAGAGAGAGAGAGAGAAAATTCCCCTGTTTTTTTCAAAGATTTTATTCTTTAACAACTCTGTTTCACCACTTTCCGCAACAAGGAAAGCTACTTAAGATTGTGAGCTGTAAGCCTGAAACCGACCTTGTCTCTTCCTCTAAACACTTCAACTTTCAACTGCGTTTTACTTAGTCTTCACATTCAATCTTTTAAAACCATTCTCTTCCTCTTTTTTCTTCTCTCTCTGTCTTATCTCTCTCAGCTCAAACAGAGTGCTAGTGTGAAAATGGGCAGAGCAACAAGGTGGTTGAAGGGGTTGTTTGGAATTAAGACCAAAGACAAAGAGCACAAAGCAAATTCAAGTTCCAGTGACTTCAAAGACACGAAAGGGTCAAGCTTTGGGAGAGAAGATGCAACCCTACTGTGTCACAACCCAGCCACTATACCTCCCAACATATCACCATCTGAGGCAGCTTGGCTGAGATCATACTACAATGAAACAGAGGGGGAGCAGAACAAGCACGCAATTGCTGTGGCAGCTGCGACGGCCGCCGCTGCTGATGCCGCAGTTGCTGCAGCTAACGCGGCCGTGGAGGTTGTCCGCCTCACCAGTCATGGCAGAGGCACCATGTTTGGTGGTGGAAGAGAAAGATGGGCGGCTGTGAAAGTTCAATCTGTTTTTAGAGGCTATTTGGTATGTTTATCTTTTGCTCATTGTGCAACAAAAGCACACATTTTTATGATTTTTGTTTTAGTAATGCTTATGCCATGTTCAAAGTTTCGAACTTTTTCAAACCAACACTTACCTTGGGGTTTTTTCTTTCTGTTCCTTTTGGATTTGGCAAACGCAGGCCAGAAAAGCACTGAGAGCTCTGAAAGGACTGGTGAAGTTGCAGGCGCTAGTTAGAGGGTATTTAGTGAGGAAGCAGGCCACGGCAACTCTGCACAGTATGCAAGCTCTCATTAGAGCACAAGCCACAGTTCGTTCTCATAAAACTCGGGGGCTCATCAACACCACCACCAACAACATTGAAGCCAATAGCAGATTTGAAATCCGTGCACGAAAATCCATGGTACTTCAAATTTACTAACAACCCATGTTTCAAAATAGTATCATCAACATTTAAATCTCTGGCAATAATTGAATCTGACATAATAATTAATGTTCACTCAAACTCTTGCAGGAGAGATTTGATGACACTGGGAGTGAGCACACAGCTCCAAGCCACAGCAGAAGGCTCTCTGCTTCTAATTTGGACGCCAATATTGATGAAAGTCCCAAGATTGTGGAGGTTGATACAGGCAGGCCTAAATCTAGGTCACGCAGAACAAACACTTGTGTATCTGAATTCAGTGACGACCCAACTTACCAACAAGCACTGTCTTCTCCAATCCCATGTCGAGGACCTGCCCGGCTATCGATCCCCGATAGCCGGAATTTCCCAGAATCCGACTGGGGACTAGCTGGAGATGAATGCAGATTCATTTCCACAGCACAAAGCACACCGCGGTTTGTGAATTCATGTGGGGCTAGTAATTTGCCTGGCACACCTTCAAAGAGTGTTTGTGCTGACAATTTTTTCAGAGGGTATGCTCCAAATTACATGGCGAGCACTCAGTCTTTCAAGGCCAAGTTGAGGTCTCATAGTGCTCCTAAGCAGAGGCCAGAGACAGGGCCAAAGAGGAGACTTTCACTTCATGAAATGTTGGAGTCAAGAAATAGTCTAAGTGGGGTGAGGATGCAGAGGTCTTGTTCACAAGCTCAGGATGCCATTAATTTCAAGAATGCTATAATGAGCAAGCTTGATAGGTCCTCTGGAATCTGGTAACTCAGAGCCAGAGAGGAACTAAGCTAGTTGCAATAATCAAGTTCAAGCTAAAAAAACCTTGTTGGTTAAAGAATGAATAGGGGGAAGGGAATATACTAGATAGATGTGTTTGTAGATTATAATTTACTGTTTATTATAGTGAGATGTAATCTCATTTTAATGTTGGCTTCTGATCAATTATGATGGGGTTATTATGTGTTAATTATTCAATTGTACTAAACAAACAATTCCTTCTTCTTTTGAAAATGTGACAACAAAAGTTGACAAATTTCATGTGAAACACATTTGCAATATGAAAAAATTTCCAAGCTTTTTCAAACAGGTACCATGATTGAGCACAAAAACTGGAAAAGTTTGAAACCACCCTGCTTCTCCAAGAACATAATGTCCTCCCCATGTGTTTTTCCTACATTGATTTTGTTTGTTTGATTGAGTCAACTCTGTTGAAAAATACGACCCCACATGTTTTAATTAGGTCAGGCCTCTTCCAATGCTTTTTAATTTTGCTGTAGAAGTGAGCACATTTGATCCAAGAAACCAATTAACAAGCTTCAAAGAAGAAACCAATTGCAAATTAAGGTCTAGTCTAGTGAAAAAGAATCTTGACTTGCGTACTGAAGGTCTTAAGTTCGAACTCACATGACATCGTAGTTGTGCGCATGTGTGATAAACCCCCTCCCCTGTAATTTAGACCATTGCTTGTACTAAAACAAAAAGAAACCAATTATCAAGCTTCAATAAAGAAAACAATTACCAAGTTTTGATACAAAGTCTCTAATATGAGACTAATTATCAAACTTCTAGAGCAATGTTGAATTTAATCACGGCTTGTCCAAATTTTTAAGCATTTAAGCCTTGTGCAGAATTGGGTTGGTGGGTTCCATACTTCCATTCTAGCCCATATTTGAAAAGTTGCTCTACTGTCCTTATCAATTAATATTAAAAAAGACAAATCCTCTCCCATAATTTCTAGTTCCTTTCCTTGACCAACTACAACTTTTCTGAAAAAATAGGGGAACAATTAATAGTTTCAATTCAATCATGGTTATCAATTACTCTTGAAAGTAAATTTTTTGTTCCAGTTTCCAAGGGGATATAAGCCAATGATGATTAGCTTTCGACCTGTCACAGAGGGTATAGGAAGGCTGAAGCCACATTCTTTTCAAGCTTTCCTGATGCAGAGGCAAGCTTTGCAGAAAACAAAGCTTTACTGGGAGCTATGTCCTTTTGCTAGATTTTTCATGAAAGGGAGCTTTCAAGATTGGTTCTTTTGGGGTTTAGCTCAGGCAGAGCCTCAGAGATCGCAGATAAAAATGCTTCCCCTCCAATTCCAAGTACATTGGCCTCCTCCTCTGCCCTCAGGACAAGAAGAGAACACAAAAAATTAGCTATGGATCCGAACCCACTTTTTGCCAAGCTTCACTTGTTATACATCCAAAACTCCAATGGGTTTTGGTCCTGGACCAATATCCCTTCTTCTCAGACCAGTCTCAGTTGTTTTAGCTTAGTCAGCTGAAAACCCATTGGCTTATAGCCCAGTGGAAGCCAACCCAACTGATATTTACCCCAAAACATGGAATTTGCACCAACTATATGCAACTATTTTGACAAATTCATATTCTAAATTACTCTAACATACGATTACCAAGAAGGAAATTGAACTCGAGTGCAAAGGGTGGATGCATTGTCTTTCTCAACTGCCCTAACCCATATATGCACCTATATGTCAACTATTAAGCCATAATATAAGCAACACGGGATTATACAAGGACTTCTTTTTTACTTTTTATTTGAAAAAATAATTTTGGTATTTTAGTTGATCAATCATTACAATTTGATCCACTCAGAGCCATCTATGAAGGTAAGGGAAATAAAAGGCTTGGCTTCCTCATCAGTGAGCTCTCTAGACCATGAAACCCTCCCTGCAAAGCGAGCTCCTGGTCCAGTGCACTTGTATTGCCCATAAAACACAGTCCTGCAAATGACAATACATCATTACACAGCCAGCCTCATGCGCATGCCACTAACACCAAATTGAAAATGCCAAAAAAGCATCAAAAAACAAACCAAATTGAAGCTATATGTAGCAGAGTAGCACCAAACTTTACATAGATGCTGGCGTGGCTTTTCTTAAACTATGCCAACATGAAGGGCGTAATGTATGAGTAGGTGGATAGGGTTATTTTATGGTGCATCACACGTAGATTTTGCAGAAGAAAAAGGGCAAATGGACATACACTCAATGGTTAGGTTAGGTCCTCTGCGTAACCGCCCTTCCCATTTGGTTATCAAATGCCAAAAGTGCCCCATTGCCTACACTTATATATTTTTTTAAAGCCTAGATGTGATTCAGTAGATAAATTTTATTGGTTGGTTATGATGAAATTTAAACTACCTACCCCGATAAGTTATCTTGTGTATTCGATATAACAATGTACCATCCTGACATATCACGCGACATGCTGATGTGACGAATCGAACAAAATTAAGGGAAAAAAAGAGAGAGAGAGAGAGAGAGAGTTGCATACATTTCACGGTTAGGGTCGCCCCAGTTATACCAGCCTTTAGGCATGATAATGTTGTCCATATATGTGTATGCAAAGACCACCCTGGAGAAAGGACCCCATGCCCTACCAAGATAGAGTGCTCCTGAGCCCGTGACCTTACAGTTTACAAATGAGAAGCCCGTTTCCTCCAACAGGCTGCTCCTGCCTTGTGCTGTGAGCGCTCCTATGTTCTGTGCTATTGCGTGCACGTGACATCCCTGCACTTGCAAATTTCAATATTAACATAAACCCTTTTACATAATCATGAGAATAGTGATGTGAGAGAGTCTTGCAGCTGCAAGGTCAAGACACATACAAGACACCAAGAACTAGAACACAACCTCATGATTTGACAACAGCCAAAGTTAAATGTTGTGTTCTGTACATATTGAAAATTACCAAAAAAAGAAACATCAGAAATCATTTTTGATAATTTTGGATCAAAGCTTGAATGTTTATGTTTCTGGACTTCAAAAATTTTCAGAAAAAATGCTTAGAGAGAAGGTGAAAAATAAGTTAATCTAACCTCAAATAGGGAGAGTCCATTTCCAAAGATGAAGTCCACTGAACCTTCAATGTAGCAATCCTTGTAATAATGCCTTCCCAAATGATCATAGAGTGTATCTTGTGCCCCCAAGAATTTGCACCCCAAGAAGGCTGCTGTATCTGCTGATATTCTAAATGCCACTGCCTGCTTACCAATTGCTCCTGGTGCTGGGACTGGTGTAGTGTTCTACACATTAATTGTAAAATTATATATCACATATATGTATGTAATGTATATATATATATATAGAGAGAGAGAGAGAGAGAGAGAGAGAGAGAGAGAGATATTACCTTGAATGTGATGTTCTTGGCAATGAAATAAGGGGAATTCACAGCAAAAGTTGCAGAATTGTAAGTCCCCATAGGTTGTTTCTTTGGACCAGATGGTGTTTGAGCAGTGTCTCCCCATTGGACAATTGTTTTGTCCGCCCCTGCTCCTTCTATGGTTATATATGATTTCAATGGAGGTATATTAACCTTCTCCCTGGAAAAAAAAATACATTTAACATTTCACAGCTTCAGAAATTACCACATAACAACAATGAAAGACAGAGCATAGGACAATTCATGAAGAAAAGAGCATTTCTTGGTCAAAGACAGAGACCAAGTCCAAGAGTGATCTGAATTCTGATCACAAGGAACAAGACACTCACGTGTAGACCCCTGCATGGACCTTGATGACCACTCTCAAGAGATTGATGAAGGGGAGAGAGTCAATGGCGTCCTGAATGGTTGTGAAGTCTCCAGCAGCACGGTTCTTAGCCACATGCAGAGTGTAAGAAGGGAAGAGCTTATTTTTGGCTGTCTTGAACACAGAGTGCTTCAGCCTTCCAACAAACCTCACCCACTTCATGAATTGCTGTTCTGAGAATTGGGCTTGTGTCATGTTCTTGGTCAAATGTACTTTCCCAGCTGAATTCCCAGGTCGAAGTCCCTTGCTGTGGCATTGTGTTTGGGTTGAATTGAAGAGAAGAAGAACAATAATAACATAGAAAATGTGTTGGAATGTTGGCATTTAATTTTAAAACAGAAAAAAGAATTGGGACTGAAATGAGAAGGAGAGAATATGAGTATAAAGAGTAATAGAGAGTATGTTAATTGGTTTGGAATTCCAAGTGCTTTTATATATAGAGAAAGGCTTGTGCTTGTGCTTGGTTTGTTTATATATATAGAGAATGGCTTTTGTTTTAGGTGGAAAGTTATGCTGAATTGGAGAATCAATGACAGTCTAGACAGAGTTAAGAAGTCACGGGTGCTTCTATGGACATCCATGTAAATTGTAATGTGAGAGAGAGAAAGAGAGAGATAGAGGAGAAACAATCTAAGCCACAGGACAGGTTGTGCGCTTTCTGCTTATAAAAATTGTTGTTTCTAAATATTTTTTTTGTTGCACTTTTTGAGTTGCTGTTGGTGTTGCCCGTGAGTGTCTCTCTTTCTGTTTGCGTGTGATTAGAGTATATTCTTGAGGGGGAAAATGGGTTGTTTTCTGTGACTGTTCATATTAATAAAATGTTTATGAGTTACAACCCACTTTCTGCCTACCCTTGAATCATGGCCGTCCAATAACATGGGTCCAGTTAAGCACCATTTGATTACAATCACAGAATGTGACCACGGATCAGATTAGTTTAGCTGATAAATTAGTAGTAGTTGGTGTGCAGCTGAGAGGATTGCTAGGCCCACATGCAGAAGAACTATTTTGGCTCTTAGCAGCATGGCAACATTAACTTGCGTGGGGAATTTTGGTGATGTGAAAGAAACCAGAAGAAGGATTATTATTGTGTTGTGAAAAGATCAAATCTCCACCTTTCTCTCTTTTTGTGCTTTTTCTGCCCAACTTCTATTTTTTGGTATTCTTTAGCACTTCCACTACCAGTTGGTGCTGCTGCTTTGGCCCCTCTTCAACCCACCTAACGCTATCAGTCTTTTAGAACATGACAGGGCATGTTGATCTTAATGTCAAAAATGGTAAAATCGTTTTAATTAGGCATAAGACTACCTATCAAACGTGAAGAAACAGATCTAACAAAGAAAGAACATTTTCTTATTGAAGAAACAGATAATATTTTCCAAAAGAAAACCACATCTGGCATTTGCGTAAATGAATCTTTAATACTCTGTCATATCTTTGCTCTAACTTTTAGGCTTAACTAATTCATTTGCCCCATGAATTTATATCTAGCTTTTGATTTATCCTCTATACATTTTTTATTTATAGAAAATTAAGGATATGAACTCTTTTTTTTTCCACCATTTTCAACATGCAGTCTAAATCTGCAACATTTTCATCCAATTTGTCGTTAAATAATATTCTCTCTCTCTCTCTCTCTCTCTCTCTCTGTAGGTGGGTTGCAGGCTGATTCTGTGGGTAGGGGGTGGGAGCAGGGATTTGTTGTCGCTGTCCGACTCGGCCGCGGGGGGAGGGGGGGGAGAGATGGGTTTGAGTCTAGGGGTGGATCTCGAGAGGGGGAAGGCTGGGGATGGGATGGGATAGGTTTGCGTTTAGGGGTCAAGGGTTGGGGAATGGGATAAGTCTAGGTCTTGGGGGCCAAGGGCTGGGGCTGGGGTGGACCTCGCGTGGGGATGGAGTGGTTGTATAGTGGATCTGAAGGGGAAGAAGGGGGGGGTTGTTGTTGGGGTTGTAGGAGGAGAAAGCATGGAGAGAGAGAGTTGGGGGGTTGGCGATAGGTTTGGTTCAGTGGATCCCAGGATTGTTTTTTTTTTTCCTCTTTTTCTATTTTGTTGTTGTCAATTTTCCTCTTTTTCTTCAATTTTTTTCCATTTTTTAAAATAATTTAACTGAAAATTGGATGAAATGTTGAGAATATAAACGGCATAGGGGAATGGGAGAAAAAAAAAAGTTCATATTTTTAATTTTTTATATATAAAAAAATAAAGTTAAAACGAAAATTAAGTACAAGTTCAAAAGAAAAACAGTTAAGCCTAACTTTTAATCTGTTTTCTTTACTCTGGAAAGTTAGAAGACGATAAGAAAGTTAGAAATAGTATCAATCATTATGAACACTGGTGTACATTCTATCGGTCAGGATAACATTTTCCTACTAATAAGATAAAAAATAAATAAATGGTTTAGCTGCTGGCTTCGTCTTCTACAGTTCATGGTTTAAGCTTCTGTCAAGGCATCATTTTTCTATTAATTCATAATTAAAAATTAAATCTTTCTTTAATCATTATCTAATAACACATATGACTGCTGATATGAACTAGGATCATCTCATCATCCATATTTACACAAAATAAACGAACTTCTCTCACTTTTACTCAAAGATTGAATTTTTGTTTTTGTTTTTGTTTTTGGACTAAATGATCATCAAAACACTAGCAGCCACTTTACTAGCCATAGCTACCTCCTCAATCTTCCTTCTCTTTTCTCCTACCCCAAAATCCTTCTACCACTCTCTCTTCATATCCAGCTCACTTTCAGACAATGCCTCCATATCCAACCACCTCCACACCCTCACCCGCAGGCCCCACGTGGCAGGCCAAGAAGCCAACGCAGAGGCAGCAGCCTATGTCCTCTCCATCTTCACTTCCTCCAGCATCAAAACCCACATAGCCCCTTACCCTGTTGCCCTCACTTACCCTGTGTCACGCTCCTTAACCCTCACACCTTCACCCCAAGAACCCCAATCCCAAATCAATTTCAATCTCCAGCAAGAAATCTATGATGGTGATCCTTTTGCTGATGTTGCACATGAAGTCTTGCCCACTTTTCATGCTTTTGCAAAGTCAGGCACTGTCACTGCCCCTGTGGTTTATGTCAATTATGGAAGTCTAGAGGACTATGAGGTTTTGAAGCAAATGGGTGTGAATGTTTCTGGTTCAATTGTATTGGCAAGGTATGGGAAAATTTATAGGGGAAGTATTGTGCAGACTGCATATGAAGCAGGTGCTGTTGGGGTTTTGGTTTATACAGATAGGAAAGACTATGGTGGTGGAGGAGGTGAGGAGAAATGGTTTCCAGATGGTAAGTGGTTGCCACCAAGTGGGGTTCAGGTGGGGACAGTTTACAATGGGCTTGGTGATCCTACAACACCAGGATGGGCTAGTATTGAAGAGGGTGAAAGACTTTCAGATGATGAGGTTGAGAAGGCAGGGGATGTTCCATTGATACCTTCACTGCCAGTTTCAGCAGCAGATGGTGAAACCATTTGAGAGCCATTGGCGGGCAAGTGGCAAATGATGATTGGCAAGGAAGTGAAGATGCCCCAACTTACAGGGTTGGGCCAGGTCCTGGGATTGTTCATCTCAGTTACATTGTAAGTCTGAAATCAACTTTAAGTGAAGCAATTTCATGAGTTCTGTGTATTCTTATGCACATTGTATGTATGACTAGTATAGCATAGCCAGTAGGACCAATTATGCAACAAGTTGCTATTTTTGCATTGATTCTGGATGTTGGTTTCACCATTTTAGGGAAAGCAAGTGATAGGGACAATTGAGAATGTTATTGGTGTAATAGAAGGAACGGAAGAACCTGACCGGTATGTTTGAATTTTTTTTGCAAGTATAAGCCAAGCTTTTAAGTATCAGCTGCATCTATTAGGATTGAATATGTGCATCCAACAACAGAAAATGATACTAGCTAGTACTCATCATAATGGATGGACTTCTATGAATGAAAGAAACCACTTTAAAATGATTAGTCAATCTGTTTCTAAATACATGTAGATTTGTCATTCTGGGTAATCACCGGGATGCATGGACATTTGGAGCCGTTGACCCGAATAGTGGCACTGCAGCGCTGCTAGAGGTAACTGTGGATTTAGATTGTATACCCTCGTTAAGTTCCTTCTCAACAAGGAAAAGTCAACACAAGCTGCTTTCAATGTGTAATGTAGATTGCCCAAAGATTAGGGAAGCTGCAGAAAAGAGGGTGGAAACCTCGACGTACCATTGTCTTGTGTAATTGGGATGCTGAGGAATATGGCCTGGTCTCTCTCTTCCCCTATCTTTCTATCTATCTATCTATATCACTCTATGAAATTTTAAACTAAACACTGTTTACAGATAGGATCAACTGAATGGGTAGAGGAAAACAGGCAAATGCTAGCTTCAAGGGCTATAGCTTACTTGAATGTTGACAGTGCAGTATATGGACCAGGATTCTGGGCCTCTGCAACTCCACAGCTTGATGAACTGCTTAAACAAGCTACTCAACAGGTATTACAAAATAGAGTAGTTATACAAACACTACTTATGAATGTGATGCAGTATTAGAAATCAACAGAGATCATGAACACAATGGTCCTTTGATCCAAAAATATGATTGTGAAATTTTGAATTCCTTCTGGTCTCTGCCATAATTTCTCATTCATCTCAATCATCCTCAAAATTGACTTTTGAAGGTTCAAGACCCAGATAATTCATCACAAACTCTCTACCAATCATGGGTCGGTTCCAGCAGTTCACCTACGGTAAGCAATTGCTTCACACAAATCCTTCATACTATAATGTCAATGAGGTTTCACAAGGACAAAGCTGCATCCAGTTATTTTAAGAAAAAGATGGAATTTATGTACTTCTATGTAACCAGTAATGTGCAGTTCAAGTTTTGCACTAATTTACTGCAGATAAATTACAATTTTATGATGTTTTTGATTAAATGGATTTTAAAGACTTAATGAAGCTAGTAATCCTAAAAAAAAGCTGTATTTTGCATTTATAAGATTAACAGGTTGGGAAGTGGAGAATCAGATTTTGCAGCTTTTGTTCAACATGTTGGAATTCCAGCAGCTGATATGGCTTTTGGTAAAGGTAACACATTTGATGTGGCTTGAACTCGCACACCATGGTTGCCACTGAAAAAATAGGAAGCATTATTCTTCAAATTACTAACAAATAATTTTTAAAATTGCAGGATACCCAGTATACCATTCGATGTATGATGACTTTATATGGATGCAAAAATTTGGTGACCCAATGTTTCAAAGGCATGTTGCAGGTCAGCTCTAAGTTTTCTTTTTTAATAATTCTAGTTTCATCCCCTCGAGAGTTTAAATGCCACCTCAATTGATTTCATTGGTATTGAAAACAGTGGCAAGTTTATGGGGTTTGGTAGCTCTTTGGCTAGCGGATGCAGAATTCTTGCCCTTTAATTACCACTCGTATGCACTGGAGCTACAGGTATGGCAACATTATCTTCCAATACAAATGATTTGCAGGGGTGTTTATTGACAAAAATAATTGCAATCAACCTTGAATGACAGAGACACATGAAAGACTTGGAAGATGAGCTTCCAGATAAGAACATAAACCTAGCTCCTTTGTTCAAGTCCATTGAGGAGCTCAAGAAAGCAGCGACGAAAATAAACAGCCAGAGAGAGGTATCAATTGTGTCTTAGAAATCATGATCTGTATTTCCATTTCACGTGTACCAAAACTTAAGCATAATTCTCCAGGAAATAGAACAACACAAAAGTTGGCAATTTATAGGGAAGAATGGTCATTTTAAGGTGAGAGAGCTGAATGACAGACTAATGATGGCAGAGCGTGCATTTACAGACCAAGATGGACTCCTTGGAAGGTCATGGTATAAGCATCTGGTATGTTCCTGAACATGGATGGCATTCCTCCCAGACAAAAACTAAATATGTTTTCCCAACCTGGTGATCTCGGTTAGTGATTATTACGAGATGGACTAATTGGTATAGTATTTTTGCAGATTTATGGGCCATCAAAACATGATGATTACGGATCTAAATCCTTCCCTGGTATAGATGAAGCTATTGAAAAGGCAAAGAGTTTGAAGACCGCAGAGTCATGGAAACTTGTACAGCATGAAGTTTGGAGAGTCGCTAGAGCGGTCAGACATGCATCACAAATCATCAATGGTGAACTAACATGACAAGTTGAGGACTAAAATACCATGAAGATTTGAAATGATAGGTTGTTGCACTTGTAGACTGGTGTCGTTTTGATTATATTTCAATATTGTACAATCCACAATGCCTAAGTTTGATCAACAAAACACTGGTGCCATTTTGATTACTTTTCAAGTTCTTTGGATAACATAATTCTTTGTCACGAGCTAAATAGAATTTTTTTTTAAAAAAAAAAATTGGGTCAAGGAATCTATTTGATCTGAAAAAAAGGTAAATATGAAGCCAAAGAGAATATAAAGATCAAGATCAAGCACAAAAAAAACTAAAATAGCAAACTCCATTAAACATAAAACTTGTACACAATGTGATGATCTTCCCATAAGGGCCTTTATCTATTTACATCTCATTCATGAAAATGAAAACTACATCAAGATGAAAATATCACCATCATCGATCATAGACCATGATAACGATGATCATTCAGACGGTTGGGATCTCTTCTGGGTCTTCAAAGTTAGGATCTTTGTCATCGAGAACCTCCTTCTGGAAGCCCATCTCAGCTGGAGAGTAGCCAAGATCACCGACCCAAGTGAACTTGCCTCCATGGCCTCCCTTCTTGGGTGATCCATTCATGCCTGTCCCTGACTTCCTGTCCTTCCTCACCTCCCCACCTTTCCCATTGCCTTTGTCACCCTTATTCCCATTCCCACTCCCACTGTTCTTCATCTTTCTCTTCTAACTCAAACCTCTAGACTCTGATACTGTAAATGTGTTAAGAGTACCTCGCTCTTCATATGTAGGAGAGCGAAGCTGCAAGTTTATTTATTTATTGTGGCTGCGTGTACTTTTCTCATTGGTAGAGGCAGGCAATCGGATAAGAACAACCGAATGCCATTTTGGAGCATCTACCAACGAACCTCTCTCTAACTCAGTTTTTTCCTTAATTGTTTTTCTCGTATAGCCGTGCGGCTATACTCCTTTTTAAACAAAAATAGTACAGCCGCATGGCTGTACTCTTTTGACACGTGGCACATAGGCTGGGCTATATAGTATAGCCGAGCGGCGTTACTAGATTTTTTTGAATTTTTTAAAGAAATAGTATAGCCGAGCGGCTATACTATTTTAAAAACATAGTACAGCCGTCCGGCTTTTCTAGTTTGACACGTGGCACCTAGGCGATGGGCGCGTCCTTTTGTTCTATATAAATAGTATAGCCGCACGGCTATACTATTTAAAAAAGAAAACAAAGAGGATGAAATATGGAGATGCGGGGTATCGATCCCCGTACCTCTCGCATGCTAAGCGAGCGCTCTACCATCTGAGCTACATCCCCACGCTTGTCTGAAGTGTCACCGTTATCATATTTATTTGTTTGATAAATAATGAAATTAAATATGACGTCTGCTCCACTAGGATACAATTTTCTAAATCAAACTCCTAGCACTAGCGCTTTGATTTCTTGCGAAATTTGTGTGTTTTTCTATACAGCTATACAAGAATGATGATATGAATGTTTTCTGTGAATTTACAGGACAAACTCAATCAGACAAAAACATTATATGATATTATTAATTCAAAAAATTAGTTAATTAATTAACTAATCGAGTTTAATTTAAATCATAGAGCCCAAGAGCCCCAAGGTCCAAGGTCAATCTTTTGATTAGTTAAATATATATTAATTAACCATTATACACATAATTCTCACATATTATTGAATAAAAATAGTATATATTTATAAATAAATACAAAGGGTATAGCCGTACGGCTGTACTCAGTTTTTCTTAATTGTTTTAAAAAACTAGGCTAGCCGACCGGCTATACTAGATTCTTTCGATAAGAAATATTATAGCCATGCGGCTATACTCGTTTTTCCTAATTGTTTTTTAAAATTGTATAGCCGCTCGGCTTTACGGTTTTGAAACGTGCGCTGGTTGGGCCCATTGGTCAATTGAGCTAGGGTTATAGTTACTTCTTTTGTTTTCCTATTCTTATTATGATTTGTTTTATTTCCTATTTTGGTTTGTAGTTTTCTTTGTGAATTTAGGTTTTCTTTTGTTTTATTTCCTTTTTGGGTTTTTAGTTTTCTTTGTAGATTTAGGGTTTCTTTATTCTAGTATAAATAGGCTTTTGAAAAACTCTTGTATGCAGTTTTGTTGATTAATATACTTTCAAACTTTAGTTTATAGAGTTTTTATTTTTTAGAAAATTTGCTCTAAAACTCATTTATCTTCATTTCAAGTTCAAATCTACTACTTTGTCCTTCTATTCTCTATTTGTTGGGTTGTTTGGGTCGCTAGACAACAACTTTTAGCCGCTACTCTGCATCATGTATGCTACTATACACCTTCCTATAGTAACCAATAGTATGTTGAAAATCTCACCAATGAGGATGGTGATTCTGTGGTTGATACCGATGTAGTTAAGAATGATGATGATGTGCAACGTGGCAATTATAATATCATTCTAGATACTTCGTTTCCTTTGGCGCATATAAATAGCCTATTTATTTCTCAAGTTTAGAAATCGGCAAATTTTATGGTAAATTTAGTTTCTTTGTAAATAATCAAAATTGTGGTGATAATCTTTTCTTATGTATATGAAAATTTTATTTTTATTTGATAATTTAGGTTGTGGGTGTCCTAAAGGGTTTAGGTGGTATTAGTTTTTGCTTTCTCACCGAAAAAGAAAAAGAAAAAGAAAAACCAATTTTTGAACTTGAGGTCCGAAGTCTAAAGTTGGGCTTTCTAGGTTTGCCGTGCACCCCAAGTCCAAAGTCTAAAGTGAGTCCAAGGCACTTTACTTGCCGAGCCCGTTCAACGTGTGGGAACCCTAGTTATCCTCGATGACATGGCAACATCTCATTGGCCAGGCTCTACGAACAAAGAAACGAATAAAAAAAAAATAAAAAAACCCAACTCGGGAAAATTGGACAGCAGCATAACGAATATATAAATAAAGAAAGAAATTCGAGGGAAAACCGAAAAAAGAAAAAAGAAAAAGAGAGAGAATAATATGTTAGGATCCCACTTAAACCTGATAGCGCCGATTTCTCCTTCCCTCAGTCGACTCTCTTGCCTCCACCTCCCATCTTCTCTCCCCGCCGCTGGTCAGCTCTCCACTCCCTCTCTCTCTCTCTCTCTCTCTCTCTCTCTCTCTCTCAATATTAAGATTGGCTGTTTCTTTTGCTTGCTTATACTATGTTTCTTCTAATCTTCTCAGAAACCGTGCAAAATTTCATAATACAAATCAGTTTTATGCTTCCTTTCTCGATTATCATATTGTTATTCAGTTATTTCGTTTTGTTTGTAGTTATTTAATTTAGGAAATTCATGGCTTTTGTTGTAATTTAATGTAGTCATTGTGAAACTAGACAGACTTGTTGAAGGCAGCATCTAGAAAGCTTATTTTTGCAACAAAGACGCACTCAGTATCGACAAAGACGCACTCAGTATCCACGATGGCAACTGTAAGTTTTGTTCTTTTTTCTTTTCAACTCATAAATTTTACATTTTTCAATTTTGAGTTAGCTTTCTTTCTTGTGTGGGTGTGAGTATTCATGGAATGTCTTTATGAAGTGTGTAGCCTATTCAATCGAGTTTTATCTGATTTGTGACTGTTGTTTGGCTCAGGAAGAAGAAAATGTGGGAAATGTAAAGCGACAGTTAGCAAAGCTGTTCGAAGTATCGCTCAGAACAATAGTCCCTGATGAGCCAGAGGTCGAGCCGGTGGTTGTTGCTTGCGCCGGGAAATTTGGGGATTATCAATGGTGCATTATAGGCCTTTATTCTTAATTGTAAATATTAGAGTTATTTTACAACTGTAATGGAATCTATCATTTTTGTTTCTGTCACTGGAAAGACATTTCAATCTTTAATTCATGCCTTGTGTGGATTTCTTTTTGGAATATTACATGAGGAAGTCTGTCTTTGGTGCAGTAACAATGCCATGGGTCTATGGTCTAAAATAAAAGGAAAGGGTACTGATTTTAAGGGCCCTCCATCTGTTGGACAGGTATTGATGTTCACCTTTCCTGTTCTTCTCTATATTGAACTTGGTTTATTTAATTTTGATAATGTCTTAGATGGTTATGGCTTTTTTTAGGCATTCAGTTGATGGCATTGAATAATGACTGTCGCTTCATTCTTATAGGCCATCATGAAAAATCTCCCTAAATCAGAGATCATAGAATCATGCTCTGTAGCAGGACCTGGATTTGTGAATGTTGTCTTGTCAAAAAAATGGATCGCTAAGGTATTGGTTATATGCGATAAATAATTATTCAATATTACTTATTTGTTCATTTATTAATTTTGTTTTTGGTGTGGACATAGTATATTACTTGCGGAAATAAATTTTTTACTTTGTTGTAATTGTAAAATACAAATAATTGTTGCTGCAGAGCATACAAAAGATGCTTATTGATGGCATTGAGAAATGGGCGCCACAGCTTCAGATCAAAAGGGCTGTGGTTGACTTTTCGTCACCTAATATAGCTAAAGAAATGCATGTTGGCCACTTAAGGTCAACTATTATTGGGGACACGCTAGCCCGTACTCTTGAGTTTTCAAATGTTGAAGTTCTTCGACGGAATCATGTTGGTGACTGGGGGACACAGGTGATGTAGTTTTTTGATTTTTTGGTTACAATGTTTTGTAGTTATAGCATATTTAACTAATCCATACAAAAAATGGTAAACTAGAACTCTTCAGTTTTGCCCACCATCTACCGTGTGGTACTTGCCTTCTATATATACGTAGACACACAGACAAACATATGTATATGTTTACATCCATGCATACTCTAGGTGTTTGTGGTTAGTTGAAGGCAGCATCAGCATGCAGTTCTCTATTATACCTTTCATTGGTGTAACCATTACAACATTACAACCTTCTGACGTTGGGAATACAGCCTTGTTTTAAGAGGAGAAGCCATTAGTCAGATCTTATTATGTCTTCATAATTCAATGTTTAATATGCTTTATAGAGAAGCTCTCCTTTTTTCCATCAGTAATATGTGGCTAAAAAAGTTCTATGTGTATTTCAGTTTGGGATGTTGATCGAGTTCCTTTTTGAAAAGTTCCCAAACATAGAAGAAGTTAATGAAACTGCCATTGGTGATCTGCAGGTGGGTGAAAGCATTCTCCTTGTTCTTTAATCGTTTAAATGTGACATCTTCTTTGTTTAATTGGAGCATCTAAATGCTATATAGATGAGATTTTGCTCTTTATGCCCAAGGCATGATGAATCGTAAAATAAAATGAAATGATCAATAGTGACTTTAATTGAGTGTTATTTTGTTAGGCATTCTATAAAGCATCAAAACAGAGATTTGATGATGATCCTGCTTTTAAGGAGAGAGCACAACAGGCAGTGGTTCGCCTGCAGGTAAGTTATGCATTCTTAGTTGTATGTTTGTAAGCATTTAAAATTTTGGGAGACTGTCTTTTGAATTTTTTTCCTCATATCTTGGTTGTGATTCAACTCAATTTGCAGGGTGGGGAACCTAAGTACCGCAATGCATGGCTGAAAATCTGTGAAATCAGCCGTAAAGAATTTCACAGGGTCTATGAACGCCTTGGAGTTCATCTAGAGGAGAAGGTATGTTCTAGCTTCAGTCTTGATTTCTTTATCCCTTTCGGATAAGAAAACAAAAAGTTGGGCAGCAAAGTCATATTCTTTATGTATTATTTTCTGTTTCTGACAGGGAGAAAGCTTTTATAACCCATATATTCCTGGGGTTTTAAAAGAGTTGAGTGATCTGGGGTTAATTGAGGAAAGTCAGGGTGCCCGGGTAATCTTTCTTGAAGGGTTTAACATCCCCCTGATTGTAGTCAAGAGCGATGGCGGTTATAACTATGCTTCAACTGATTTAACAGCTCTCTGGTACGTATTTGTTAATTTTGATAGTTTTTAGAGATTTGATGAGTCAAATATGTTACTTTATGGTTAGTCAGTCAGCCATGTTCCTTCACTATACTTCTGCCCCTTCGAGAGAATGTTGTCATTCATACTGACGTTGCTACTTGCAATCTATAGGTATCGCCTTAACGAGGAGAAAGCTGATTGGATCATATATGTTACCGATGTTGGCCAGCAGCAGCATTTTGATATGTTTTTCAAGGTATGTTGCCAAAGCCGTAACCTGTCTCTGCATACCCTGATTTATGGTGTTTCATGAATGTTCTGGTTATGTTCTTGCTATAATTATTTATTGCAGAACATAAGTCTTATTTGTTTTTCATGTATCCGCTTCGAAGTCTTAGGGTAATACAAGGCAGTTATATGGTTGAACATAACTTTATTTTTTGTTTCAGGCAGCTAAACGTGCTGGTTGGCTCCCTACTGATGATGCCTTGAAACCAAAAGTTACCCATGTTGGTTTTGGTCTTGTTCTTGGTGAAGATGGAAAACGCTTTCGGACTCGCTCTAGCGAGGTGGTCCGATTGGTTGATTTACTAGATGAAGCCAAGGATCGTAGCAAAACAGCCCTTCTTGAGCGCGGTATGATATTGAATGGCCTATGTTCAACCATCTATAATTGTGGTGTAATTTATATCTTCCTTTTATTAGCAAAGATGTCTTCATTTTCTGAGGGGAAATTTTATTTCGCATCATATTAGATAACACCTAACCTTTTAAGCTTCACAAGTAGTTAAATATTTCTTTAAATCATAATCAGGTAAGGCTGAAGAGTGGACTGAAAAGGAGCTTGATCAAACTGCAGAGGCTGTTGGTTACAGTGCTGTTAAGTAAGCTGCCTGAACTTCTATAAGTTTCTCCTGATTGACTGTTGTAATTATTGTTATTGTCATCATCATAATCAATGGGATGGGATAGGCTAGGTAAAATTTACAAGAATATATAAAATGTGACTACTGCCTCAGGTTTTGCATCCGAATGTGATTGGATATATAAGTGTAGTGTTTCTTGAAGAACCTTAGGAATTGTTAAAAACTCTGTGATATCAAGATTTATCAAAACAAATTGAGAGAATGCATATGAATGGTTGCATACTTAGTCCAACCTGTAGTTTGTTCCTAGAATGGGACTTTAATTAAGAATGCAACTTTGTGATTCTGTTAAGTAATGGTACAATTTCCAGCACATTGCTTAATGATTGCAGCTCACAAGGCTCTTGAAAATGTTCTACCTGCAGTGATTTTTTTTTTTTCAATATTGAAAAATATGTTGGAGTTGACTTCTTAGTTTAATAATATACTAAGAGTCTATGATTGCACAATTATTTTGAACAATATTGTGAACAGGATCTTGTAAATGACAGATAAAGTAACACATTTTGACTACGTTTTGTTTCTTTTTCCTTTTCCTCTCTTCCCATGATTTTTTCTCACTTCGGCATCACCTATCGGCGGGCTAAAGATTTTTGTAACTTTTGGGGTCTACAATACTAGTTTACTGTCAGACATGCTATTGTCACTATAGTTTTTAGGATACCTTTTTTTAAATTCTAATGTTTTGACAGGTATGCTGATCTGAAGAATAATAGATTGACCAATTACACTTTTGATTTTGATCAGATGCTAAATGATAAGGTGCGTCAACTAGTATTTGGTTAAGGTTTTGCATAGAATCTCTCTCTCCCTGCCTTTAAAATATTAAACCATACACTAATGCTATACATGCCCTTCTGTTCCGAACTACTTGAGCAGGGAAACACTGCTGTTTACTTGCTCTATGCTCATGCTCGGATCTGTTCAATAATAAGGAAATCTGGCAGAAACATAGAGGAATTGAAAAAAGTAAGTTCAGCTGCATTACTTCGCATTGCTATTAGTGCGTGTCGATCTACTTCTTTAGTCCTAACCATATATATATTAGGTCTATGTACCAACATGTGTTTCCTATGCATGACGTCTATATAGTTATTTTTGTATGTGTTCTGAATACTATTGACCCAAAACTTTATCGCACTGCATGTGGCTTTGAAGAGACATATTTTAGACCTCCTACTGCATCTAATTTTCATAGTCCCATGGCCACTGCAAACTGGTGGATGAGATCTGATGTCACTTTTTGTTTGAGACAGACAGGGGAAATTGTGTTGGATCATACGGGTGAGCGGGAATTGGGGCTTCATTTGCTACAGTTTTCAGAGGTAAGTGCATGCAATAATGAAACTGATTTGCTGCCTTCCTTGTGACCTTTGCTCGAGTCTTCGTTGATAACACTGCCATATGTGTGGTACTAACAGTTGCATTTTTCCCTTTCACTTCTCAGAACGTGGAGGAGACCTGCACCAATCTGTTGCCGAATGTTTTGTGTGAATACCTATACAACTTATCCGAAGTCTTTACCAAAAAGTTCTACTCCAATTGCCAGGTATCATCCGTGATTGCTTGTCTCCTGATTTATGTTGATGAGTACTGATAATGTCATTGTCACATTTTTGCGATGAATCGAAGCCAACTATAAACTCAATGATGGTGTTTGATAGGTGTTTAGCAATAAATATAAATGAGATTTTATTGAATATGATCGGAAAAATCTTATTCATCTTCATGGCAATGTACAATTGGGCAGGTTGTTGGGTCCCCAGAGGAAACGAGCAGACTCTTGCTTTGTGAAGCAACGGCCATTGTGATGAGGAAATGTTTCAATCTGCTCGGAATCGAACCTGTTTACAAGATATGATGCTGTTATGAAATAGTGCTATAACCATCTTAATACGGAAATCGAATGCTTGTTTCCCATTTGCACTGTAAAATTGTACTCATATTTCTCAATCGATAACATTTTTGGTGAAAAATATTTTTCCCTGCCATTAATTTTTGTAGGCCATGCATTTTGTTCTGTTTGCTTAAGTTGACTGTAAGTGCCTTAGCTTTCATAGTAGTATAGTTGTAAGCCTGAGAAGCTGGTCATAAAAGAATTTTGCTCATTTAGGAATATCTAGTACAAAAAGAACGAAGATAAAAACGCAAGAACCAAAATCGACTGACATAAGAAAAACGACAAGTTATCCGTATGCATGTGCTTCCGCGCTTTGCATGTTCCCCGTCGTATGTAAAGGGCATGCCATGTCCTGTGTTCCAAAGTTACAAATTTTGTCGTTGATTTTGCACTTCTGCTGCCGTTCATTGATTTTTGTTTTTCCTACATTTTATACTTTCTAATCTTATCCCCCCTCATTCTTTTCGAAAAAAGAAAAGAATCAATTCCTTCATGAATTACCTTTTTACAAAGTTCAAAAGCAAATGGAATGAGAAATCAAAATTTCAAAAGAAGAAGGACCCAGTGCGCAATTCTTATGTATCAATTCCCACCAAAACAAAAAAAACAAAAAACAATAATTGTTGAATTGGATTCTTCTTCCCATAAAAGATTGTCGTTCTGTATCTGACCAAAAAAATTCAGTGAAGCGGGATATCGTATTCGAATCAACACAATCCTCTGAAATTAGAACGATGAAGATGAATGTGATGCCAATCAGAAAAAGAAAAGAACGGCTAGAAATTATCTTATCAACCAGAAAAATCATGGAACTGTCATAACATAAGAATCTCCATGCCAATCTAACATCAAATCCAACACATAAAATATTGCCAATGGAAAAAGGTAGTGATGGATTATATGAATGTTAAATTCGTGTTGAGAGTAAAGACAAGAACAATGACAATGTGAAGAAAAGAACAAGAACCCAGATCAAAAATCAACTCTCCAATACAAAAACCATGCATAGCAAGTTTGTAAAGGTTTGATCATATTTAGAAATTGATTTGTACAGGTGTGGCTGTAGGCCTAGAGAGAGCTACGCTAACCCAACAATTTTCCTCTCTTACTTATGGAATATAAGAAAGATCCTCCTCTTGAAGAAGCTTTCTTTGAGATAATGGCTTTAGGAGTAGTAGTATATGATTTGTGACCACCATCCAAACCCCCACCATAGCTCTTGCATGGCTTTATTTTCCTTCTGTAAGGAGCCACCTTCTTTGCCAGGTCTTCTATGCTCTTCACACTTGCTAGGGATGTGAAAGATTGGGCCTTGCCTTGATAATATTTTGACAAACCTCTCCTGCAAACATAAGAAGAAGAAACAACAATCAAAACCAAAACCCACCAACTTAATGAGAGGAAATGTGAGAGAAGAAAAAAAGAAGCTAGCATATATAGCTTATGTTCTCACCTCATGGGAAGATGGATCATTAGGTCAGATAGTTCATAAAGAGGCCCATTGGAAGGTGATGAGGAGCATGATGTGGAAGCAGATGATGCATCCTCTACCAAGTCTGATGAAGATGATGATTCCATGGAGTTCATTGAATTCTCCAGTGAGGATTCAATAGATCTTGAGCCACACATTTCTTCATGATCATGATCATGATCTTCCTTGATAACCCAATAATCCTGCCCAACTTGATAAGCATGCTTTTCTTCTATATTTTGATCCTCAAAAATCCTCTTTTCTTCTTCATGATGACCCATCTTCTAGCACTCTTCTCTTTTAGTATGGAAGTTTTTTTTAAACTTTGTAGAACATATAATTTTCCAATGGGCTGTTTTTGAGGGAGCATATATATACAAGCTTAAAGCATAAAATACTTGGTGGTGTTGCGTTTATTAATGAGGAGATGGATAATACTGACTATTCTGTTATTTTTTATTTATTAATTATTAATTTAAATTTTTGGTGTAACGCTTTATCCCAGAATTTGTAATTATCACATCCTGAACATGTTTGAAGACATGGTCTAAATTTATTTGCTTTCCCATACTACTAGAAATGAGGATAAGGTCCAAGTTTGAAGACATCCATATCTGAGTCACTGGTCTCTCTCTCTCTCTCTCTCTCTCTCCACCCTTTTATTCTGGGGTTGATTTGAAACTGAGGTCACCATCTTAGGCAACTTTGCCTCATAAAGCCATGACAGATTTGCCTATTAACATGTTTCAAGGCATCAAGATTTAAATTTTATATAATAAAATATGAAAAAGAACAATAAAGGGTTTCAAAGGCATCGGCCAGCAAAAGTTTTTATCTTTCTTTTTTTTCAAGAGGGAATGGGAATATTTTCTACATTTAACAGAAACTTTACGATAAGTTTTATTTTGCCTTCATTTTAATGGGGTACGGTCCAAAGAGTTCAAAAACTTCAAACCCTCCCTTACTAAGAAAAAACTAGTGTCTTCTCTTTAGATGGGACAATCCTTGCCTGTAAAGCTTGTGGTTATGTTGCTTCCTTTGAACTTGAAATCCCTCTTAGGAAACTTCCCTGGTCATGTCATGCCTTGACAAAATTAAGAACAGTTGTAAAAAACTCACTATTGTAGTAGTTTGGAATAATTACTCCCTCAAAAAAGATTCTGGGTTCAAATCTTAGCATCCGTGTAGTGTGTAAGCTTAATATATTATCATTCATCTTAATAAGACAGGTCTTTAAAAATAATAATAATAATAATCATCATAATAAGAACTGTTAACCTAACCATATGTGGAAAATTATTTTGGTCATGAAATCCTACCGACCATCATACAATATTATGTAATCCTCATATAGAATAAAAAAAACAGGGGCCTAAATCTAATAAAAATTATAAGATTGGTTGGTTTAATATTATCCACCAATTTATTTTGGAGAGAGTTGGGGGTGGTAAGAAAGGGAATGAGGATAAGGATAAGAAGGAGGTTGACTAAGGAACAGCTCATGGAGTGGCATTTTGATGGGCACTCAAACTGTCTCCACATGCTGCTTGCTGCTACTATTACCATGTTGGCTGATTCTTCTAAATCTTATCCATGGAGATTGCCAAATCTGCTGGACCTTAAAGCCTTGTATAAATTTAATGGTTTTGTTTTTGGATTTTAAAGCCCACAGAAACCTACCCTTGACGGCTTGACCCATCCCCATCCCCATCTCACCAGCTCTGTTGTCTTTACTTATTCCTTCTTTTCTGCAACCTCATCCACATAACTTTTGCCACCACATTCTTATGCAAATTTATTTTTCTTTTAAATAGGGTATTTAAATATAAAAAATAGAAAACAAATGCGAGTGCTGTGACATCATCTTGGTATGGTGGACATAAGCTTGTCACCGTTTGTTCATCAAACTACAAACATGTCCATGAATCTTGAACAAAATCATGGGATAGCATGATATTTTCAAGACATCTGAATTTGTTTTGGAATTGGGATTTTAAAATCAATAACCATACAGCTGTAGGAATGCGTTCACATTATCCAGCCAGCACTATGTTTCTTCATCGCTATGCATAAATTGTGACCAAGAGGAACACAAAAAGTAGTAACTGAACATGAAACCTCATTATGTAGAAACAAATTTTGTGAACGAACTGCTTTAGTTACCACAAGAGAATTTATGTAATGTTTGATCAAAACTGAACACTGATACATATGAGTAAAAACATTGTATCCTCAGGATTACACTGCAGGACAAACTATCTAGGAAAATTTACAGGAGGTTCTAAGCTACCAACCAGGATCCCAAGATCAATGTCTTTGTCTTCGAACTTTTTGATGAAGGGGTGACCCTGAAAGAATAAAGAGAATTTTCCATCAAATTTATGGCTGGATCTAAAACATCCAAAAAAGAAAAGAAAGTCACCAGCATACTAACCAAAAGGTCTAAAGATGATGATCTGTCTTGAGGGTTCTTCTGTATGCTGCAAATGTAATGGGAAATATAAACAATCACATTCATGTGAATTAGATATGTAAAAGGTGAAGAATGCATGTAAATATCTGATTACCAGGCAGACACAAAAGAACAAAACTCGGGGGAGAACTGATCCGATGGAGCAGAAGGTGGTGGACTTTCCACAATTGCCTCCAAAAGTTCATAAAAGCTTGGCCAGCTTTGCTGATCTTCAGATTGCATGTAAGGAAACCTTCCAATAGCACACTCAAGTACCACCAAGCCTAAACTCCAAATATCACTGCTATAGTCATAAGTACTACCACTGATCCTCTCCGGCTGAAATACAAAGTAATGTCATAGTTTCGTGAATAATACTCTACATTTTACAAGTAGTGTATGCTAAGCTTGAAGATAAAGTCAGTAGATTTGAGCTCGAGAACAAAAGAGGAAAAGAGGGGAAAAGGACCAGAATTCAAATTTTTTTATTTTGGGTAATTCCTTGTGAAAATGGAGGGCACAGATCTTTACTTACCGACATGTAATTGTAAGTACCAACAAATGTGTCCCTTTGACCCATAGAGCTAGCAAGCGAAGCACTCACACCAAAATCAGTAATCTTGACCTCCCCTTCATGGTTTACTAGCAGATTGGATGGTTTTATGTCTCTATGTATTACATGCCTTTCATTATGCAAGTAGACAAGACCTTGTAATACCTGATGCAAAAGTACAGATCTTTAGCTAAGGGTATAAGGAACTTCTTCAAACTTTCCCAAGTGATTTTATACTGAAATTTAATTAAAAAGGGATAAAGCTTACATACCTGTTTACAAACGACTGCAAGATATGGTTCAAGAATTGTTTTAACTTGTCTGATCACATCTGCAAGAGACCCACGATCCATATATTCTAACACAAGAGAAATGGCCCCATTGTGATAAAATGAGTCGTGACAAACCACAACGTGTGGACATTGTGCTGCTTGGTTTATTTTTAGCTCCTGCACAATCTGCTTACGAATTTCCTCTTGTATGTTCATCTGGATCACCTGTAAAACATAACAAAAAAGAAATCCTAGTAATACACTTATCTAACTCCATGAAGTAAGAGCAGCCATATATACTAGCTATACCAGATAAAGGCAAGTACATAAAGGGTAAAAGAGCAGTTGTTTTTTTGCTAGTGGACTGACCTTCAAGGCAAATAAATTTCCGACCCATTTATGACGAACAAGTTGTACTACACCACCACTTCCCTTCCCAATGACTTTAATTGTTTCAAGGTCTTCCAATGAAATTTCTAAATTGAGCTCCTTACTGTCAGAAGTCTGATCCTTACCAAAAAGGCAATAAATTATATTGAGTCTATATACAATATAGTAAACAAGGAAAATATATATATACTATGAAAACATTAACAGGGACATTTCTCTGCAGACAAAAACCAATATGCATCAGAATACAAGTACGCCAAGCATGTGTTCATGGAAGCATGGAAAAACACACACAAACATAAGAAGTCAGGCCCACTTTGATTCTTATGAGTTGGATAGACATATCTCTGACAGGTTTTAATTGAAATCAAAATCTCCACCCAAGAACACTAAAAGTCAAATGATGATGTTGAAATAACTTGGAATTCAAATCAACTCTTTTCCTTGGTCCGCCTAAAAATTTCACGGGTGATGCTTCTGCAGTGGGAAGCTTAACAAAATTAAGCCTAATTTCCAGGTGGAAGCGGCTAAGGTCTCCGAATTCCATCACTCCTAACTAACTCATTTGGGAGAAACATATCAGATGGCAATTGACAATAGAACTCTTCAACATCAATGTAAGATGAAAAAAATGGATATCGCGTCACTGCAGCCAATTCTTCTCTAGTAATTAAATTAAACTTACTTGGGCCTCCTTTTCTTCAGAGATAAGCCGCAACCCTTTCTGGTTTAGACGCAGATCGCCGTCATGAAATGTACCACTTGCAGTCCTGAAATTCACGAAAATATAGCATGTTAAAGACGGGAAATTTTCATAGCAACCCAAAAAAGGACTTTCCACTCAAAGAGGATAATATTAGGAAGCTAATTAATAGTATTAGGTAATCAAATTTATCCAATTATGAATTTTCCATACAAACCCAGAAACTAAATTATAAGTATTATAATTTGGTAATGAAAGATCTAAAGTGCAAAACCATCTGCAATTTCTTTCTTCATTGAAAAGCCGCTTTCTTTGCAATTCCCTCCATTCTCTCAGGCTCTCAGAACCCAGACAGATCACAAGTACATACGCTATCAAGAATCTAATCAAGAATGGGAATTTAAGACCATCAAAATGAAAGCGGAAATCTTTACATACAGGAAAGAGAGAAAGGTGGAGTTACTCACAAGAAAGACTTGATGTTGGCTTCTTGAGCTGGAACAGAGAGTTCGAGTTGCTTCAAATTCAATGGTGTCTTCGTCTTCATCTTTGTCCTATTGGATTTTCAACTGGTCGCTAGGGTTTCAAGCAGAGAGAGGGGGACAAAGATTTGTTTTTTCGGTTTTATGGAGGTGGGTTTGACTGACAGAAAGTAGAAGAGTAGAATTCAAAAGATGGAGACCGGGAAAATTATATTAAAACTTTATTTTCTTTCCCTTCCCTTGTAAAATAATGTCAAAATACAATAGAAGCGTGTGGTCAGGTAACCATTTTGAAGGAACTAGTTGTGCTACGATTTGTCGTCCACACGCTTTAGTGAGATACACAATTAATGTACCAATGAAGGTTGGACAGAGTGGAAGGGGCTCTGGTCGCTTAAGCAAGTGGTCTTGGGTTCGAGTCCTTATTAATGCAGAAAACTTTCTTGAAAGAGGTCTCTGCATATGTGCCCGACAGTACCTCGAAGTATTAGGCATGGGCTACGCCTGAGGATACCTTGGGAAACCAAAAAGATACACAATTAATGTGAGCGAATTTTGTTTTGAACGCATTTCTTTTACTTACACCCTATAAATCCCCCACAATCAAGATTTAGCTGGTAAGATAAGATTTTGGTTCTTAAATATTGCTTTATATAGTACAATAATAGTAGATAATGTGCCTTCGGCCGGCCTAACTCGGTAAACAATAATATGTGAACTATACGTATGCACTGCCCTTCTACGTCTAGTTGAGGGCTACTAGACCTCCTCTGTTTCTTGTTCTGCTTTGAGGAAGGGTCAACAGAATGGGCTTGCAAGGAGATGTTAAATGTGCCATACAAGGCTTGTTGTAGGCCCATGAATCATTAGGTCATGATCGGTTCACATTAGGGTTGCAACTTGGATTGGAAATTCCGATTCTGGCAAGTTCCAATCAATTTTAACGTCCGAAAGTTCCTAAATATGAAAATTACGAAGAAAAAAAATTGGAATAGGAATGTATCTCAAGATTCCAAAACTTCCGAATTTCGAAATATATTGGGATTTCAAACTTAGACTATACATAATGACTAATTTCATGTTGAACTACATATGATTTAATGACCAAATAAATATAGACATATATGATTTTTTGAGTTTTTTCGTATGATTTTAAAAATTTTGACCCAATTTTAATATTTCGAATTGTTGGACATGTTTAAAGTAATTTCAACTATTTTCCGAAATTCCGAAAATTTCAAGTTTTCTGAATCAGAATGGATGTTTAAATTCTGAAAATTGGAAATTTTTTGGAACAAAATTAGAAAAGAATTTTTATAAATGGAATTGGAATCCCTGATTTGGATTCTATCCGTCCGAAAATCAGTGACGGTTCATAATTCCCTACTGTTATTATTAAAAGAAAGTAGGCGGTGTAGCTTGAAAATCTTACACTAGATAGATACATAGCTTGTACCAGAGGTAATTCACCTAGATTCACCTTTACATTTTCACTTCATATACTCAAAAGTAGGGCAGAGCAGAGCAGACCAAAACCCATAAAGTAAGAGACAGAGAAATGTGCAGCTGCAATATGTTTGATTATTTTAATGAATATTTAACCCAAGCCCAAGCCAGCAGCCCTTGGAAATTTGGTATGGAACCGTCTATATGGCGTGTAGTTAAGCGCTAAGCTAAGCCAACAGTAGATTTGATGGGTAGGGGAACAGAAGTTCCAGACGCAATCAGACATGCAAAGGTTCCGGAACCGAGGCCTTTGAATAAATTAGATTTCATAAACAGCTGCTCAAGTCCGGTCCATGCGCTGACAAACTCCTGTGATGCTGACACAAGCACTTATATTCTGAAAAGCCTTTTGCAAACAGCTCTAGCTAATCGAGCTATACAAGGCTTATACAAATACAAATACAAATACGAGGCTTAAGTGCTTTCACTCTCGAGCTCTGAGCAAAACACACAGATTGAGAAAGGCTTTTTGGAAAGTGAAAAAGAAGGAGCCGTTACTATTTACAAGGAGAAGAACGTTGAGCATTTGCTTAGAGCGAGGCTCACAGAGGGTTCAAGGAGAAGAAAGAAGCTGATTGAGAAAAGAAAGAGAGAGCAATGGCAAGTGGGTTCAGGCTAATCTTTGCCACTTCACTTCTGCTCGCACTTTTGGGTTTGTTTCTCTTTCTGGTTTCCTCTGCTTCTTCTTCTTTATTTCTGTCTTTTCGTTTTTCTTTCTTTCTTTCTTTCTGTCTAATGTGCAATGGGGTTCAATGTTGATGGTGTTTCAAGTGTTTGAGCTGAAATTTCTCTGTACTCGAAGTGATTTTTCTCGTTTGCCTTATTTGGATCTTTGTTTTCATAAAGTAATCTTCTTTGGTTATCAATGGCGACTAGACTTTTTAGACAATCTACACACACATACATAAAAGAAACAAGAAAATGTCGGTTTGTTTTCTTTCAAGTTACCACTTTTGCCCCATTATTGGCCATTTGGACTTTTGGAGTGGAGTGTTGTGATCTTTGAAGAACTTCTGGAGTTTGAAATCATTCAAATTTGTGTACTTTCAGCTTGCTTATTAGCTTCAAGGTTCACATTGTTTTATATATTCATTAGGGAAAAGCATACATCAGTTATTCAGTTACCAAGTGCTCTAAACTTCTCATATATTTTTAGTTTTTATTTTGTGAACTGGGTATATTAACATAAGTATTTATCCTGATAGCCTAATATGCTTATTTGGAACCATACCTAACGCCTATATCGCTCCTAAAGGGGCAATGCTAAATTAATGATTTTCTATTTCAGTTGCTTTGTGTTTGTATTTTTCTCCAGTGGGGTGGTGGACAGCTGGAATGCAATAATTCAGTTTGGGGACCCTATCTGGTTTGGTTGTAAACAACTTGAAATGTGGACAACAAAAGTGTAATTTGCTACCTTCATAAGGTGCACAAGTATTTGTTTACTGTGTTTTGGTACCTCTACAAGCTCAAGTTATTGAGCATTTGAAAGGGTTCATTGGTGATGCAGTGTGCCTGCTATTTTTGTAATCACAATAGAACTTGGCTTTAATTCTTGAGAGGAAGCCATGATTCTTGAAAGCCTTATACAATGTAGTATCTTTTGAAATTATTTAACTGGCTATTATGAATTCTATGAAGGGAATTGGTATTATGAATGGTCTTAGTCAATGTAATATCTTTTTGGCTGTAAGACCTCTGGTCCAGTTGGTGTTTGCATATTTTAGTTAATCCTGTCAATCTTTTTATTCTTTCTTTTCTTTGTTTCTACTGGCCAGCCTGCTGGCAGGCCATAATGAATACTCATTTGTTTGAATCTTGTGATCTTTGTTACAGATCTTTGCAGAGGAAGTACCATTGGAATTTGCTATGGAAGAAATGCTGATGATCTTCCTACACCGGACAAAGCGGCGCAGCTTGTGCAGCTTCATAACATTAAATATGTTAGGATTTACGACTCTAACATACAGGTCCTCAAGGCCTTTGGAAACACTGGCGTTGAACTTATGATTGGGGTCCCAAATTCAGACTTGTTGGCAATTTCCCAATACCAATCCAATGCAGACACCTGGCTTAAGAACAGCATCCTGCCTTACTACCCAGCTACGAAGATCACATACATAACTGTTGGAGCTGAAGTTACTGAGAGCTCCAGTAATTTCTCTGCACAAGTAGTGCCTGCCATGAGAAATGTCCTCACAGCCTTAAAAAAGGTTGGTCTGTCTAAGAAGATTAAAGTATCAACTACACATTCTCTTGGTGTTCTGTCCCGGTCATTCCCTCCCTCTGCAGGGGCTTTTAATAGCAGCCATGCATCATTTCTGAAACCCCTGTTGGAATTTCTTGCCGAAAATCAGTCACCCTTCATGGTTGATATTTATCCATACTATGCTTACAGAGATTCCCCATCCAATGTCACTCTAGACTATGCTTTATTTGAGTCATCCTCAGATGTTATTGATCCAAACACTGGTTTGCTATACACCAACATGCTCGATGCACAGATTGATGCTATATATTACGCGCTGATGGCTCTGAATTTCAAAACAATTAAGATCATGGTCACTGAGACAGGCTGGCCTTCAAAAGGATCGCCTAAAGAGACAGCTGCAACTCCTGATAATGCCCAAACTTACAATACCAATCTGATTCGCCATGTCATTAATGATACTGGTACTCCTGCAAAGCCCGGAGAGAGGCTGGATATATATATCTTTTCTTTGTTCAATGAAAATAGGAAGCCTGGGTTGGACTCGGAGAGGAACTGGGGGTTATTTTATCCAGACCAGACAAGCGTCTACAACCTGGATTTCACTGGAAAAGGTTCTGCGGATGTGATTACACAGGCCAATGTTACCAGTTCGAATGTGACGACGTGGTGCATTGCTTCAAGTAAGGCTTCTGAACTTGACTTGCAGAATGCCTTGGATTGGGCTTGTGGTCCTGGGAATGTAGACTGTACCGCTATTCAGCCTAGCCAACCTTGCTTTGAGCCAGATAATACAGTGGCGCATGCATCTTTTGCGTTCAACAATTATTACCAGCAAAATGGGGCTACTGATGTTGCTTGCAGTTTCGGAGGGACAGGGATTAAAGTCGATAAGAACCCGAGTACGTATTCATGGATCCAACTCCTTCTTTTAAACTGCATTTCTTTACTACATATGTCTGTTCTCTTTTCATGTATGCATGAAACCATTTTTTTTCATATATGCTGCATGATCAAGTAATTATTTTAGCTGACCATCTTTTACTTGGGGATAACCAAGCATTCCCTAAAACAGAGTGAAGCAGTAGACTAAGTGGCTGGCAAGGTGTATTTGATGTGTATATGTCTGGCTGGAAAGCTAGTTTCTCATTTAACTGCCCTTCCAACTTGCTATCTGGTTCTCCTTATGCATGACATACTTGGTTAAGTAATGTTGCTATGTGATACTCTTATTTTGACGGGCAGATTTCATCGAAGTGTGAAATGCATATACAAACCTAAATTATCTTGCAGTTATCTTTACAAGTTTCTGAAGTATTCTTGAGAATCTGATTTGAGAGGTCTTCGCAAAACTAATCTTATTTCACTCATGCAGGCTATGACAACTGCATCTATATGACTGCTGGGTAAGTTTTATATATGCGACATCCCTACAATTTCTGTTTGCCAATGTTGCATTCCATGTTGACCAAGTTTTCTTGTTTTCCAATTCTTATGCAGGAGCAACAAAACTGTGGCAAGTAATACAACAGCAATATCTTCTACTTCATCCTTCGCCACAATGAACAGAGTTCCAACATGGATGTTTAGTTGCCTTCTAGGGACTTTCATGTTAGTTCTTTCCAAAAGTTGACCATGTCTGAGAAACTTGGATGTTAAAAGCAGTATATATTTTGCCATGGAGACCAGATATTGGTGATTCTTGTATTTCGGTGATTAGGCTATTACAGGGGTTGGTGTTGGCTTTTGAAACTTTTTCCCTCATTTTCAAGAGGAAGAATGTAATTGCTGAATATCAATCAGCTCCCCAATTTTTGTATGATAGTGCTATATCTTCTGAAGATGGGATGACATGAGTTATATGTTTTTAGCACATGCAGAGGCTTGAGTTAGAAACTAAAGAGTTTGCAGCTTCCGATGGTTGAACTTCACACCTCAATTGGAGATGAGGAATCAGTTTATTTGGGAGATAATATCTGTAATGTAGGTTTCAAATGTAAAACTTTGAAGTGCAAGCATGATGAACTAGTCTGTTGATTATGCGCGGCGGGGTCTTTACCACCTTTCCCTTTCTATTTTTCACACATGCAGAGGCTTGAGTTAGAAACTAAAGAGTTTGCAGCTTCTCGCCTCAATTGGAGAGGAGGAATCAGTGTATTTGTGAGATAAAATCTGTAATGTAGGTTTTAAATGTAAGACTTTGAAGTGCAAGCATGATAAACTAGTCTGTCGATTATGAGCGGCGGGGCCTTTACCTCCTTTCCCTTTCTATTTTGATAGATCTAATTAACCATCCAAACACCCTTAAGACAATACCAAAGTTGTCATTTCAGCAACCAAACACCACCTACCGTCTCCCCAGCCGATGCCAACCATCATCAAAGCCAATATTACCTCAATCATCTCCTGAAAATCATGCCATGAAAATTTGAACTTTGAATAATTGCAGATTTGAGCCATTTGATACTCTCATGGCTTCAAGTTCCCCTGAATCCAAGGGTGCCGCACAAGCATCATATACCTTTATTCAAGGTAGAATGTAACATTAGGTATCATCTATTGTACACCAGAGAAAACATCCAACGAAAAGCCATGATAAAAATAAGGCATATCTATAAATTAATGCAAATCAATTTGCCACATTCATTTACTGAAATCCTGTGGACAAGTACCTCACTTGAAAATCATACAATACAATACAATTCATCAAAGGAGTACAAAGACAGTAAGACAAAGACCATAATCAACATTTCTCAAGCACCAAATTTTGTTTCCACAAGTGGTTCCAATCCCACCACTAGTAATACATGTAGTTGTTTTCACTGCAACCAAACATTTCCAGCAGCAGGATCAGGGTCAGAGTGAGAAGAAGCAAACTTTAACAGAAACCAGGAACATACCCTAAATAAAAGAAGACATACCAAGGTCTCTAGAGACCCTGCTCAATCAGATAATCACCAAGCCTTTCAACAATCATGTTGCATTGGCCAGGAGTCATTGGCTCATCATAAATGCCAATCAGCAAAGCAAGAGTGCTCTTCTTGACAGTAACACCACCTGGTCCCTGAAATTGAAGTGACCCAAAATCAGATCAGAAACCATGAAAACAAAAAAATCAAAATGCATAAGCATAAATGATGTGCATAGAGGTTGTGAGCAGTATAAAGAATGAATGGGATTAACTTATTAAAGGTACCTTCTTTCCTCTAATGACAGCTCCTGGCTCTCCTTGGATGACCATGTACTTTGTGCCTCCAAGATACAACCCAGTTGGAGCAAGTGAACCAGGTTCATTGAAGTCATTCAGAATGCCAGTCACTTCTTCAGGCTTCAACTATACAGTTGAAGCATTAAACATAACACTAATCAATCAAAGCAGTATATAAATGAAAACCATGGCATCCAAAGATGATTTTAGACAAACCCAAATCGATTTGATTCAGTCAATCAAACTTTTGACTTACCCACCAAGATCAAAGCTTTAAGCAAGATGGTATGCACAAAACATTGATATGTGTTTTGACAGAAAGGAAAAAATGGAACCTGAGGGAAAGTGGCGCTCTGGGCCCAAACGCTGCCGTCGTGGCCGATGATGGCGGCGGCAGAGAGGTGGTTGCCTTCAATTTCGCACATCAGATGGTCGTCTACGTACGTTTGCCACGACATCTTTGTTGTTGTTGCTGATTTTGAGGTTTTTTTGTTCTTGGGTTTCTGTGTGTTGTGGGATTTTGTGTTATCGGAGTTTTGGGTGTCTGAGAAGGAAAGATCAGCTTTTGTTCAGCCTCTAGTCTTCTATGTTGAACAGCAGCGTTGAAACAACGCACGAATGTAGGGTGAGTCTATTTAAAATCAAAAAATTTCCCCATTTCCCCACACCTTTTTACTTTTAATTCGAATTTTGACCAATAAAGCAAATAACTTTCTTTTAATTAACTGTGAATTCACGACGGGTGCAGTGATATAGTCCGATGACTTTTTTTCTAACAAAATTTGAAATATTTTGAAAACTAACTATGTTTGTATAAAAATGAATATGTTCCTACTTTCTCTATGATTTTGTGAAAAAATATATCATATGGAATTGAAAGTCTTAATCTTCTTACAAATTATAAATAGGCAAGAATCCTCTAATGTGGGATGGAAGATGCAGGATTAATGCAAATAGCATTTTTGCACCGAGGAAATATGCCAGGCAATTTGAATCCCAATTGGCATAAGAATATGCTGATTTGCTTCCAAATCCTCAATTGATTTCTGATTTAATATTCAAATTTTAGTTCTTTATTTATAGAAATGATTTCTTATTACACAGTAATGATATGTAATATAAACTTTTGATAAAGTAGAATCTTGTTGAGTTGAACGGATCATCAAGGTTAATAATTTAATAAGAGAATCTCTATTCTAGTCGTATTTGTTTCTTTTTTGTAATTGTAATTGATGGTTAAGTTATATGACCTAACTTCCTCCAAAAATATAATTGAAAATTCAATTGAAACTCGAGGAAAAATTCAAGGACCTCTGAAGTTAAAAGCCAATGGAAAAATAAAATAGTTGGACTTTTGGTTTGCTCATCATTTCTTATCTTAAGCCTACTAATTAACTTAGATTTTCTGTCCCATCACTTTCCAAAAGAAGAATTATTAATATTATTATTGACTAGATGTTCCCCTACGATATGTGATGTGAGGACAGTAACTTGTCATATCTGAGGTCCTCTTGTTTGTTTATACAAAAATCATATCCTCCATGAGGATTCATTTTGCCCCACCTATAAAACAAAATGATGATAAATATTCTCTTGCCAGCAAAACTAGTATTTATTGAGGGATGTAAATTCAGAGTCTCAAATGGCAAAGCAAACTGTCTAATATACCAAAACAGTTCCCATCCTCTTCAAACACGAGACACCAAAACTGGAGGATATTTTCTTTGGAAAAACCCACTGGTTGCCAACTAGCAATGGGGCATGGCCACAGGACAAAAGGGAAACAGTTTTTAGATTAGATGCTTCCTCAGTCTTCTTCTCTGTATGCAACTTGTTATTTTTATTCATTATTGTACCAAGAATGTAAAGCAAATCTTCAGAAAATTTAAATCAAAAATCACAACCAGCTAGTCAAATATGAGCTGGCAAGCTTTTGCCAGGCAAAGATTCTTTTAGGAATGTTGCAATGGAATATATAACTTAGAAGAGGAAAAAACTACAAACAAGGGATACAAATATTATCATGAAATATCAAGTTTTATGCAATTCAAGCAACCAAACAACTGCTTTTAGTCCTTCTCAGATGGTTATTGTCTGCAACAACTTCAACTTCACCACCAATTTTAAGTGGCTTTTTGGATGAAGGAGATGCAAACTGGGAACCAAAACCCCAAAAATGAAAAAATGAAAAGCAACAAAAATCCAAAATTGAAATACTAGGGTCATGATAGATATAAGCCTACAGGCCCTGGTCAATGAGGTAATCCCCCAACCTCTCAACAACCATGTTGCACTGCCCTGGAGTCACAGGTTCTTCATAGAGTCCAAATACTAGAGCTTGTCCAGTTTTCTTTATAGTGATACCTCCAGAGCCCTACAAAAATCAATCACAGAGAACATGTTTTGATTAAAACCTGTGCAAAATAACTTCAACCCAATACAATATGAGCTTAGATAAGTTAAAGCAAGTAGATAAATATATAGAGAGAGCGCTTCAGTTAAGGGATCCCTCCGTATATGTATCGTATATGTCTCTATAGGGTTAATTATATAGAGACATATGAGAATGATGGTACCTTCTTTCCACGGATGACAGCCCCAGGCTCTCCCTGGATTACCATGTACTTTGTGCCCCCAAGGTGCAACCCGGTTGGAGCAAGATGCCCCGGTTCTTCGAAATCCTTGTTGATCCCAGTCATCTCCTCTGGCTTAAACTGCAATGGAGATGTTAATATAAAGAACCCAAATTAAATGCTTAAGAGATCAATGACAAAGCAGCATGCAATGCAGCTACGTCTAAGTTTTTATCACCAAATAGTATAAGATGAAGATTGGACCTGGGGGAAGGAAGCGCTCTTGGCCCAGACACTGCCATCGAGACCAATAATGGCAGCCGCAGAGAGATGCTGGCCTTGGCCGTCAATGTCACACATCAAGTGGTCATCGACGTAGGTCTGCCACGACATTTTGTGTTTCCTCTGTTATTGTGAGCAGAGTGTGTGTCTTTTGTTTTGCGTGTGTTGGTGATTGTTGTTGTGTTGTTGCACAGGCTATATGAAGCGTATAGCTTTGGGAGGATATTATATGGTTGGGGAGGGAAGTGAGAGGCTCTTTTTTTCCTCTTTGTTTGTTTGGCGGAGTTAATGGTATTGTGGGTTTGGTCACTCCATTGTGGCAAGTTTGACAAAAGAAAATTATAAATAGGAAGAGGAGAGAAATGTGGGGAGAGCTTTGACAGAGAAAAAGGGAGGCTGAGAAAGGTGGATCTCATCTGATGGCTCACCCCCATTCTCTCTCTCTCTCTCTCTCTCTCTCTCTCTCTCTCTCTCTCTCTCTCATATTTTACGCTGTCACTTGTCAATTTGCCCTTAGTCTTTGCACCATTTCACGATTTTTCCTCTGTTTCTGTTGGGAAAAAATATTGCTATTTATTCCTTTGTTTCTCCATCAAATCTTCAACCCAAATAATATGAAATGAAACCCAGCAAACCCCAAAAAAAGAACTAAAATTTATGTCTGATTATGACATGGATTTGTAATGGTATCGTTGAGGTGCAGCAATGCTGCGGCAATGGAGGGTTGAAAATTGAAGTTGTCGATGAAATGAAGGCTATGGTTATGAGTATTGAACTAACTGATGCATTTGAATGGACCTTAATGAAAATGTTGTGCAAATTAATTCGTATCATCTGCTATATGAGTTGGTAACCAAATTTTGAATGGAAATTAGACATATAAAATTATCTCTACACCATTGGCATTCATAGTTGCTCAACTTATCTAGTTTCTCTCCAGAACATTCTCCCTTTCTCTTCACATGTTCAACAAATTATGAAATTAGTTCTCACGGGGAAATTTTACAACTTCTGCAACAGTTAGGGCCCTATCACCAAATTGCTTCCTTTCTGCTTGTTAGATTCGTCCTCCACAAAAAATGTGAGAAAGTTGTGACTGGAAAAGTCTCAGACCCTTGACATATCAGCATTATCCACTAAGCCGATAAGACCTCCCTCTGAAAGCCGTACCACCAGTACCCGGAGCAGGTTGGGTTCGGCTACTTGGCGGAGGAGCTCCTATCCTCCATCTTGCAACTACTTTATGTCTGTGCAGTAACAGTCAAGAAAATCTATAGGGGCAAACTACCTTCAAGTGAGTAAGATTAATTGACAAGAATGAGAAATAAATCCCTACTATGTGGTAGACTTGTAATGCCACTATTCTAAGAATGGCAACGAATGGAAAGAGATAATAGATAGACCATGGATGAGCTACATTTATTTAGGTAAGCTAATACAAACCTTGACTGCAATGAGCTACAGGTAGAATGCAAGAGACAAGCAAAGGAAAAACTGAAGTTCAAATGGAGGATATACGCGAGAGAGAGAGAGAGAGAGAGAGAGAGAGAGAGAGAGAGAGAATGAGTTTATGATAGCTCCTATGGTGCATGAATGCTTACTTTGCACCTTAAAAGAACAAAAAATACTAAAGTAAGGATACACCCATCTCGGAGTCTGTAATATGTTCTTTCCACCTGCCAATGGATGCAACACAGTCAAGAAGTAATACAGATGTCCAGCAATGATTCCCAGCAGATCTGGCATAATTGGGGAACCAAAAATGACGTCCAAAGCAAGCATCGCCCAGGGTAGATAAAATGCCTGCAATCACAATATATAGAAATTGCATGCACCAGACATTAAGAATAAGTAGCTGCAGATACATTACAAAATAGAAGCACCCAATAGCAACGTGAATGTATACCAATCTGCATACCTTAAGTGCCACAAGGCCATATATGTTGACGTTAGCATTTGGAAATTCTCTACTCCAGACATAAACAAGCATGAACACGAGAGATATCCCCAAGAAAGGGGACCAAAATATAGGGATAGCAGATAAAACCTAAAATTTCAAGACAAGAGTAAAAGGTGAAAACAGGACATATGCTGTTGGTGTACAATTAAATGATAATAAGTCCAAGCCAGCTAAACCATATGAGACATAATCACATGCACATCAACTATCATTAAGTTGCAACATTATATTTTCCTATCAAACCAAAAAATTTGCACCAGCACAGAGTAAAAATGAAGCAAAATCAACCTTTTGAGTTTTAAATCAATTCCAGTTTAATCTCTAAACAGCTCATATGATCATGAGCTAGCACAGACACTACAGGTAAACAGATTTTCCCTTCCCTTTCAGAAGAAAGAGATTAAAGTGCAAAAATATATTGACACACCAATAATGTCAAGGCTCCGAATATCATCATCCACAAGAAATCTGCAGTTCGACGCTCAAATGGTCCCTTTTCAAGTTGAACTCCATATCTTGCTCTGTACAGTCAGTAGCATTCTTGTATTAGTTCATGAATAATTAAGTTCCCTTACTGAGAAATCCATGGATCCATTAGTTAAAGCAGAACCAATCTGTCTCCCACTAGATAATGGACTGCATAAAAGGTATAACACTAGGCTTTCTAAAAGGAGAGGTACCACTTTGCTGCAAAGGCCAAAAAAAATTATAGAGAAGTATCCCATAAAACTATTACTTACATCATCAAGAGGCGAATTCCAAAGTTGATTGAGAAGTTTCCAAGGAAAAAGAAGTTTGTAATCAACCTCCACACCTACAAACAATGCTGAAGTTAAAAAAGAGTTCTATAATAACAATTAAACACAAATATATCAATTTTAAGCAATACGTACCTGGAAATGTGAGAAGACTAGTTTATGTACTAATGCAATACTTCGAAAATCATAAAGCCCTAGTTGATAGGCTGTAGTTGCCAATACACAGATGGTCCCATAAGCCTTGCTTATGGGTGGAAGTGAGTGATAGAACCTGAAAGAAGCAAATAGCATATGGTTGTAATGGTCAAAAGAAGCAATTAAAGCAATTGTCTCGAGGGAAAACACTAACAAATGCACAAGATAGCTGGATGATCATAATCAATCACTGTGCACATGAGTGGAGACATTAATATGAAGAAAAAATCATACACTATATTTTCACTAAAAGAGTATAGATATTGTTTCTGTGCTAACTTCATCTGGAATTCATACACACATAGGAATTCCTAACTCAACTCATCTGGTCAAAGACCACACAAGGTAAGGTCATATGTGTCTTTCTTCAACATGCTACCAAGTAAAATAAAATCTGAAGGCATACAGATAGGGATGGGCAATGGGTATCCACCATCACCACCACCGCCACATCTCTAACACCAAATGGGTACCCAATGCCCACTGAGTACCCATTGCTCATCCCTACTCATGGAGTGATTCATTAAAAGTAATCTTAAAAGAAGTGGGGTTTTTTCCCCTAGACCCAAGTTTTACTGTTTCCAGTAAACTTTGTGGCTACACTGAATAAAAAGTGAAGCTGCAAACCAGAGCTTCATTCTATCATTGTGCCCATCCAAAATCACACAAAAATGCAACACGTTTAAATCCTTAATAAAACCCACATCTAGCATCTCATGAACTCCTCTCCCATTAAGAATTAAAATATGGGTTTATCATACTGTGCACGTCCCCTCAATCCATAAAATTGTAAGTTCATAAACCAAGTAAATACTGTAAGAGAATTTGGGATCATTGAAGCGTCACACAAACGTAGTTAAATTCAAGTCAAGAATACAAAATTTCAGCTAATACATAACTAAATAAAAGCAACGCAGAACGCAACATGGAACATGGAACAAGCTCGGTATGATGTAATAACACAAAAACCAAAACCCAATGTATAAATTGACGTATCAATGGCAGCAAAGTATAACGACTAATACAAATATATGAATCTTAGAAACAAAGAGAAAAGAAAAAAGAGGGTATTACTCAGCGGGAGAAGACATAGCAGACCCAGAATTTTCTAGCTAATTTCAGTGATATCCCAGTTGAGATCTCTCTCTCTCTCTCTCTCTCTCTCTCTCTCTCTCTCCTAATTGCTCGCTTCAAATAAAATAACTTCGAAATGAAGGAAATTGAAACAACAGGTTCCTCCTCATACAACTACGACCCAACCACCAGAAGCTTCTGTAAGACAATCGCACCTTTCTCGGTTATCGCACACGCGAACCGCTGACAATTGGATTAGAAATTGGGCCACGCATTTTTTGGGTTTGCCTTAAGGCCCAAATATAGGTCAGGCTCACTAACTTAAAAGCCACATGTTGGTATGGACCTGGGCCTTGAGCCACTGACCCGCTACTTGAGTTAGAATGCACAAGCAAGCACTCGTGTGTATATACGAGGCTTTTTTCTTAGTTAAAATAGGACTTCGAGTGCACGAGTAATTGGTCTTCACGATTTGAGTTACAAACATTTTGACTTTTATGAATTATTCGATTAAATTTATATATAATTGTCTTTATTTTTTGTTTTAAGGTCTGACTTTATAATAGTAGAGTACGTATTAGAAAAGTTGTACGTAATATTTTATGCCGACAAAAAAATGATGAAGCTTTATCATCCCTTTGCACCTAATTGATCATCATGCAATGTGTTATGGGGGGGTCCTAAACCTAAAGCATGGTTAAGTTGGTGATTCAATTTCCATAATTTGCGTTTGCTTTGCAAGACAATCAGGGTCAATTAAGGGTCAAGACTTGTGATGTTATGAGAGAGAGAGGTGGACCACCCTACCCAATCTGAATGGGGAGATAATATGTAGAGAACAGAACCCAAATGACCTGTCTGCCAACTTCTCATTGATACCATCACCAGCTTGCTGGCTTTGCTTAAATGCTTGCCAGGAAAAACCTTACAAGGAAAGACCAAAATCTCGACCATTTGAAGCCAGCCACCCGAGTTGGTGTTATAACTTAATAATATAACCATGCCCATTCAAAAAGGACCAAAGGCCCCAATATGATAATGTCTTTCTGTGCTTTTTTGGGTCTACCAAACTTTGTTCTTGGGCAAAACTACAAACCAAATGGATTGTCCCTATGTGCTTTTCATAATGTTAGCAGACATTGATTTACATATCAGATTTTGAATGCTTAGGATCCACCATACAGAGTGTATGATTTTGAGGTATTACACATTAACAGCTTTTTTAGGACGAAAATAAAAAGATAAACAACAACCATGTTAATCACAAACGATAAAACTAAAATACAAGAAATGATAAAAGACGTGGGTTAGGCTAGTTGGCAATGACAATCATTAGGCCTGGGCAAGCTGACCTAATGATGACGTTATCAACCAATTTAAATAACCAAAACTCTATACAAATTTATCTCCTCAAATCTCATGTGAATAGTGGTTTCCATGACAATGGGTGGAAAACAAAAAAAAATAAAAAATGCAAGGGCATACACTATTTATGTGAATAGTATCAGTCATTGCCTCCCCTTGCCTTTTGCCATGGCAAATAGGTGGAAATGCTCTTAGAGTAGTTTAGAATATCGCTTTTATAAAACAAAAAATATATATAAGATTTACTCTCACTTACTTTCATACTTTACAACGAAATTTGATACTAGACTACTTACACGTCCATAAAGAAAAGTCTAGAAACCTAGCTTCACATTTTTGGGGTCAAAAGCTTCACATTAGGTGTTAATTAGTGCATGAAATTAAGTTGGTGACCTCACAAACCTCATGATGCTTATATCGTCCTTGAAAGCACATAGCAGAGCCAGGATACAATTATTAAGAACATAATGGTTGTTGCTATTGTTTTTGGCTAATGATTAAGTGTAGGCTTCAAAGGTGTGATGAGAGAGAGAGAGAGTGGAACATTTGGTAGCGTAGCAAGGCAACAAACATCATGGTCTGAATAAGAGGTTGCCAAACAATCTATATGGTATGCCTACACGCTTGCCCCCCAACATTGAATTCGCATCACGCATAATAAATATGCGTGCCCCACAGTAAAACAAAAACAAAAATGCTTTAATTAAAAACAAAAACATTCCAAAATTCCACACACAACAAATTGAGAGAAAATATGCGTGGACCGTCTTTGTAATTGAAACCCTAGTACCAATCTTTCTCCACTTGTTCATATTCTTCTACATTGGGGTTCTTTTTTTCTGCAATTTGCCACCCTGTTCTATTCAAATTCCAGTCGGTCTTTGCTTCCTCCTATTTCTTATCTAATAACGAACAAGTAAACTGAAAAATAAAAGCACCAAAACGTTGAAAATACGACAAGAATAATTTTGTCATTTTGTTGTCATATATTTAATTACTTTATAATAAAAAGGAATATCAAACTTAGGTGCATAAATAATTCAATGCTCCACCAATTATCAAAATGTATTCGGTAGGGAAGAGATTTAAAAGTATTTTGACCCCAAAAAAATAGACTCTAGTGAAGAAATTTAAGGTAATTACCTAAGAAGGGCAAAAAACAAACTAATTTTACTGAAAATAAATCATAAAAGATTAAGATCGTTAAGGTCGTCTATGGCAAAAAACTTATATGAAATGGAAATAATACTGTTTTACTATTTCCGACTAATTATAAACTGCCATAAGGAAAAATTATCAAACACGACATACAATAATTAATTGAAAATAACAAAAATAATATTATTATCGTTTTCATGTAAGCGTTATTCCGTCCAAAGACAACTGGCCAAGAACTTGATTAGACGGCGCCAACAAAATCAAATGGCCCTTTTCCGAGCGAATATAATTTTTTGCAAAGACAAATGGTCAGACAATCAAATCCATCCAGTAGGGCTTTGAATGACAACGTGGTGACAGCCTTTGGCTAGCTGTACTCTGACCCCACTGTGGGGGTCCTCATCCATTTGCATTTTATCCTTACCCATTTCTTTTTCCCTTTTGACCCCACAAACTAATCAGAATTTTATGATATTGTCATTGGACAATAACATGTTAACACTCTGTATTTGTAACTCTCTTTCTAAAGAGGTGGGTTTGGTGAACAAAGTGTTGACGGGGGGGTTGATCTTTACATTATTAAATAAATTCACTCCATCGTCTTGCTACATTTGAAAATTAACAGACTAGGGTTACGAAATGCAAGATGTATCATGTTATTTGTTTAATAAATATATTATGTTTGTATAATTAAACGAATCGTGTTTGTGTAAACTCATAATACAAACGTAATCCTATAATAAAATCGAATCGTGTTTGTGTAAATTATTATATTTGTATTGATCTTTACGCACCGACTATTCATTGAGAGATTATTGTATATGAGTAGACGATATGGTTAAATTTTTCTCATTTTTATAGGTATATATTATAACACATGAATGAGTTATACTAAATAATCAACGAGGTCTAATTCAATAAAAAATAAACATCTTAATAATGTGTGTGAGAAAACTTAGATTCCCTTCCTAACTTTGAGAAAATACCACACTATAATAAAAATATTCAAAGTATATAAAGCATTGTTAATTAAAGAAAAAGACGCACTGTTTTTTTATTGTAGTGAAAAAGAGTAAATAATTAAACACCAAAAACATCTAAACTAGAACCTGCGACAATAGAATACAGAGAAGAAACAGAGAATATGCACTTCACAATGTACAAAGTTACAAAACCAAGCCATAAAAAAGAAAAAAAAAGAAAGCCTTTGGAGGAAAGTGAAACGTTAAAACTGATAACATGCAAGCAAATATAACCCAACCTCCATTTTAGTCCTTCACTCAAAAAAAAGCTGTCTCCTTTTCACAATTTGACAAAAACCCATCTTCCCCACCCACCCACGCATACATAAAAACCCACATACACAGGGAGAGACAGAGAGAGAGAGACGACAGACATTCATCTCCATTTGATCAGCAAGAAATCAACAGCTCAGATCAACAGTAATGGATCCATGTCCATTTGTACGGCTCAATGTGGACTCTCTGGCTCTCAAGCTCCCGCACGCAACCAGACCGGCCGGTCCAGGAGTTCACTCGTCAACCACCCCCTGCTTCTGCGAGCTCAAGATAAAAAACTTCCCTTCCCAAACTGCGCTCCTTACCCTCTCCAATTCACTCAGCGACTCTTCTCCGCCTGACTCGTCCACGTCAGCTCTCGGCTTCCACGTGGACCCTACCTTGCTTCGCCGCCTCTCCGGCAAGCCCGTCACGCTCCGGGTCTCCGTCTACACAGGCCGGATGGGCCGGACCTGCGGCGTCACCAGCGGGAAGTTGCTGGGCCGGGTCCACCTCAGCATTGACCTCGACTCTGCCCGGGTCCACCCGACCGTGATCCACAACGGGTGGATGAAGCTAGGGAAGGACCGCGAGAAGCCCTCCGCCAGGTTGCACTTGACTGTCCGGGCCGAGCCAGACCCCCGCTTCGTTTTCCAGTTCGGTGGTGAACCGGAGTGTAGCCCCGTGGTTTTTCAGATTCAGGGGCGGGACATACGACAGCCCGTTTTTAGCTGCAAGTTCAGTGCGGACCGTAACTCGAGATTTCGGTGAGTTTTTCTTGCTTTATGGCGCACTATAGTCGTGAATTATGCACTTCAGCTAACGTGAGCTGAGAGTGCTGTTTTAACTGTAAGTAAATGTACAAGTTCTTTTGTTTTGTTTTTTGTTGGTCTTTTTCTGTCTTTGCTTTTTTGGGTGAATTACTTTTTTCTGTGTCGTTTTTCATGATGTGGGTTTTGAGTTACACATTTTTGGATTGGGTTAGCTAGCTGGTGTCCTACAATCACATGCCAAAGTTGGTTCAGTTTAGAATTTTACGTTTCTTTCATGCTAGAGTCTTTCTGTGCATCTTCATGTGTTTCTTTCTTTCATGGGTCATGGCCAATCAAAATTGCAAATCAGAGTAACATTTTCACTTGCGGACAATCCACTTTTCATTTCTTGCTATTGACAGCAAGGCCTTTTGTCACATGAACAAATTAGCGTCAGTCTCTATCCATGCTTGGCTTGGTTTGGAAGATTTCACATGCAAATTTTTTCTGGGTAGATTCTTTTACTTGTTCAGTCCACATTTACGCCTTTTCTGATGTGTATTTGTGTTTAATTTGTGAGCTGTTTTGGGTCCTCTGCATGTGTCAAAGATTACTGATATAATTTAAAACCCTGCCTCCACCGACCCTGAAATATATAATTCTATGAATGATTTAGTTGTTGCTGAGAGTGGCATTTGGAAGCTCAAAACCTTAAACAGTCAGGTGGCCTGGTAATCTGGTATGGTAGTTGCATATCTGACTTGATCAAACAGACAATGTCAACTCCCCAAACTGTATCTTTGGATGGTTGGATAATTGGATTCCCTCCCATGTGCAAGTATATTTGGTCTCAGTTCTTACATGTTCTGTTTTTGATTATATTCCTGTTTGACAACCACTCTCTCTTATTTAATCTTGTCCTAATACTGCTATACAAAATAAATTATGATGATCATAATGGGGTTTTGATCTTGTGTGGAATCTGCAGATCTCTCCAATCCGATTTTACCAGCATGAATAATAGAGGATGGATGGGAACCTTTTCAGGTGATAGAGAAAGGCCTGGAAGGGAGAGAAAGGGGTGGATGATAACAATTCATGATCTATCTGGCTCACCTGTGGCAGCTGCTTCTATGATCACTCCCTTTGTGCCGTCCCCGGGCAGTGATCGCGTCTCCAGGTCAAACCCAGGTGCCTGGCTCATCCTCCGACCTCATGGCTTCAACGTCAGCAGCTGGAAGCCATGGGGTCGTCTTGAGGCATGGCGCGAGAGAGGGCCTATTGATGGCTTGGGATACAAGTTTGAACTTGTTACTGACAATGGGCCTAGTAGCAGCATTACCATTGCGGAAGGTACAATGAGTGTCAAAAAGGGTGGACAGTTTTGCATTGACAGTAGCTTGATGAGAGATTCTGCATTGAACTCAAGGTCACCGGTTAAAGGGTTCGTGATGGGTTCAACCGTTGAAGGCGAAGGAAAGGTTAGCAAGCCTAGTGTACAAGTTGGAGCGCAACATGTGACTTGCATGGCCGATGCTGCTCTGTTTGTAGCACTATCAGCTGCCATTGATCTTAGCATGGACGCTTGCAGACTCTTCTCACATAAACTTAGAAAGGAGCTTTGCCATGATGAACAAAATTGCTTTTCCTAAATTAAAACTGGTTCAAAATCATAATCTTCCTTGTCATATCCTGTCTGTTGCTGTGACAACCAATTAGTTTTTGCTCAGTTTGAGGCATTGTTGGTTTGAGCACTGAATATGTATATTTTATTTCTTCTTTGATTCCCTTCTCTCTTTTTTCATTTCCAAAATTCTTTCATCGTGATTATTTTTTCCCCAAAAATCTTGAAAGTTTTCCCCAATTTGGGAATTGTGAATGTATCCTCTGTTCTTGTTTGATTATTTTATCAGATTTTGGTCTTCAAAGAGTGACAACGTTTTTGTGGTTTCGATTCTGCCAGCGGTTTGGGTTTTATTGACACACCTTGTGATAGGGAATTTCTCTTATTATTACAGTATTGTTCTATCATACATGTACAACAAACTTACCAATTGCAACCTTGAGGCATGACTTGGCTAAGACGTGTGCCCGCCGTTTACACCCGAATTCATCTTCTATATACATGAGAGTAGTTTAAAATATCACTTTATCAACAACAACAAAAAAGACCGGATCAGGATAAGGTCAAAGAAACCCTTGTTAGTGTTTGATTAATAACATAACTCCGGGATATATTCACATGTTGAGCTAAATTTGGGGGCTAAATTTGGGTAACTAGATGAGCATATTTTATCCTGATCAAGTTGAGGTCAAGCGTCAAGTCCAAATTAAAAGCTTCGTGTTAATCTTATGATTAGCACAACTTACATCTCTAGTGATAGAATCCTAACCAAGTATATATATAACTTTGATTATAGCCCTTACATCCTCTTACTGAAACTATTTCTTGTTTGTCCTTTAAAAAAGAAAAACTATTACCGAATTCTAGTTATAAAAAAAAATCCGTGGATATGATTTATTTTCTAAATTTAATTTAAGAGCAAATTTTAGTCTTATTTTTATTTTTGAAATTATAATTATTTTAATAAAATGATAAAAAATTTACTTTAAAAAGTTTCGTTTCAGAGAAACACAAAACAAAAGAAATAAAAAGAAAAGTTTATCGGTAACAAAACTCTCCCTCCATTTTGACCCTTCGCCTCTGAAAGACCGAAACCAGAAAGCTCTTTCCGTTCTCCGCAAAGACCTTTCTGGGTTTTCCGTCAACAATATCAATGGCCTCCTCCGTCCACCACCTCCTCTTCCTCATCATCAACCTCCTCATAATCCCAACCACATTATTATCCCAATCCATCATCCAAATGCCGCCGAAACGACACCGCATCACGGACGACAACCTCTACTGCGACAGCTGGCGATTCTCCGTCGAGACCAACGACGCCGGAACCTGGACCAACATTCCGTCCCGGTGCGTCGCCTTCGTCCAGGACTACATGACCGGCGACCGGTACCTGTCCGACTCGGCAGCCGTCGCGAATTACTCGCTGAGCTTCGCTCGGGGGGTTCAAATCGGAGGAGATGGTAAGGACGCTTGGGTCTTCGACATCGATGAGACTCTGCTCTCCAATTTGCCCTACTATGAGGCGCATGGATTCGGGTAAGCTTGTTGGTTTACAGCCGTTTGATTTGTGGAATTTCCTTATCTCAGCGTGTTTGACTTTTTGTTGATTTGTTGGATTATTACCGCAAAATGAATTGTTGTGGGGTTAGGAACGCTTTGCCTTGTTGTGGTAGGTGGTGCAATATACATGTGATTGATTGGTCATTGGCAGGTGGGTTAGCCAATGAGAGGTTGCCACAAGGTAGTTAGGTCACTGTATTGTAATGTATGCTAGGGTACAAGCCCCCACCGAAAAGCAGAAAAGTGTTATTCCTTTTATCTTTTGGATCAAACAGGGTGCTGCATTGCATTCAGCTAAAGTCCAATTTTGATGTGGCAAAACGGTGAAAATGAATGCATGAAAGTGCATTGTATTTAAAATGTTAATCATGCATATTGTATTTAAAATGTTAATCATGCATAACATAAGCATGCAACAGCTTGTGTTAGTCATGCATAACATGAGCATGCAACAGCTTGTGTTTAAACAGGGCATTAAGCATTAATTCTTGTTTAAGAGTTTCATAAGTAGTATTTTAGTTTCTTTAAGCATGCATCATTTGTATACAGCCTTCTCTTTTATTGGTCATTTGGTTTGCAATGCTTGTAAAAGATGATGCTGCAAATACCCTTTTGGTTTGTGCTAAACGTGTATCTTTTTTGAGGTAGCATATATGATAATGAAAAATGAAGGCCTAAAGGGGAAGAAACAACTGTGGCAACTTAGAATGCAATTTTGTTGGGGGAAAATAGAAAAAGGAATTTACAGCAGCAGTATCTAAAAATTTCAACTTCTGTTATGTGCCAATGTTGAGAAGCAAGTCAGGACAGCTCTTCACTCAGAAAACTTATCATGTGAAATCTGTTTGCACTATTGCTGTAGTTTCCATGTTTTTGAGAAAAACTAGGGTTGCAAAAACTAGCACATTGTTCATTGCCTTCAAGTCCCCAACCTCAATATCAGCAATGGGAGTTTCACTGTGAAAATTCTGGATTTAGTTCATTTTGTTCGATTTCCCAGCAGATATTTTTAGCTGGTTTTGCTGTGGTTTTATGTTCCTTTAACAAGAATGAGTTACACAGAGGATTATTAGACTACATCAATGCTTTTAGCCTTCTTAATTGATTAAGGTTTTCAATGATATGATGAAATTGACTATGTCTATATTCTTATGGACATAGATCAGAGACCTTCGATGAAGCATCTTTTGATGAGTGGGTGGATTTGGCTAAGGCCCCTGCTCTCCCAGCTAGTTTGAAATTATACAGGGAGCTTCAGCAGTTGGGTTTCAAGATTTTTCTGTTAACTGGGCGGAGTGAACATCAGAGAAATGCCACAGCGAAAAACCTTCTATATGCACGTTACAACAATTGGGAGAGACTGCTACTGAGGTACATGGGCTAAGTTTCTTCCTTTCCTTCTTTCTTTGTTCCTTTTCAAGCTATGAGGCAAAATACACAATACACATGGTATGAAGAAATGAATTACAGTTTAGAACATGATAATAAGGATTGCTGATGATGTTTTATTAAATGATACAGAGGACCTTCTGATCAAGGAACAACGGCCACTGTCTACAAATCCGAGAAGAGATCAGATTTGATAAACGAAGGTTATCGAATTCACGGGAGCTCGGGAGATCAATGGAGTGATTTGTTGGGTTTTGCAGTGGCCCAACGATCCTTTAAACTTCCAAATCCAATGTATTACATTGCCTAGTAGCAAAGTTGTGTGTAACATAATCACGTTGTTGTATTATTTTTCCCCTTGTGTTCAATGGCCGCCATGATATTAATAATTGGTTGCCAATGGCATTAGTTCCTTTCGTTAATTTCCAGCTGGAGAGAAGCCTTGTATTTGTGTTCATCTTTTCAAGTGGTACCAATCTTTTTCAGCAATGACCCATAAAGATGATTTACCTAGTTATTTAGTTTGGCTGCGATGATGAAGACGAAAGCTATTAAATTAGAGCATTATTAATAGATGTCACGTGACGCAAGCTGATAAAAATATAAGCTCAAATGATCGCATATTCCATAAGAATGTCACATGACAAGAAGAGTAAAACCATTTTCATATCCGCCAATTTTGCTCATGATTCTTCTTCTAAGTTCTACCGCTGGAGTTGAACGCTAATCATAAACATTTTCTGGACAGACTTTATCCATTGGAGTTTCTGAGACTGATATTATATATATTTTTCAGATGCACAGAGTTAAATTAAGAAATAAAATTGAGATTCAGGGAAGGTCAAATCATAATTGCTATTAATTAATAGAGAAGCCATTTTCACCAAACCTGTTGTACAGAGACTGAGCTTGGCTAGAGAGACCCGCAAACAAGAGGCTTTGAACCAGGGATTCTCAGGCAATTCAACCCACCTCCTGGAATTAAGGAGCACTCTGGTTGAGGTCTCTGCATGTTCCTCCCAGGAATGCAATTCAATGAAAAATCAAACCCCACATTTCTGTAGAACAATTTGGCACATTCCTGGCTGAACCCAGAAAAGAAATTGTAAGCAACAGTCAAATTCACAAGGCTTTTCAAAGAACACACCATTTCTGGAAGAACCCCAGATAGCTTGTTGTGTCCCAAGTTGAGAACTTCAATGTCTTGCAGACAGGAGATTGTGTCTGGCAGATGACCCATCAGTGAATTGAAGCTGACATCAAAAACTTGAATGTCTGTGAAGAGCCCAACTCCCTCAGGAATGCAACCTGTTAACTGGTTGTTGAGAAACAAAATCTCCTTCAGTTTATTGCTCATGAAGCCAAAACTAGCTGGGAAGTTCCCACTGAATTTGTTGTTAGCTAAATTGATCACAGAAGCTTGGGAGTTCCCCAAACTTTCAGGAAGTCCACCTGCAATTGGTTGTTGTTGAGAAAGATTGCATCTAGTCTCCTATTGAAGAGATCTTCAGGAATGGGCCCAGAAAAGCTGTTGAATCTGAGGTCTAAGTAAATGAGGTTTGGAATGTATAATGTGACTGTAGGGAAAGAGCCTGAGAAATAGTTGTTGCTGAGGTCCAGCTCTTGGAGTGAGGTGAGGTCCTTGAAAGTGTCAGGAATTGTGCCTGAAAATCTGTTGCTGTTGAGGTGAAGGAGAGACATTTCAGTGAGAAAGGAGAGTTCTTTGACAAGAGTGCCTTTGAGATTGGCATGGTTGAGATCTATACCAGCAACAACAGGGCCAGAAGCTGCAGAAACTTCATATTGAGAATCTGCACAAAAGACCCCTTTGTAAGAACACACATCAGAGCCAACCCAAGTGTCTAAAAATTTTGATGGGTCTTCAGAGATGGCTGATTTCCATGCCTGGAGAGCAGTATAAGCTCTGTCAAGTCCTGAAGCTGAAGATCCAGATGGGGCATTTGGGCCATTTCCGTTGATACCTCCACCAATCCAAACTCCAGCTCCCCCACCCCCAGCAACAGGGCCAACATTAACACCAACACCACCACCCACCCCAAATCCAGCTTCTATAGGAATTACACTCAGTAGGAGAAGAGCTAGAAGCCACCACTTCTCCATTTTCAGTAGAAAAAAACTAAAATATGCTTGTTTGATAGGTTTTTCCTTTTTGGACGAAAGCTTGTTTGATAGGTTTACTTGTAAAGTTGTCCAAGTATGGTCGCAGCATTGAAGAGAGAGAGAGAGAGAGAGAGAGAGAGAGAGAGAGTAGGAACTGGTGGGTTTGTAATTTGGGCTTGAATACCAGCTCTGGTTTATTTATAATTCTTTTTTTGTTTTGTATTTGGTTATTACTTTTCTCTGTACTCATGTTGACTTGTGAGTGATGCAGTGTTCATGGTGATAGAACAAGTTTGTCAGTAGGTTGGTCAATTAGTAAACTCACACAAATAAATGAACTGGGTAAAATTAGTGGCTATGAACTCATTATCAATCACACTGTAGCTTGATCTTAGTAATTCTTACTTGGCACAAAGTGCAGCATAAAAAGAAAATAAAAAAGTCTTAAAAACTTATAATTCAGATAATATTAGCATTTATTTTTGTACCTTCTCCTTTATACATGAATATGAGTGTCCATCCGACAATGGCATCTGAAACACTAAATTTTGGGCTACCTATTGGCTTAAATTTTTTTTCTTGTAACGGGAATAATGTTGTTTTACTGTCTTCGGTCAATAACACAATGACACGTGAAAAAGTTATCTCACGTGTTATTGTGTTATTGGTCAGAGATGACAAAAAGTGTTATCCCAGTTGCATTTCTCTTCATTGACCTTGCTCTGCTTATGAATTAAACCCACCTAGTAAAATTAATATTTATTAATAATTTGTACATAATGGAACTAAATAACATGTCTATAATTCTGCAAAATACTGAAACTTACAGCTTCTTGTTCTTCTGCAGTACTGCAGGCAAAAATATAGAACATGGCAGTGTCTGTATGGCACTTAATATGAATATCCATCATTTGAAAATGAGAACTTGATGGTGTGAATATGAATCAAAAAGCAAAGCGCATGCTATTTTGATTTCTGTATTGGATGGCAGCTAGCTCCCATGGCATTAAAGTGGAATTCCTGCAAAATAGTTGTATTTGTAAAAAAGCTTGGCCACAAGAATTTCAATACCATTTTCTCTAATCATTTGTGATACCCAACAAAAAGAAAATAAAAAAAATGCAGGATCCAGGCAGCATGTGAGTATTAGGTAAGAATTTAAGATTTTTTTTGACAATAGATAATATCATATTAGGCTCCCTATGCATTTTTTTAGAAAGATAAAGGATGTTGGCAATACATAACTATTTGTGGGAAGCAATATGGATACACATTATATGCAGCACAAAATTGGCAAACCAAAAACTCACCTGTATTTCATGTGCTTTTGCTCAGTTGGTGTGGGAATTAATATCAACTCCTCTATTTGCACTAGATGCATCTCAGACTTGATTCCTTACATTTATGGACTGGAAACAAACTTAGGCAACTAACAATATTATATCAGGTGGTTGAGTCATTATATAGTGAGGGTTTTATATATGACCCTTAGGTGATGTTCTATCTCTTAACCATTGGATTAGGCTAACCAATTTGATCCAACGATTAAGACATATGGCCTCAATTATATAGTGAGGGTAAGGCCCTTAGATGAGACCCTATCTCTTAATTATTGAATCAAATTAATTAGCCATTGGATGATGTCGAGTAGTTTAATCCAACGATTAAGATCATCATATCAGTTAGTCTTTTAAAGTTTCATTAGATAGAAATTGGGTTTCTTGGGTTGGACCTTTTAGAGGAGTTTTGAGATGAAAAACATGAAAGGGAAGAAAAGAGAGACAGATTTGGGCTCTGAAAAACAGACTACATTTAATGGCCCAACAATGGTGCTAGTTTGGACTGGGCTTATGCAAAATGGGTAGGCCCATGCATATAGAACAATCCAGTATTAACTAATTATTATTTTTGGCTTCTTTTCTAACTAATCAAAGTCTTGACCAGCAGCAACCAGTCCAATCCAAATTCCAATCACTCAATCAATCAGGTTGCTAGTGGTTAAGCATAGTTTTGAAGATAGGGAACAACAAGATGGCAACTGTTACCCATTTAAAATATTCATCTAACCAATTAAATCCAAAAGGATTATGTTCCATGGGGACACATCAAACCAGAAGCATCCAACAAGTACATATTTGTCACTATCATTCATTACAAAACCTAATTGAACTCAGCAACATTTCTGCTCTTCAAGATTTATTCAAATTTCATCTTCTTCTTCTAGTTTCACTTTTGAATTGCTGCTTCTGGTTCAAGTGAAAGAAAGAAAAATTCATCTAACACCTCCTTTGCAATTTCCAAACTATCATTTTGATCCTCCTGAGGAATGTGGGCCCACTGCTCAGAGTATCCACCAAAAAAAAAAAAAAAAAAACAACCCTTCATGCAAGTTTGAAGCTTCTTCATCTACAAGGTTGCTGTACCTTCCCACTTTGGAAATATTCACAAAGCATATACTTGCATGGATTTGTTTATTTTTAAATCTCTCTCCTTTTTTTCTTCTAAGAAATAGCTTTTATATAATTTTAGTTTCTTAATAATTCTATTGGTCATGCTGTATTTTAGCTTTTGAAGGCTTGTTTTTTACTAAATCTAATTATTTACTAATACTGTCCAAGGGGCTCTTAAACCTGTCTTTTTCTTTATTAACTAACCGCTTCAGGACTTTTGACTCACCATGAAAAAAGATCCACCAGTCACCCTCAGAGACACATGATCATTGGGGCATTGCCGTAATAAAATCCAACTCCAGAGGCCAAATATAAACATCAACTTCATCCCTTAGATTGACTATTTTACAATGTCGATATCAGTCGCCAAAATTATTCGCATACTATATCCAATTCCTTGGCATCTAAGTTAACAGTACACACTCTCTCTCTTCAGTCCCCAAATTTTGAAACCCACCTCTTCAATTTCCCTAATTTCCGTTTTTAGACCCCAAAAAAAAATCCCTTCTTTTACCTTCCAGATCGGTCCCAATTTGATGATTTATTTCAAATCTGCTCCGTGATCCCCAAAGTATGTAACTTTGTAATTTAATTTTGGAAAGTTCTGCAATTTGCGATATTAGGGATTCGGAATCTTTTCTTACCCTTTTGTTTGTTATCTTTAAAATCGGATCTTGTGTTAGGGGTTCTTTCGGTGCGTGTCTGTCTCTGCGTTATGAAGATCGAGGAATTGGAGGAGGCGGAGTGTGATCGGAGCGACGGCGTTTCCGGGAGGCAGATAGTTAGGGTTGATGACGCCAAGAGAGCGCTAGTCGGAGCCGGGGCCCGGATCCTTTTCTACCCGACCCTGTTGTATAATGTGCTTCGGAACAAGATCGAAGCTGAGTTCAGATGGTGGGACGAAGTTGACCAGGTTTTTCTCTTTCATTTCTGTTCTGTTTTTTTGGCGGATTGATTTCGTTAATCCTGTGTTTGTTTGCCTAGAAAGCGTTGGAAAACGGAAATTGTTTTGGTGTGTTATTGACTTAAATTTAAAATTTTAATTTTAAAAAAAAAAAAAAAAAAAAAAAAAAAAAAAAAAAAACAACCTTGTCATGAATACGGGAGTTAGGAGCTATGCTCTGTTTGGTTGCTGGGAAAGCGGATTTCGAAACAAGAAACAAGTTTTTGAAATTGATTTACTTTTGCAAGAAAGTTTGTTTGTGAGTGGAGGACCGAATATATGTAGCTTAATATATGGAAAATTTATTTTCTTGTCAGAATGATATTTTGCTTTTTATTTTTAATAATTGTTTCAATCAGTCTTCTCACTATTATGTAGAATGATTTTGAAATTTTGATGTTTTCATTTTATCAGGACCTTAGAAAAATTGGATTCTTGCATATTGCTAATACATATTTGAAAACTTCTGGCCTTTGCTGGTGATTGGATGCAAGTAGGTCTTGGAGTTGTCTTAGGAGATATCCTTGTTTCAGAGTTCTAATGCTAGTCTGTGTTGTTGTACCTGTGTTGTCTCAGTTTTTGTGTTTAATGGATAAGTGGTGTTGTTTTTCAGTTTGTTCTGCTCGGTGCGGTTCCATTCCCCAAAGATGTTCCCCAGTTGAAGCGACTGGGTGTTGGCGGTGTTATCACTCTCAATGAACCTTATGAAACTTTGGTTCCAACTTCCTTGTATCGTGTGCGTGACTTCTCTGCGCCATATGGTTGTCATTTGCTGCTATTTTGTTAGATAAGAAGGGTGAAATGCATTTAAATCCTGTATATTTAGATTTTTACTCATTTGTTTAAGATGTTATGATTTTCAGGCCCATGGAATTGACCATCTAGTAATCCCGACACGTGATTATCTCTTTGCTCCTTCGTTTGAAGATATTAGCAGGGCTGTGGAATTCATTCACTGTGAGTGATCTTATTCAACCTCTTATCTGCTAGTTTGTAATCTCTTAGCTATCATTTGTTGAAATGTTATTTTAATTTTGTAACCTTTGTTTTTCCCTGGAATACAGTAAATGCATCTTGTGGTAGAACTACTTATGTTCACTGTAAAGCTGGTCGGGGAAGGAGCACAACTATCGTGCTTTGCTATTTGGTAACTGTCTCCTGCCTTCAAAAGTTTTCCTGTTGCGTTAGCTGAAGAGTTACTAATCATTAACCCTTTTCAACCATTTGGACATCATAGGATTCAATTGATTTGCTTTCTGTAGGTGAAACACAAGAACATGACACCGTCTGCAGCCCTGGACTATGTGCGCTCTAGAAGACCTCGTGTGCTGCTGGCCCCCTCACAGTGGAACGTATGTGTTGCAGTTTTCTTATACTTGTGCATTTTATTGTAATCTACAATCTTTTTTCATTTTAAACTTTTGCAGTGACTGATATCATTCATTCCCATACCCATACAACCTCACTCACCATTTTCTACCGTTGCTTGCACTTCAAAAATAAGCAGGCTGTTCAAGAATATAGCAGATGTAAGCCAGCTACCACAGCATGTTCTCCGTCAGGAGATGCAGTTCTAATTACCAAAGCTGATCTTGAAGGCTATTATGGCACATGTGACGATAATGCTTGTAAGCAGTTGGCAATAGTTCCTAAAATGGTGAAGGCCAGTCCCATGATAGCTAGGTTATCCTGCCTTTTTGCATCCCTGAAAGTTTCTGGCAGTTGTGGACCAGTCACAAGGCGGTTGACTGTGCCAGAGTCACGTGCTTGCTGAGCTCTCCCACATCTCCCACATCTCGCACAAGTGTCATGAGTTGTTTTGCTTGTACATAAGAGCATGGTGGAAATAAATGTATGAGTTTTATGAAGTGCGCTTCATGTTTACGAGAGAGAAGGAAATGAAGTAAAAAGGGAAAAAAAAAAAAAAAAAAAAAAAAAAAAAAAAAAGGGTCGGCTTTCTCTGGAAGGTTGTGTATAACACTCTTGGCAACGGCTGAGGAATGGATTTGGAGCTGTACTTGTACATTAGAGTACGTCAATTTTTCTCCTGTTTTTAATTGTCGCTTTGCTTGTTAGTTTCCTAGTTTGTGCCCACCCTTATGTACTGCTGCGTTTAAAATATCATTTTGCTTTAACCTTCTTGGTGTGGGAGAGAGAATATGGTGGTTTGTGTAGATGCTTATGTCAAGTTGTGTTGTGAAGTAGGCTGCACATTTGAAGCAGGAAGGAAGCAAACCCCAATCAAGGGCAACATTGTAGAGCCCAAATAAATCCAAGACAAATTTTGTGACGCATACTAAGCCGCCATTACAAATCTAACCCCAACCCTAAACTAGCAAAGCAACGTCCGAGTAGGACCCAAAAAAAAAAAAAAAAAAAAAAATCAAAAAAAAAAAAATACCAAAAAAAAAAAGACTAATGGGAACACAGCAACCAAGAAAATCATACAATTATTGGAGCATTGGCGATCATTTCAAAATTCAAAAGCTAAAATTCATGACCTCTCTGCGGTTTGTGAGTTGGTGAAGGAAAAAAGAGAAACAAAGATGAAGAGCTTTTAAGTTGTCACAATTAAATAGGAAATTAACAAGCAAGCCGGATTTTTTGTGTAGAGTTTTTTCTATTTAAATTCTACACTTCTCTTTGTTCACTCTTCACTTCTAATTCAAATTTTCACAACTTTTAAGAAAACCTCACTATCTTCCTGAACTATCCCTAAATACACTCATTAAGAAAAACAAAAAAAACTCATCAACCTCACACTCCACATCCCACACCCGATACCCTACTATCTTGCCCCTCACCACTCTTAAGTTTACCTTAACCTCACATTACTTAAAGAAATAAAAATATTGTTGTTAAACGTGTTTGTGAAGAGAAGATGAGAGTGTAGTAGGTTTCTTGGATTGAAGGAGAAGAGTAATATAATATGGCAGTAGGATCTAGATGAGTTTGTATTTTTCTAAAACTTAATATGAAGAGTGGTGGGGTGTGTGGGATATAGATGTACTAGGGTTAAGTATTAAGTTGGATGACCTTTTTTGTCTTCTACATAATAAGAAAACTTAAGAGCTTAATGCTTTAAGTATTAGTGTGAATAAAGAAAAGCGTAGGGTTTAAATAGAAAAATTCTGGCATTCACAACGAATGGATGTCGTGGAACCAACATCTAGGCAGCGGCTGCAGATGGCGAGGGTGGTGATGGAGAAGCCTTTGATGTGCATTAGTTGGGCACTTTAGAGGTTCATAAATTAAGAATCCGTTATTCTCAACAACAACAAAAATTCCCTACTGCTCATAAATTCCAATTCTAATTTTTTTTTTTTGGGGTCGAAATTCCAATTCTAAATTCCAATCCTACTTTTGATATTCTATAATTGCATGGAAAGATGGAGACAAGATAATAATGCTTTTGATATTTTTTGGTTTTGTCATGTAGTAGGGTACCAATGACATTTACCTATTTATAATTATTCATGAACTGACCCCAATGTCTGTTGTCTTATTCGAAAGTATTGGCAAATTGCCATTTGGTCCTTTTGTAGATGAGGACATATTTAAATGACAGGGATTAATTCTTGGGAGACTTTGGAAAAACATAAAGGATGGAGAAATTTTGTAAAAGAAGTCAAAATGGACAAAATTGCCCTTATTTATTTTTGGATTTCCTAAGGAATCATTTACATTTGCATGTCTTTGATTTGAAAGTTGAGAGGTTTTTCTGTCTTTTTTCTCAAAAGAGAAATTTTTTTTTTACTAAAACCTAAATTTACTTTAATTTCTTCGTAATTTTAGTGCGGATTCAAGGCCCATGTTGGGCGGCCCATTTAAGTCCATCCATCCATGCTCACTTACCATTCAATTTCTTTTATTTATTTATAATGAAATAATTATTAATTCGTACCTAAAACTACTCTTCAGGATTATAAACACTCATACGTTAGCAGTTTATTTTGTCCTTTTCTCCTCCTTATCCAATCCTATCTTATCTTAGGATAATATTATTATTATTAGAACTTTGTTTTCAGCATCTGTGACCACATATAGTCTAAATGTTCAATGCGACACTTTTGGCCGATTAGTCCATACACGTTATATATGGAAGAAATTTGCAGAAAACCATATTCTTTCCTGCTTAAACAGTAATGTGATGGAAAAATTCTAAGATGTAATCGTCATGTAGTGTTATTAATATATAAATAAACGTTTTATAACATCACGTGACAGCATGATCGTAATACGCCGAAAAATTAATGACTCAAGTGTGGTAGTAGCCCTGTTGGCTTTTCAAAGAAAGCACCTTTTCAACTGTAGTGGCTGCCTTGTGTTGTGTAGCATCTCGGTACAAACGTCTGGTGTTTTACTGTGTGTCTGATCTGATATGCTATTTCATAGCAAAATCCTATAAACAAACCTTATTTCTACTGTGGATCCTACAATCACATTTGTCATAAATTTTCTCATATTAAAACCTCCTCACAATAAATTTGAATTATTAATATTTTATGCACACAATATTCGTACATGGAACATTATTCTTATATATATATATATATATATATATAATATTTCTATTGTTTTTATCTCATTGCTTAAGTCTCCACTCATGCACGATATGCTCACCAAAACCCTCCAAACCAAAACTAGTACAACTACCTAGAGCTTGGTAGAAGCAGAAGCAGAAGCAGAAGCAGAAAGCAGTGGGAGTTTGTGTTTTTATATATGAAAACTGAAAAGGTGGTGAAATATATAAATATAAAAGGAGTAGGGTGGTGTGGTGTGGTTGGTTGTGGAAGAATCTGAAAAAGGGAGAGTTTGGCCATGTTGTGATATTCGTCCTTGCACTACCTACCACTTACAATTCTTCCTGCAACTTCTTTATGGGACCAAATCTCTGCACATCCACAGATCTTAGCCCTCCCTGCTTCGCCCTACTATCGTACGTACCTATTTTTAAACTCTTCTCCCTCTATATCTCTAAAAAGATACGTAAAAGCACAGAGAGCATCCAAAATCTTCCATAAAGCCAAAGACTTCAATTTCACCTTTTTAGGTTGATGTCGAACAAGACATATATATATACATGTATATATGCAAATAAACATATAATAAATAGGATAATTCATCTGAACGAGGGCTCTCAGGAGATGTTGGTCATTTCGAAACTTAAAGTTTATTCTTGTCCTTTCATTCTTTGTTCCCCTCTTTATTCCCTTCAGAAATTACGATGAAGTTGCCTACCATCCATGTTTGTTTTTAGCTTTATTTCATGCACGTCCCATGAAAATAAAGATAGCATGCACGTTACTCTCTCTCTCTCTCTCTCTCTCTCCTCTCTCTCTCTCTCTCTCTCTCTCTCTCTCTGAGAGGAGAGAGAAAGAGAGATAAGCACATCTTTACTGGTAGTCTATAATAATAATACTGCTGAAAAAGCTCGAATCTGGAATAGAATAAAGCAATAAAGAGCGCCCTCATGAAGTAAGAAATAAAAGAACGGAGGCACTGATCACTACTAAAAATGTGAAACTCCATGTTACTATATCTTATACTAAGATTCCAGATTAATTTCCAACTACGAGTTTGAGCTCAACCCCACTTCCACTTCCTTTAAGAGCAAAAGATGCAATTAGAGCCTTATCAATTTTTCCGAGGGACTTGGTGGTGCATGGGAACCAACAGAGTAAAGTTTCTCTCCTTCCTAACAAAAGAAAAGCAAACTTCCTTTTCATAATATTAATAGGAAAACCTCAAGAGAAATACAAGCAGTCACTCGAAACAGATGAGCCCGAAAGTTCTTCGCATTTGTTGATAATTTAGAACTGACGCGCAGAGAATTCGATCTTCACTGACAAATATATACATTTCTGTATAATTGCTGTATATACGCAAGTAGGAAAAAGAATGGAAAAAAGAAATAAAGGAAGAAGAAAGTTAAGTCTGCTTCCATAGCATATGTGTAAAACACTTACAGATGACATAATGAAGAATCAATTCCTTATGTCTCTTTCTTTTGGATATTGCATGCGTCATTCCTTGTAAAGAGATACACCTCTTCATGCAAATCACAGTTTGACACATATGCAAAAATAATTCATAAAAAACACAAAAAGAAAAACTTGTGCATACATATCACACTGTTATTGGTAGGAATGTAGGCGCTTACATGGTAAGGAGGGAAGTATTTTCCTTTTTTGTTTTGTTTGTTATTCTATGATATATTTTCCAAGTTGTCAAAAAGCAAAGCACTCTGAACAACGATATTGTCTTAATATAATAACACATTTTCATTTCTATTGATATATCTTTACTAACAGAGTTATCACTAACCAAAGCACAATGAACAAAGTATATGTTGCAATTGGCGCAAACTCTTTGGTATTTTTTTTCTCTGTAAAGAACAAGAAAGAAGGAAAGAAACATTATACAAACATTTTCAAAATAAATAAAATAATAACAAGAATAACCCATAAAGATGGTATTGTGTAATGATAAAGGTGATGATTTTCATGCAGAATAATATTGGATTTGCTTTGGGTCTTTGGTTCTCCTTCTATTTGTCAGAAGATGAGAGCAGCAGCCTTTCTTCGTTTTTTCTTTTCTCCTTTTCTTCTTTTTTCTCTCTTTCCTTTCCAACATGGACTGTTTGCTCAGTTAATTCAGTTGAGACCCAAGAGAGAGAGAGAGAGAGAGAGAGAGAGAGAAAGAGAGAGAGAGAGCTTAGCTAGCCAGAGACCCCCCAAGATAGAGAAAAGAAAGAAAAAGTTGATGACCAAACCAACTTCTTTGGCCTCTCACGTTTGAAAGGAACTTGCGGGGGAGAGGGTGGTGGCAAAATACAGATGATGAGGATAATGACTTTGTCTGTCTGTGAGCCTGTGACTGTGACTTTGATGAGGGTGTGTTTATTATTCTCTCTATTGAAATTTTTTTTCTTTTGGGTTTTCTCTTCTACCCATGATGATCTGGGTTGTCAGGGTCAGGCCAGAAGGAAGAGTACTTCATCCACTCTGCCTCTTGAGGGTTTGGCATGGATGACTCCTGCAACAAAATGAATCGTAAGCGTGCCCGGTTTAGATTAGGATAATTAGTAGGGTTTCTATGAAACTAATTTCCTGATAAATAAATTAATATGCAACAAAGAATTTTCTCTGAAAACTATTAAGTACAATTAGCAGATAATTAACAACCGAAAAAAGAGCCCGAGGGGAAGCTGCTACTTGAAGGTATCACTACTTGTATTTTCTAAAAGTGAAAAAGAGAGTTTTTACTTGAGTTTCAGTTGAAGGCTGGTCGTTTTCACAATGTACATTGCTCTCTCTCTCTCTCTCTCTCTCTCTCTCTCTCCTCTCTCTCTCTCTCTCTCTCTCTCCATATAATAGCCTATTTTGTTAGGGTACTTGATCTGATAAAAAAAAGGAATGGAAACACAATTTTTGTTTACGATCTGAATTTAGAAATGATAATGATAATAAGAAATGAAAATGGTGGTAATAAAAGGGTCACATGCACAGTAGCTTTGGTGTTTTGAATTTTGCTATTTTGAACATTATGACGGCTTTACAGTCAGGTAGCAAGAAAGATTATATTCTATAGACTAGCTAGAGTCTAGATATATGCTAAGTGTCTACCAAAACACACACACACACACACACATATGTATATATATAAATGAAAAACAAAGATAAAGAGAAAAGTGCAAAAAGGCTTTGGCTTCTCCTATCTTTAATTTAAATTAATAGTAATAAAGAAATTGGTTTTTGTTGCTTTTGGTTCTTTGTAATCCATTGGCTTACTTTTTCTTTCTTTTTCACTTATGATTAGTCGGCATTATGACAAAACAAAGGTCATGAAATTCAGAGTCAAAAAGTTAGATCGATATATCTACTCACTTCTTTCACATTACTGCTGGAGGTGCATCCCATTATGAGTTCCTCCAAACCAGATGCAGACCTTGCTCCCATTTTATGATGCTGTTGTTGTTGTTGTTGTTGCTGCGCCTGTAGTCATTCAAAAGACAAACCACCAAAAGGAAAATAAATAAATGAATAAAAACTCATATATATATATATATATATATATCATAATGATATTGTCTTCACGGATTAAAAAAGTGAAAAGACAGTTTTCATGCTTGCAATTTAGCAAACACCAAAAGCAACACCAGGGATGAGTTTGCCACATATACAACATGACTTAGACGTAATGAGTTTTAGTTATGTGGATGACCTAATTATTATAACAGACGACCCGGGTGGAACTCAGTCCGAGTCATTGACTCGGTTTTTTTTTCTCTCTCTCTCTCCCCTCCACCACCTTTTGTTGAGGAACATTTTTTTTAATGAAAGTTTGGCGGGACAAATTAAATACACCTCTCATAAGAACATGTACGTGACCACTAAAACAAGAAAAGAAAAGGAGAATAATGTAAAAACAAACCAACTAGAAAACTTATACGCACTATTCCTTTTACAGGCCATGAGCTCTAAGTGACATGGCATGGATGATATATTGGGTTTTGTTAAATACCTGGAAATTTTCATTTTGGAGCATGATTCGAGAGTAAGAGTCTTGGTCGAGAATGATGGAGGTGTGATGGAGAGGAGGTGGAGAGATGATGGTGGAAATGGGATGTGAAGGACGGCTGATGTGGAAAGCTGTAGCAATTTGTTGATGATGTAGTTGCTGCTGCTGTTGTTGATGTTGATCATGCTGATGGTGATCAGGTACTACTTCATGGGCCATATGATGATGATGATGATGATGAGGCTGTGGTACTGATCTCTGGTGGTGGTGTTCCCCTCTCATCTCTTCGCACGTGCCGGATGCCGGTCCTTCCCTTGCTGTTGAAGCCTCTCCTCCTATCCCCACCTGCAAATGGACACCCCATGAACAAATTCGCTACCATGTCTATTTTTTTTTATCAACCACTGTTTATTAATCACTTCCCTTTTTACTTTTTATTGTTTTAATTTCTATATGTCTATGTAATTTGTTTACGAGTGCTACCCTTTTGGTGGGTAAACTGGTTTTTAGTTAGATGACAGTGATAATCAAGAGAGGTCCATGAAATTTGTAATGCCACAAATGCAAGCAATGGGTTTGAGAGGAAAATAGTTAACAACATTGAAACCTTTTTGATAGCAACATATATTTACATAATATATGACTAATTAAATTGTTGGAAAAGATTAACGTAAAAAACAAAATGATGTTTATAAGTGTTTGATTTAAAAATATAAGTTGCATGGAAATTTAATTAAAATGAAATTAAAAATATTTAAGTGTGAGTGTGTGTACGTATATATGAAAATTAAAATAATCACCTCATCAAAGCTTTTTCTGAATGGGGCAAAGCTGAAGTGGTCTGATTTCAACTGATGAATGTCCATGGCACTGTAACTTGAAATAGGAGCAGCAGCTGCAACTCCAGATGCTACTGCAGACATTTGGTCATGCTCTCTATGAGAATGAGAATGAGAATGGGGTGGTATTATTTCTTTAGAAGAACAACTCCCACTGCCACTATCTCTTCTGCTATTAGCAGGCACGATATCACTGCTTCCTTCACCAGTTGTTGCGCTTGCTCTATCAGACCAGTTGCATTGCCTGGGCTGTGTCTGATAGAATATCTTTGACACCACAAGCTCTCCTTCTTTCTCTTCCTCATGCTGCCCAAGATGGTATTGGTGCATCACCCAATTCGTCTTTTCGGGTTTTCGATTTTTCCCAAAGTTGGTGTAGAGGACCAGGATTTTCTTGCACCCTTTTTGTTTGCCATTCACCATGACTGGCCTGGTCTTGCCTGTCTTGTGCCACCTTGTTTCCCCACCTTGCAAGTCACATTCGGTTTGGATTTTTCTTCTTTTTCTTGTCCCAGTTGTGTAAGCTTTCGAAGGTCTGTGGAAGAAGTGCCTGCTCAAGCCATCTCTTGTGACTCCTGTTGCAAGAAATAATGTCGTCAAGCAATCAAAATCAAAGTTAGGTTGACTTAGGTATGACAAAATTTCACCCAATTAATATTGAGATTCTTCGAATTAAGTCATAACCAACTGAAGCAGTGTATGGGAAGAAACAGACTAATTGCAATTCATAAAATTTCAACTTAATTAATCAGAGAGAGAGAGAGAGAGAGAGTAATTTTCAAATAGTGATCATCACCTGGAAGTTTTTCAGGATGGGTGTAACAAATCCCATCTTCTCCTTCAATTGTAGGGATGAACTCATCAATCAAAGGGTGAGACTTGGTGTCTTTGCCTTCTACCTTTGCTTCAAGGTGTTCAATCAGTTCTTGGTCTGTTGGATCAAATTTCACTCCTGCTGGTAGACCTAACCAATCCTGCAGCAAACTCCATTTAATTTAGTAATAAGTTTCAAGTAAAAATATTGAATTAAAGCAAGAAAGGAGAACAAACAAATTAAAGTAAAAGATAAAGATGGACCCTTTTTTTATAAATTTTTTTCTCCATATTGAAAATAATTACTATCAAATTTTATATACAAGAAGCATGATACTTTCATATGCCAAATCCTTTTTGTAGAAGATAAGAATAGTATTGGATTAGTATAATTATCCATACCGGCTTTCCTTCGAGTTTGTGTCCACAACCGGGGCACTGCTTGGATCCACACATCTGATGCTCTTCAAGCTTGGCATCAATGAGATCAGAGCTTCTGATGGACCCCAAATTACTCTTATTCATTGCTCTTTTCAACGTCCAGGATTGGATGCTATCTCCTTTCTCTCAAACTCATCAACTTACATATGAAATTGTCACCATCCTTGTAAAACAGCCTGCTGCTCATATCCCAGCTGCTTGCTCTCTATACAGAAATCATACACAAATTCGATTGAGATCTATCGATATATCAACTGTGTGCACAAAAGGGTACTCTTCAAAAAGAAAAAAGAAAAAGAAATGAATTTGATTGATATTGTTGGATTGGTTCAGGAACTTGATGAAAGATCAAAATATGAACAAACTATAGAGCCCTTCTCAAGCAAGAAGTACAGCTTCATCAAGCTGATGAAGTATGAAAACAAAATATCAAAAACAAAATCTTTATATGAAAAGAAATATAAACACAAGTTTTGCAGATTGGAAAGTTGTTTCCTTGGCTGAAACTGAAACCAATATGAAAAAAGAATAAATTTTGGAAAACCAAAATGAGAAAATAAGCACCCAAGACAGAAAATACAAATATATTTTTATTGAGGAAAATCAGTGAGCAGGAGGAGAAGAAGCTGAAGCTATAGGAGAGAAAAAGAGGAAACTGTCGCAGTGAGGTTGAGCTATAAACCTGCTTTAACCATGGAAAACACCAGAGCTGAGAGTTGCCTCTCTACTTTAACTGAAGGGGCAGTGAGAAAAAAAAGGAAAAGTTGCTCTCATACCCCTATACTACTACATACCACCTTTAAGCCTTAAAGCCTTAGCTAATTTAAGCAGCGCATGTAGCTAGGCGGTTTGGGAGAGAGAGAGAGAGAGAGAGAGAGAGAGAGAGAGAAACACACAGAGACAGACAGAACCACAGACACACACACACACACAGAAGAAGAGGATAGAAAGAGAGAAAACCAAGTTGGTTTTTCTAAAGCTAGCTAGCTCATCAAGGCCTCTCCCTCACCTTTGTTTGAGCCTTGACTACAAAAGCAAAAGGCAAGAAACGGCCTTCACAGCTGTTACTAAAGCAGAGGAACCCATCTTTCACATAGTACTAATATATTTATTGGAAAAAAAAGGAAAAAAAAATTGAGTGATACAATATTACAGTATCTGTATATATATATATTACTTGTTTATAATAAAATAATGGTTGGTATTTTCATGGTAAAAGGTAGATGTCAATAAAGTTGATATTTAAATTCTTGAAACACACCCCACCCCCCCCCCCCCCAAAAAAAAAAAAGACATACTTGAACTTATACGTGGCAGCAGAGACTTTGAGTGATAAAGACGAAATCAGGAATTTTACAATCCCAGACATTTTTACTTTATTTTTGGTTTTGTATAACATATTATAGTTAAGAGGCATAATAAAAGCCAAATCTTTTCTTCATGGCAGTGAGAGAAAATGAAAAAATAGTAGAGAAGAAAAAAGAAAGATGATAGGTACTCACATGGGTTTTGAGCTGGAGTGCTGATCATGATGCTTTTGCCATGAATGCTGCAGAGAGAGGGGAGAGAGAGGAAAGAGAGGAGAGAGAGAGGTATTAGAAGGTTGCTTGATAAGCAAGGCAAATGAGCAGTATACTTGATGGACCACCACCACCCCTTCTAATTAGAACTTATGCAAAATCATATTAAAGAAATTTTAGAAAACTTGATGTGGAAGCACCCAATAAATTACCTCATCCGAAAAGGGATGATATATATATGTCTTTTTTTAATAACCGTAGTATTATATTTTCTATTGGACCCTCTTTCTGGCTTGTGTTATTTCTATTTAGGGGAGAAATCTAAAGTACTTCGCACTCATACCAATTATGCTAGCCTCCTATATGTGAAAGATGTAGGGCCCACAGCCCTTGTGGCCTGGAAAATCTTGTGCTCTCAAAAGTGTCCTGATATATCAGATGATGGTGAGCCCTCACGTTTATAACATTCATTCAAGCAGTCAAAAATAAAATGATGGATGGTCCAACATGCTGCTTACACAACAGATAGATGTCCATGATTACTCATTTGTCTGATATCCCTTCCTTTTTTCTTTATTGGGTAAAAAGAATTTCCTAATTTAATTCAATTTGTTAATTTATTTGGGCCTTCAATTGTGCATCTTTAATAAAAGATCATTGATTTTTTATTTTATTTTTTATAATACAAGTGATAGTTTAAATTATTCTAATATGTGGGAATGGGAATTCAAACTTAAGTGCAAGGGGTTAGGTTCACTGTCCTGACCAATTGGCCTCACGGATGCCTGCAAAGATCATTGATTCTTCCAGAGGTGAAGATAAATACAGAGAGCAAAACCATTAAACTTGTAGAAAGCCTTGGGTTTGTTGTGTCCTTTTTGTCCCAAGGGAATGAAAGAATCAGACTGACTAAGCCAACAGCAGAACCCACATTTCTCAACACTGTTTATATATATATATATATATATGCTCTATTGATACTTTGAAGGTGGCATGTGTATCTCCAAATTAAATGTATTTATCTTGAAATTAGAAATGGGTTATGTCTTTTCTTAAAAGAGAAAAAATGCGGCAAGGAATATTAACTATATATATATATAATTTGTCAAGAGGAATATTAGCTGTACATATAACAAGGGTCAATTCAAATTGAGCATTGCATATGAAATATTCCAAGAACTTTCAAAGTACTTGCATTATTTGGGCACATCTTTACGAGGAAAATACTCCCCTTTCTATGAATTGAAGTAGAGACAGGTATGAGAATATTTCTTACAAGTAGGTTGGTAGAATAATAATACTTGATACATCTCAAATTTTATTCAGATTCAGCCCAATTAAGGAATTAAATTTGCATTTTATACAAAATGACGACCAGAAAAAAGTGACCTGAACAAAAATCAAAACAATAATATCGGGAAGGACAATGGCTTTAGACTTTAGCTAAAACTTGATGATGTCCGAGACCAAAAGAAATTGCTTCATACGAATACTGTATTTGAGCACATCCCTTTTCAAATGCTCAAGAGGCATACTGCATGCTCGCTTACGCACACACTTACAATATTCTACAAGTCATGATCCTTTTCTACTAAGCTGAACCGTTGGCGTAAACGACTTATATCTTTGATAACATTTATCTCCTCACTCAAAGTCAAAGTTAGAGTTTGAATACTCCTCCTGGGGTGAGAAGACCATCTGGTCATAAATAATGGTCGCAGGAAGCAAACAACGTACTTTAATTAGAAAAAATATTCATGATGAAGATGAGTTCTATCATAATGGTGTTTGTGCATGCATGTTTACAGATTTCTCATTGTCAATCAGATGGTAAACTGCGTATGAGTGGGTGGTTGCAAAATGCCAATGGATGCTCGACAGAAGCAGTAAAACCGTCGGCATATTAATGATTTCTGAAAGCAGAAAGTGAGAGAGAAGTAGAGGAGACAAAAGAAAAGAATATAATTTTTTTTTCTTTTCTTTTCTTTTCTTTGTTTTGTTTCCTTTTCCAGGTTGGCCAAAAAATTAAAAAAAAGAAGAACGTTGAGATTATAGAAGACAAGGATAGAGCATGGACGTGCAAGTTTTGTCATTCTAGTTTGGTACGACTCTAAAATGCTTAGGGAGAGGAAGAGCAGAAGTGATGTTAGGTTTATCTACCATCTAACATTGCTTCCACTTCTTCACCAATTTTTGCAATTTGACTTTCCATTATCATTGCAAGTTCTATCTAACATCTCTCGCTCAGTTTTGTTCAAATCAATATAGAACTAGCAAAGCCACCACTAAATACAACATTAATAATAATGATTACAATACTAAGCACAATAGCTTGAATTGCGTCGGGTTATCGGGTAAATCAAGGTTTTTAAAAAAAAATATGACAGATCATACATGGCACTGCAACTCACTGCCTGACAAACTCTACCAACAAAATTTATATATAAGCCGTACGTATCAAAATGCTGCTTGTCCAGAATCATCAATTTATTGGTTGACACTCTGAAATAATGTACAAAGTTTCCTCGTTTATCTGAAATTCTTGTATAGGAGCTCTGTAATGCATTCGTCGAAATACTACGAATCAGGTTACTACCCAGTTCGGTGTATGAAAACAACTCATTTTACATGGAACTTTTTGCTGACTGAGTCATAGCTTGGGACTCTAGTAACTGCAAAACAAGATTGTGAAACGCAAAGCCATTATAGCCGAAGGATACTTGTGAGCCAAAAACAGAGAATTGTCACTAAGCTGGGTACATACCATCTCCATATGATGCCATTGTAAGAGGGGAAGATAAAAGCTTTTGACCAATTGAAGCAATATCCTCCAAAGAAACCTCATCCACAGCCTTCAAGAGTTGGCTCAGTTTCCTAACAAGACAATATATTTCCATGAAGAGAATACCAGAAGCAGACTTCTTTCAAGCAGTTTATGCAAAGTATAAAACATGTAAGCAGCAAATGGTATTGTCCATTTGAAAATGTGCGTGTATGAGAGGGAGAAGAGTCGTGAGTAGTGATATGACAATCCTTTCATCAGAGAAAAACAACTAACAAGCAAGGTTCACATCTGACACAAAGTTCATCACAAACATATATGGGCATGAGAAAGGCCATACCAGTCATTGTACGTCAGAATTTGCCTCCCAAGATCATCTGCAACAACCATCTACAGAACGCAAATCAAAAGTAAGCAAATAAAATAACATTTATAAAAATCTCGACACCAAGATACACAGATCCTAGAAGTATAAATCAAGTATGAAGTTATTGTTACGAAATTCACTGATTGTTTACGTACTCTGGATTCCAAATTCATAAGAATGGAGGACTTTGTTGACTTTTTAGCACGATCTAGCTGTACCTGGTCCACTGTGTATAAGAGAAAATAACATGTCAGTCACTGTTTCCAATTTTCAAGTAAAGCAAGGAGATTAAGAATCAAAGGAAGCCAAGATAACCTTCTCCAGGTGTTGCAATCGCAATAAGCTCATTAGCTGCTATATCAATGGCTTTTGTGACAAAATCTGAACCCTGAAATCCAGATATGGCTCCTAAATTATTTACACATATATCTAGAAACTAAATTTTCCTATTTCACATTTCACATGACATAGAGTAGTTACTTACAGTGGCAGCTTGGATGCCAAAAATGCCAGTATTGTTGTAGATGCTACTGAATGCTGAAATGGAATGTAATTCTAAATGTTGATTTAACACACGAGAATCTGCAAATCACACAGCAGCACATATATTCAGATGTCAAGGTTATTTAAATCAGAAATAAATATATAAAAAAAAAGAATGAACAATTCATTTATAAAAGAATGGTATAGCTGAAATATAAAACAAAGGGATCCTACTTCCTAGTGACTTAGATGCTCCTATGCAAAACAAATGTATAAACAAGACCTCTTGATTAGCATTTTTTTTTTTTTTTTTTTTATTTTTTTTTTTTTTTTGTTTTTTTTTTTTTTTAAATTTCTGTTTTGTCTTTTAATTTTTTTTTTTTTTCTTTTACATAAAGACGTGAGTGCATCCCTTTTCCAGGTCCGCCAGCTGAAAAAGATCCACCTCCTCCCATTAGCACCTACAATAAACTGGATTTATTACTGCTTTCCAATTTCCAATCCTATTAAAGAGCATAGAATGAAAATTTTAAATGCATATGATAAATAAAGTAAGAAGGAATGCGCACTACAAAAAGGTATTATAGCCTTTTTGGGGGAGAGGGAAGCACAAGGAGTTATATTTACTATAGAAAGACAAAATCGATATAGACCTGAAGGACATTCACAATCATTGCATCCTTCTCGTTGAGCCAACCACCAGGAAGTTCAAATGCAAGAGCAAAATGAGTTTCCTGTTGCAATGCAAATCAAACTTATTGATGAACAAGAAAGAGAGGATAGAAAATTTAGATCAAACATATAAGATACGCACCCCTGAATCACCTTGACCACGGTAATCACCTCCTGTATACACAGATTTTGGCTCATTGGCAGGAGGGACATTGGGGAGATCAGACAAAAGTGGTTCTGCAATTTTTAGAAGCTCCTCATGTTCAACACCATAAGCTGCAAGTACCATTCGAGGAGCAGTATAATTTTCCTGAAATTCTCAATAAAAACATCAGTTTATTGGGAAAGATCGACTAAGAAAATAAATAACTAACAAACATAAAAGAACATAATGAATAATATGCATTCAATAAACTTACAGATAAGAATTCCTCCAAAACGTTACTGTTCAGTCTACTAATTGAAGATTCTGGGGCTAAAAGTGGATTCGCCAAGCCACCCTTGTAACCAACAGAGTGAACAGCTTCCAAAAGAAGGGCTTCAGGGTTTGTGGAGGCTTCACTAATATTATGTTTCACCTTCTGAAGCTGTAAAAGATGGAATACAATACCAATATTAGCCATAAATTTGGCATGGCATGTAAATTTTCGGCAGAAGAGCAGCAAGACTCTGGAAATTTACCTCCTCATTGATCTCCCAGTCCAGGAAAACAGGGTTCCGAACACAGTCAATAAGAAGCTCTACCATTTCAGGAACATAAGTCTTCAGAGCATTGAAGGTGTAAGCCATCTGCTCCCGAGAGGCTGAGGCTTGCACGTTGCCACCAATTGCCTCCACCTCTCGCACAATACGCAAATGGCTTCGGTTTCTTGTGCTCTTAAAGGCCATATGCTCCAGAAGGTGAGTGGCGCCAGATGATTCCGGTGTCTCATAGACCGAACCACAATTAACATATAAACCTACTGAAGCTGCTGGTTTCTGGTTGACCAACAAAATCCAACAGTGAGCGAGTTAAAATTCTTAATCCCCCGTTTCAGGGAAACAAGAAATAGAAAAGAATAAGCACTTCCAAGGACATACCTCTGACTTCAGAGAAGCTATTTTGACACCATTTGGCAGAGTTGTAATCTTGGGTTCCACTGGTTGAACATAGTCAGGCAATGCAGGTGGGAGTTTGATGCCTGCAAGTGGAAAGTCTAGAGGAGGCATAGACCTGGACTTTCCTCCAGTCAGCCAGCCAAAAAGAGCTCCAAAAGGAGAGGAGGACGGCGGCTTCGTGGCAACATCATTCAAACTTGAAAATCTGGCCACTCCCCTATTGAATGTACTTGTACGGCCCTGATCCCCTCGTTTGAAATCAGAGAATATCAAAGTTACATTCTATGATCAGATTACCAACATACATAGAAACACACACACAGACAGACAGACAGACAGACAGACAGACATACATACATTAGTTCCATTTCCATATATTTTGTATGTATTTATGTATGTTTATATGAGCCCCATATATTTTGTCCAGAAACTAAAAGACTGAACTTTTTTTTTGGGGTAAATTATTGAACCTCAACTTCACCAAAACTTGCACGGGTTTGAATTTTACTCTTGTAGCATGTCATAAACTCTAAATTTTATTTTCAAAATTGAAATTTACTGGTAGAACGAATTGAATTTTACCATTTACGCTAAAAAATATTTGAACTTCACTATTCTAACGAATTGAATATTACTATCTTAACGTGTTGTCGTAAATTTTGAATTTTCTTTCCTATACTTTCACGGCATCCAAGCAACCGTTACGCATTACTAAAATCCAGATTAAATCACCAAAATCAGGACGCAATCAGAGAGTTCAGAATTAAGATTTTTCAGTGACAGAGGCAGCCAAGCACTGACCTTGAGAGCCCTAAGGCGCGAAGCTGCGGTTTTGAACATGGCGATGGCTGCTGATGATCACACAACCAAAATCCTAGACTGTGCGGACTCCGCCTTGTCTGCGAAATTTGGAAAAAAGTGTTAGAAGAGTGGAGGAGAAGACTCCGCTGTGAGGAACTCACTGGTTAGCGCGGGTTGTGCCCCCCACCATTGGCCACCGACACACCGTGTATGGAATTTTCTAGAGGGAGAACTCTGAACGGTTGAATATGATCACAAGATTCTGATTGAATCTTGACATCGACGGACAGAGTGGTGCCAACTCATCACGAGTGTCTGGGCATATTTGGTCCGGGCTTAAATTGAACTGGGTCAAAAGAAAAGAAAAAACAAACAATAAACTATTTTTATTTATTTTTTTCTTGTATAACAAGAAAAATTAAAATCAAAATCAAAATCCCACTAATTATTGTTTAATTTAAACACTAGATTTGAATCTGTCAAAATCTCTATATTTATCGAATGTGTTAAAATCTCTTAACTATGGACATCCAAATTGGTTCAAGTTAAGTGGTTTATAGAATGTGTTAAAATCTCTATATTTTGTGATGTCATTTGTGTTCTTTATAGAATATCTCTCTATTCAAAATTAGGGTGCGTGTACGTTTTAAGATGAATAGTTTGCGTGACATATGGTTCCGTTCAAGTGGTTGAATAATTCTAGCAACTTATAAGCATCCAAGAATGTGAATAGATCCTTTTTAAACTAGTAGCTCATGGTGATGCTAATGTGATATGAGACACTGATATCCTTTGTCAAATTATTCTGTTTAGAATTGACCCTTTTTCTTGCAAGATTTTAAATTCTTGGGTATCATGCCAACTTGAAAGCAAATTCAGACATTTTTAGAAGCTTGAAGATGAGCAATGAAGTGGATCAAGGTGAACATAAAACAATTATAATATAAACAAGATGAGACAGAGTGAACAAGTTTATAAGGGAAAAGAATAAAATCAGTTCTCATATATGATCATGCTCATGCTGTCATCATGCAACAAGAACCAACAAATCCTCTAGTATGTCAAAATCATTAAAGGGTATATATATATATATATATATATATATTTTAATTCAAATCCATTATTCTCAATATATATTCCTCTTGTAATCACAAGTGACAGTAGGATTATATAAAATAAAATAAAAATCTTCCTTCTTTCTGGTAACACAATCAGATTTAGAATATATATGCAGGAGAATGCCCATGAAATCCCTGATATGGAATGGAATATTATCAATATTCTTTATGTGGATAAGTAGTTCTAGTGGAAGTCATAGTTGCTTCTATCCCATAATTAGGGTGATCCTTTTGTTCATATTTTCACTTTTAACCAAGAAATGATTAAAAGAAAATTTGCATTTGGATAACATAAATAACAAACAGAGAATGAATTTTTGGACAGAAAAAACAGAAAGAAAAGAGAAGAGATTATGCTAAAATCATTCATGTAGTTTACTGCATATCAGATCAATCAACTGCCATCTCTTTCCTTCTACTTGTCCTGCAGATGCTATTCTCTTCAATATTCACCTGTTCTCCTTTTCCTGCACAACAATTTGCTTCCTATTTGCAATGGCTATATACAAATAGTAGCTTGGCTCTGTCTTAATTTGTTGCAAAAACTAGAACCATGGCAACAGTAATGGGAGGCTTACATGGGCCAGTGGTTGCAGCTTCCTGGACTAAAGACTGCACCTTCCAATTGTTGTCAAATTGTTAGTTCTTCTTACTTCTCCAAGTCATATATATGATCATATTTCTAGCTTATATCACACAACGAATGTCAATAAAATTTTTCTTCATTTTTTTTTGTTCAGGCTTTCTGCAGAAACCAATTTTCACCAAGACCTCCACTGCTAAGCTCAGTTTTCCTTGCATGCCATTTATTGGGGTTGCCTTCAAGAAAACAGAAACTCATGTTGTATCTCCTAACATATCTTCACCAAGCGTGACGACGGGGTTACTTGATGCATGGGACGATGAATATGGCGGAGTCATAATGAATTCAGAGAGCCTACCCATGAGTGCAAATGCTTTTGCATCTGCTTTTCAGGCTTCTCTGTCCAACTGGAAAATTAAGGTCCAATAGATGTGAACTATATATAAAAATTCCTACCTTATTCTAACAAAAGTCTGATCTTTAAATTGAGATGCTATTATGTGCAATGCAGGGGAAAAGAGGGGTATGGCTCAAAATACTACAAGAGCAAGCTGATCTTGTCCCAATTGCAATTCAGGTAACAATTCAATTCAATTCAAGTGGTCTGATTGTCTGTTATCATCAATGATACAATCACTTTCCTAATCATTGTTTATTTTCATCTAACCATAAACTACTAATTAATCTTTTAAGTGGCAACCAATTTGTTAATACAATTTTCAAGACATCTGATTATCCTGCATTCAGGAAGGTTTCAACTATCACCATGCTGAACCAGGATTTGTTATGCTAACATACTGGATACCTAATGAGCCTTGCACGCTTCCTGCTAGCCCCTCACATCAAATTGGCATTGCAGGATTTGTGATCAATGACAAAAGAGAGGTATCTATGGCAATCATATTTACAGTTATTTTGAAGTTTATGGGACCATTTGTAAAAATTCATAAAAATTTATATCTGATCCAATTTAAATAACACAAGGTTCTTGTGGTAAAAGAGAAGTGCCCTTGTAGCTGCTCTGGTGTGTGGAAGTTGCCCACTGGTTATATCAACAAGGTTCATATTTTCTAGTCTTGATTTCTCTACTTTTGAATTCATAATTTCCAGCAAGCCCAACAATAATGTGATCTTCTTCTTTTCTCAGTCTGAAGACATATTCTCTGGAGCTATCAGAGAAGTGAAAGAAGAAACTGGTGTAAGAATATAAATGTTCATCTTTCTGTACCATTATCATTGAATCTCACTTGTTTAACTACTTCTTACTGGTCACCCATTTCTCTGTTCACAGGTTGACACAACTTTCCTGAAAATGGTAGCTTTCAGGTAAGGCTTTCTGTTGGCACCAATCTTCCCTTTGGTTGGTTGACACAAATTTCCTATGAAATAGCCTAACTTGATCCCCTTTCTTTTTGCATGTGTAATTTCTATTTCCTTCTCCTCTGCAACTTGAAAGGCATGCACACCTGGTTGCATTTGATCAGTCAGACTTGCTCTTTGTCTGCATGCTCAAGCCATTGTCTTATGACATCACAATAGATGACAAGGAAATTCAAGCTGCTAAGGTATCATACATATAATGAAAATTTACTCACTTTTCATCCAATTTTTCTTTTGTTCTCACTCCAATTTCTGATTGATTTGTTTGATCATCTTTCTCAGTGGATGCCTCTTGATGAGTTTATTGCCCAGCCATATTACCAAGATGACCCCTTGTCCAAGAAAGTCATTGAAATATGCACTGCGGCTCAAGAAGATCGCTACAGTGGCTTCACTGGTCATCAGCTCAACTCAAAAATTGATGGAAAATTATCCTACTTGTATTATGATGATTTAAAAAATATTTAGAAATTTCATCTTCTATATTATTCCAAGAGGCATGCCTCCTCAATCTATATTATTACCTCACTTCCGACAACATGTGATCCTCCTAGTATTATATTAAAGGAACGACATCAAAATAAACCCATAAATTTGAATCAACAATTGATTAATGAGTACAAATAATCTTATTGTCACGTGACTCTCGATCGATTAAATCATGTGATCGTGATCCATTTTCATTGTTAGCTCCTTAAAAATTAAAAATAAATATAAATAATTGTTCAACTCTTTGATAACACAGAAAACCAACTTCTATTTATCCAAGAGATGAATGTAGTTCAAAAGAGTGTTTTCGACTATGGAAGGAAGAACCCTAATCTTAATCAATCATTTTATGGGGACACATACATTAACACCACCAGAGGGGTTTAGATAGCTCTACAGAGAGCACACATTAATTAAGGCTATGGTGGCCACTGGCCATACATACAGATGGCACAAGCCCACTGATCTCTGCTGTCCATAACGTCTATAACAATGACATAAGCACCATCTCAGATTCGATGTGACAAATTCCTCCCCCTCCATGAACCCTGCTTTTTTCTCCAACCATATCATCTTCACTTTTCATTTTCCACACATCTCCCCAAAATCCCTGTGAACCTCTTTGCTTTTGCTTCTCTACAAAATCACTTTCTAGCAAAGGACGTGTCGTATTCACGCAAACACTGGCGCCCAAACTTCAACGGTCAAACGTTTCCTTTTCTTTTTCTAAATTCTAATTTACTTATCCTCCACTCCACGGCTATTAATTTCTGCCAGCCATAAAAATAAAATTGTTAACCGTTAAAACAAAATAATTCTAGAATCTATAAATTTCCCAAAATGGTAGTTGGTTTCTTCTCCAAGTATTGAAGCTCAGGGTTTTTTTATCATCGTCAAAAACCAATAGAGAAAGCGAAACAAACAAGTTTCATTTCATCCACCGTTTTTCTTTTTCTTTTTCTTTTTCTTTTTCCGTTCTTTTTTCTTCTTCTTCTATATATGATTATGAATATGGTGGTTTTCTCTGTTTCTTATACCAGTCCAAACTACTTGTCGTTGCTCTCTGTTTTCCAATGGACTCAGTTTACCCTTCTTCCTCTGCAACCATTTCTCTGAAGCCTCCACGTAACTCGGATTCAAACTCGTTTTCGGGTTCCGGAAATTGGGTTACGAGCTCTTCTGGTTCGGATCACAAAGTCGGGTCCTTTTCTCGTTCCCTGATGGAAAAAAAGCTTCATAAGGTTGTGGTCGGTGACGCTGGTTATGTGCTCGAAGATGTTCCTCATTTCTCTGATTACATTCCTCATCTCCCTGTACGTCGTCGTTCTCTGCCTTATATTTTCATTGCCCGCCAAATAAAGAAGAAAAAGACAGTTTTTTTTTTTTTTTTTTTTTTTTTTTTTTTTTTTTTTTTTGGTGTTTTTTGGTTGGTTTGGTTGTTTATATTTGTGAGTTCTTTATGTAATTGTGGTAATGATGGGTTGTTTTTTGTTGGCCTTGTAGACCTACCCAAATCCATTGCAAGACAATCCTGCATACTCAGTCGTCAAGTAAGCTGTCTTCAGCTTTGTTATGTGTACGTCTCATTTCTCTGCACAATTGGCTAATTTATAGGAAATTGTTTTTTTCTAAAAATTTATTTTCAGGCAGTACTTTGTTAATGTGGATGATACTGTTGCCCAAAAGGTGAGCTTTTTCATATAGATAATGGATTTTCGTCCTTCATATTTCTGTTGAAGAAATTGTTCATATTGTATTTGCAGTATAAATTATGCTCAAGTATGTATTGTCCTCTCTTCTGATTGTTGTAGATTGTTGTTCACAACAATAGTCCGAGGGGCACACATTTTCGGCGTGCTGGACCACGTCAAAAGGTATGTTTCTGTGAATTTTATGAATGGAGCTTGAAATAATCAAGTACCATGGTTCTGTCAATGACTACGTTTTTCTTGTTATGCAGGTGTATTTTGAATCAGATGATGTTCATGCTTGTATTGTGACATGTGGGGGCCTGTGCCCTGGGCTCAACACAGTGATTAGGGAGATAGTTTGTGGTTTGCACCATATGTATGGTGTAAAGAAAGTTCTGGGAATTGATGTAAGCTATTGCTGCAAACTTTCATTTCCAAAATTGGTTTGAAAGTATAAGAAATGAAGAACAGAATTAAGTATCAGACGATGGCTAATGAAGTTGATAAATTTGCAGGGAGGATACAGGGGTTTCTACTCTTGTAACACAATTTCTTTGACCCCTAAGAGCGTGAACGATATCCATAAGCGTGGTGGAACCATCCTTGGAACATCACGAGGCGGCCACAATACCTCAAAGATCGTTGACAGCATTCAAGACCGTGGAATCAATCAGGTTTTTTATCATACTTAATCGATGCTATTCGTTGATCAGCAGTTTGTTGTATGCATTTCTTGTGGGTCTAAATATGAATGGACCATAGCTTTATATCTTTCTATGTGACAGGTTTACATAATTGGAGGAGATGGAACCCAGAAGGGGGCATCTGTGATATATGAGGTGATGTAATTTTACAAGATCTTGCCAATCTTTTTTTCCTCTAGGTCAAGGCTTAGGCAGCAATCTTTCAAAACACAAGAAAGGAAATGTCATTTGCTTGTGCAAATTATTCATTGACATTATGGTTATTCATCAAGCAGGAAATTAAAAGACGTGGTCTCAAAGTGGTAGTTGCTGGAATCCCCAAAACCATTGATAATGACATTCCGGTAACATTTCTTGGCCACCCCACCTGTTGCTGAGTTATGGGTGTTTTTTTTCTGAGTTTTTCTATTTAAACCCCACTTTTCTTTGTTCACCCCAATACTTAAATCATTAAGCTCTTAAGTTTTACTATTGTATAAAAAGACAAAAAAGGTCATCCAACTTCAGAGGTTGATGAGTTTTTTTTTTTTAATTTTGTCTACTGGGTGTGTATTTATGGGTAATTTGGGAAGATAGTGGGGTTTTATTAGAAATTGTGAAAATTTGAATTATAAGTTGGGGTGAACTTAGAATATGGGTTGAACAAAGAGAAGTGCGGAGTTTAAATAGAAAAACTCTTTTTTCTTCTCAGAAATTCACAAAATTGTTCAATGCTGTCTCTTGTTGATACAGGTTATTGACAGGTCCTTTGGCTTTGACACTGCCGTGGAGGAGGCTCAACGAGCAATTAACGCGGCCCATGTTGAATCTGAAAGCGTTGAGAATGGAATTGGCGTTGTGAAGCTGATGGGCCGGTATAGTGGTAAGCTTCCTGCTTGCTCATGACATCTTCCATTTTAGAAACTCCTTCAGAATGTCCTGAGAAGTCTTCCTAGCTTCCTGCTTTACTTGTTAAGTGCATGTTCTCACCACTTAAACTGGATGCTGTGATGCAGGGTTCATTGCTATGTATGCAACTCTTGCAAGCCGAGATGTAGATTGTTGCTTAATTCCAGAATCACCTTTTTATCTGGAAGGTCCTGGTGGACTTTTCGAATACATAGAGAAACGACTCAAAGAAAATGGGCACATGGTTATTGTCATCGCTGAAGGTGCTGGGCAGGAGCTTCTTTCTGAGATCATGCATTCTATGGCCAAAGAGGATGCTTCAGGAAACAAGCTTCTCCAAGATGTTGGCCTATGGATTTCCCAAAAGATCAAGGTCTAGTTTCTGATATGCATATTCTCACCCATCAGAAGTCAGTAAATAAGATTTGCACACAGTTTCATTGATATATCTCTTGTTTTCTGCAGGATCATTTTTCAAAAAGGAACAAAATGACCATAAACCTCAAATATATAGGTTGGTAGACAAACATGCAAAAAAAATTCTTATACATTACACTCTAAACAAAAGTGGGAAGGACTAGTTCTAGATCAATCAAGCCTTGCTCTTCATTGTTTGCAGATCCTACGTATATGATTCGAGCTGTTCCAAGCAATGCCTCTGATAATGTGTACTGCACACTCCTTGCTCAAAGTGCTGTCCATGGAGCAATGGCAGGTTACACAGGATTTACAGTCGGGCCTGTCAATGGGAGACATTCTTATATACCTTTCCATGTGAGTGCCTCAAATGATGCACAAAATTAGTGCATCTTTTGGTTGTTCATAGATATAACATGAAGTAATTGTTGGCTTTGCAGAGAATCATTGAGCAGCAGAACAAGGTTGTGATAACTGACAGAATGTGGGCTCGGCTCCTATCTTCCACAAACCAGCCAAGTTTTTTGAGTGCTAAAGACGTCATTGAGGACAAGAAAGAAGAACTGCCAAGCCAGTTGTCGGATCATCAAAATGGTTTAAAAGACAATTTGGTGAAGAAGGAAATCAGTTATGCCCTGTAATTGAGATTAGTACTATACTGATCTTAAGTTGTTTTATTCAAAAGATAGAGGACGAGAGTCGAACTCTTATTGTAAGTTTTTTTTTTTGGGTTCTGAGTTGGAATGTAGGGATGGAATGTTCCAAACACCTGAGTTTGAAGGCATCACAAATTCAGAAAAATAACACAATTTCCATGTTTCCATAATTTATGTCTAAACATGTGATTATGTGATGGTAAAACGGCCAGTCTTCAATTTTCGTCAATTAGAGGTTTGAATCTTGTATTCTACAAAGAATTATCCTTTCTTCGATAATCATCCAACCAGACTTTCATTATATTGAGCTTCCAGAATTTTTTTAACTATGGTGCTAAATGGCTCAATAGGTAGGTAGGTTGCACAAAACGATTACTACTTTTTTTTAAAAAATTTATTGAATACAAAGTGATAGTTTAAACTACAAGAGTTAGGAGGCTTCTCACACACGCCACAAAAGTGCAATGGGGGTTCGAACCGGAGATCACTAATTTACAAGTTAAAGTCATTTTTTATTGAGCTAGACCCCATTGACGCTATTTTTAATTTTAAGTTCCTTCCTTTTTTCTTTTTTTTTCCTTTTATAAATTTAACATATGCACACACCCAAAATAAAAAATGGATTTTAACATATAACACTACACAACTACACACACATACCCACAAAAATATATTCGAGGAAAAATTTAGTACATATATTGTATCTAGAAAAAGGAACCGGGTAAAACTGGTGCAGACAAACAGATCCTTGAGGCTTGAGCTTCATAAAACTAGACATCTGATCTGAGTCTGAGAAATTGAGTTGTGTTGAGAGGGAAGGATGGGGATCAGATTCATATTGATGGTGAACAAGCAGGGGCAGACTCGTCTTGCCCAATACTACGAATATCTCACTCTCGAAGAAAGGCGAGCTCTTGAAGCTGAGATCGTCCGCAAATGTCTCGCCCGCACCGAGCAACAGGTCTCTGCTTCGTCCTCAGCTTTTGCTTCGTTGATTTCTATGCCTGCTTATCTGTATTTTATAAAAGATTACGAATTTGGCTCCAAATTTAATTATCGGAACCAAAAAAGCTCCGATTTTTTTATAGCTTTGAATCGTGCATTTATGAGATCTCAGTACCCAGGTTGCTAATTTAGATCCAAAACTTAATTGAGTTATTTCTGTTGGCTATATGATATAAGAATTAGAAGTTTTTAAATTTTTACTAGGTGTCTCAGATATCTACTTCCTGAAACTGTGGTTGCATGTAAGGGACATAGGATGTCCTGGTAGAGTCACTTAGATCGAATTTTCAATTCCTTGATAAATTTGATGATTTAAAGTTTAAGAATAGGTGGGTTCTGCCACTGAATTGTTTCTCCGAACACTTGTTACGATACCCATGTTTTGCATTATGATTTATGAAACATGAAATTTTGTAGGAAACCTCATTGGTGACTAACCCTTTTAGAAGATCATATCTTTGGGCCCTGCTGAACTTAAATCATTTGTAAGAGTTCACTACTTGTCTTCCTGCCTCGAAAGAGGTCCTATTAGCAGGTTGCATTGGTTTGTAGGATGGTTACTCATTTTGTTGACTGCTGCATACTAAGGGCAGCGTTTCTTTATGATGCCGGTCTTGTTTAGCACTGGTTATTTCTTTGCTTGCATATCTATGGCATTTAGCTGGGCTCTTTTCCATAAAGATTTATATTTGAGCAGCATAAATATATAAAACTTGATCCTTTTTTCTTTCTGTTCGGTAAACTGAAGTTAGTATATATTTATGTGACAGCTGTTATACATGTTTATATTGCTGATATGTATTGTACATGGAACAGTGTTCATTTGTTGAGCACCGGAACTACAAAATTGTGTACAGGCGCTATGCTTCCTTGTTTTTCCTGGTTGGAGTTGATAATGATGAAGTAAGTTACTCACGGCAAACTTGTTCTCTTGTTGCCTCCAATTCCGTCTTTCTTAATATCTGTTTCCCTCTTCTTGTCATTTGCATTGCAGAATGAGCTTGCAATTTTGGAATTCATACATCTGTTAGTTGAAACCATGGACCGCCATTTTGGCAATGTGGTAAACTCCTCTTCCCAAATTATTGCACGTGTTCCTTTTTGCTTTTGACTTGATTTAACCAGCCATTTTCTTCTTTTTACTGGTCCACAAGAAATTAATTTGTTTCTCTTCAATTGAATTTGCAGTGTGAACTAGACATCATGTTCCATTTGGAGAAAGCGCATTTCATGCTGGAAGAAATGGTCATGAATGGGTGTATTGTCGAGACGAGCAAGTCTAGCATTCTGGCGCCAATACAACTGATGGATAAAATGTCTTGAGAACACGCCAAATTAGATGATAGTTTGCTAAGGGTTTGGGTTGGGTTGTATTGAGTTTGCATGCATTTGTGTTGCCGGTTGTACAATAACTGCAAAGAGGATAAATACCGTACTCTTTCATTGTTATCAAAATTTCGGTTTATTTTGTTGAATAACATATATATAATATGAGGAAAAATACCCTTTCGCTGAAAACGTGCAACACTTTGATCTTATTAATATTATCTCTTAGTAAACACAGCCTAAGTTACCCAACAATACCATCCCCAATTGATGTGTATTTCTATTTATGAACATATCTGCACATAAGACTCACTATATTCCACCAAGGCCTCTCCTTTCTAATCTACAGACAACTTGCAATCATACAGCTGCAGGCTTCCCATCCTTTCTAGGATCGCTTACAGCAGTGAGTGTACCATGAAATGTTTGTTCGTTAGAATTTTGTCCACTTTTTCGGCTCATGTTAACAGGTTTTCGGATGGTTTGGACAATGAGCTGAGTGATGGCTCCCCCTGCCTTAGCCTCCAACTGATGTCCCCGCTTTTGCAAGAAGAGCTTTTTTTCATCCAAAAGCTCGATGTGATCACCGTCTATCACAGTCAAGTTCTCGTAGGAGACTACGTTTGGTATCAGCTGCATGGAATTAAACAAGAATTTCAACTAAACGTACAGAGAGTTCATAAAGTATATCATGCCTATGAATTGAAGCAAGCTATCAACCTTGTGGTAGATCCTTGGACTTTGAACTGCAGCTAAAGGATCCATCCCCAATACAAAGTAATTCAGAAAAACCTGGGTTACTGCTGGAATTATGTTCATACCGCCACTACCGCCAATAACTCCAGCCAACTCATTGTCCTGCAAACACCAAAAGCATTCCCTTTTATTGCCTACTTTAATCTTAGTGAGACACAAAGTATGCAGATGCAGTACTATTTGTACCTTCATTATAATAAGTGGAGTCATGGAGGATAAAGGTCTCTTGTTTGGTTCAATAAAATTTGCCGGAGCAGGAGGGAGACGGTCTGGGGATATCTCCGTCGGAGTTGAGAAGTCATCCATCTCATTGTTGAGCAGAATTCCCGTAGAAGGAGAGAGCACTCCGCCTCCAAAAGGATAGTTTACAGTGCTTGTCATTGAGACGGCATTTCTATCTGCATCTACTATACAGAAATGACTTGTTCCATGATCTCTGAGCTGGCTCCACCTGGTTAATCATGGGATGAAATAACTTCAGACTAATGACTTAGGCAGGAATATTAGCAGTTTATCCAGCAGGTAGAGAAAGCTCTAATTTGAACTACAAAAGAGCAGATCATGCCTTTGCAAATAATACTCTGGAGGGAAGGTTGTGTTGTCAAATATCTTCTGCTGAATTTTCTTTGCAAAAGATGGGGAAAGCATATCAGATGCATATTTACTTGTATCAACGAAAGCAGGGTCCCCCAAGTTCATTCGGACTGCAAACATGTGTTTCAATGCTTCAATCAGACGATGTAAACCAAGATCTCCCTTTGCAGCGTCCGAAGTTCCATAGCTGTCGAAGATGTTCAGAACCTGTTTTACCAAAATGCAGACCAATTCATCAAAATGGCCACAATCATCCAATTTGGAAGGAAGATTCTGCACCTCACGTCTACTGAAGAGCAAAATGGTAAAGAAGAAATAGGAAAGAGAAATTACCCACCAAAGAAAGCCCCAATGTTCCACTTGAAGGAGGTGGCATTCCAAATACAGTGTAGCCCATCACATTAGCAGCCACTGCTTCCACAACACTCACCTTGTAATTCCTTAGATCCTCCATTGTCAAGATCCCGCCAGCCTCTCTCACATCCTTTACTAGTTTTTCACCAACACTGCCATTATAGAAGGCTTGTGGCCCAAGTTCTGCCACTGCCTCTAAGCTACGGCCAAGTTCTACATTGTAGCATATATCACCTGTCTGTAACAACTTCCCATTTGGTGCAAACACTTGCCTTAGGCCAGGGTCACTTAGAATCTTATCTCCTAATCTACTTATATATCCTCCAAGATAAGGAGCAATCACATATCCATCTTTAGCTAGTTTTATGGCAGGTTGAAATAAAGTCTTCCATTCCATACGCCCATGTTGCATCCAAGCTTCATGGAGACCAGCTATCTCACCAGGAACTCCCATTGACAATGCACCTACTAACTTGGCGTTGGGATTGGTCTCGTACATATTCTGTTTGATGACAATTACAGTTTATACACAACATACAGAGTAAAATTAGAATGAATCTTTATCAAGGAAAATGATCAAATTATTAGTCACCCCTGTCATTCAATGGGTCCAATCTAAAAGATTGGTCTGTCTTCGACGCCAACACTTCTGATAGATTGGAGCCATTGACACATGGGTTTCAATCAAAACTAGCATTTCAGCTGAAGGAGAGGATTTTGAAACCTGTGAAGCAGCTATAGGAGCAGTCTCCCTGAAATCAAAAGCTTGGGTTTGGGAGGTTGCTGAAGATCGGACAAGCATGAAACCCCCACCTCCAATCCCACTTGCCATCGAATTAACAACGCCAAGGCACAATGTTGTTGCCACTGCAGCATCAACAGCATGCCCACCCTGTCTAAGTATTGAAGCACCAACCTCAGAACATCTGGCATCATCAGCTGCAACAACTCCCTTCTCTGACTCAACAATATCAGAATCATTGATTTTAAAATTGTTTGCTCCTCTGATCGTTACCCGCCCATTTGTGTGCCCTCCAAATATAAGGCCTACAGCTAGAAAATGAATGAAAAATAGAAAAAGGGTCAGTGAGCATCCAATCCAAAGCATTTAACTTTCAAAAGTATTGTCAATAATTAAAAAGCATTTGACTTTTATTGTCAATGTCTTGGTTTGGCATTCCAGATATAGAAAGCGGGCACTATATTCAAAGCAAAACTTCAGGGGAAAATAATATGTAAACTGATAGTGGAAAGGTATGAAAATTTGATTTAGATTATGAAATTTTTTGCTCTTCAAGTTCAGTTGTGAGATTGGTAATTCGGGTAAGTCCATGGAACTGAGATCGCCCCTAGCAGCTAGGTACTGTCTCTAAAAGCATAGCAGCCAGCACACACATTTTAACCAAAAAGAAAAAGAAGAGGGTTCTTTAAGCATTTTATATAGCTGCTGAAAGAAAATTGGAAGCAAATAGATTGTGAAAAGCAGACCCCCAAAAAAACCTTTGTGAAAAGCCAGAACAGAGAGATCATAAATACAGCTTGTGGTATAAGAAAGTGAGAGAGAAAACAAGAACTGACAGATGATGGCTACAATTGCAAGGAGGAGCCAAAGAGCTCTAGATGTTGTCGACCCATGGCTGTCCAAGAGTGGAGCTGCCAAGCTCTGTTGCCCCATCAGGTGTTTTCACAGAGAGAGAGAGAGAGAGAGAGAGAGAGAGAAGGTTAGGTGTTTTGGTATTGGTAGAGTGGTAGGAAATGTTTTCGTTTTTGTCGTTCATTGATATAAAATAAGCAACAAAAAGATAATTCGAGCACAGAGACCATATTTGATTTGGTACATTGAAATGACGAAGTTGTGTCTTTTGTTTTGTTTTGTTTTGCTTCGTTTATTTTTTCGGCTAAGCCTTTCTTTTTTCACCTATTTGTAATCTGGCTAGCTTTTCAGACCCAATACAGAATTACATTCTCTTCAGTTGGATTCCTTCGCCTGTCAAACCAAGAAAAGTGAAAATTGTTACATTCCATCCGTAACCTGGCCACCCTCCACCACTTAACTGCTGCCATGTCGGCAGCATACTCCAATTGCTGATAAGAGAAAATCTTTTTTCTGGTTCGGAGTACATATATAGTCTAAACTTCAAGGGATTGGGAGTTTCTCACACACTCTACCACGATGTGATGGAAGTTCGAACATGAGACTACTATGACCTTTTCAACTGGGCTAGAACTCATTGGCGAGAAAATTTGGGTTAGAGTTTTTCACTTCTCCTTTGTGAAAGTTTTATTTGTATTGTTATGGCTTAGTTTTTTAAAGCTTTATTTATTTTTGGTTGTTCGACCAAAAAAAAAAATATTTTTGGTTGTTCTGAGTTTGCACTCTTAGTTAGGATGTCTATGCCAAAGTTTATTCGATCATGCATGATCATTAGTAGAAGAGCCTCAGATTATCTTAATTCTTATATTAGATCGTTCCGTTATTGTAATAGCCATTTGTACTAGTTTGTATTAGTCATTTGTGGCTAGTGACTTTTTTAACTGAATTATGAATGCAATCCAAAATTTCTCAAAAAAAACCCCAACTTGAATAATATAGAGTTTATCAAAAATAGCCAAAATTTACCCCTCATTTTCAAAAATGTTAGTTTTTATAAAATCTTTCAAATATAGCCAAAAACTCACCTAAATACACACAAATGCCATTAAAAATTAAAACTCACGTAAACCTAATAAGCAAAACTCTACTACACAAAGTTTGGAATTGCACGCGCATCTGTAACCTTGGTCGAAATACTGGTGAGTGATGTTCTTCTTTTTCTTTTTGCATATTTTAAGCTTATTCGTGCAGTTGCTTCTTTCTTTTAAATGTTTCTTCGTTTCTTTGGCTTGGTAGGAACAAGAAATTGAAATTCATCAATTTTGGTGTGAGTTCTGGGTTTCCTGCAGAGGGCATGAGAGTAATATCTTGCTTTCTTTTATGGGAATTTGAAGCAATTCCAACACTCCATAATTCAACTTACCGATTCATAATACCAAGTATGCTTTTCTTTCTCTCTCTCCTTCCATCTTTGTTTTAATTCTAGAGTTTTCTGTTGGCCAAATTGTGTTTAGCAGCCAAGTACGAAACTATCTATCTTACTAAATAAATAAAGAATTATTGATAAGAAGTTTATGGGGATAAATTCCTAACTCTTCTATTAAACTTGCTTTATTTTATTCCACTTTATTCAACCTTATCATAGCATAAATTCCTAACACTTGAAGTTGAAGTTGGTTGTGTCGATGACTGATGCATGTGGAATCTTATGTGATACTTCCATCATATTGTGCTATGTTAGAAGTCAAAAATCTTGGTCAGATAATTCATATTAAAATTGACAGTAATAATCATTTTATGTATTTTTTCATGTCACTTGGACCTTGCATCAGAGGATTTCGCATTGTTATCAGGCCAGTAATTGCACTTGATGGAACATTTTTAAATGATAAATATCGTGGGACATAGTTTGTTTCCACATGGAAGGACGGAAATAACCAAACATACCATGTTGCATTCGAAGTTGGAGATTCAGAGAATGATGCATCATGGAATTGGTTTTTGACAAAATTACAAGGAACTATTGGGGATCAAACTTATTGGGCCAACGTGGGACTGGACTCAATGAGAAAGGATGAGCACCTATGAGACAATGGTTTTTTTCGGTACCTACGAGTTCACGAATCAATTTTCTTCAAAGTCTCGATCTTTAGTAAGATACCAAGTATATATCAATAATTGGAACTCAAAATATATTGGAACTTTTTAAGTTTATGTGTTTAGGTGAGTTTTTAAAAGAATTTATAAAAGCTGATATTTTTTAAAGTATGGAGTAAATTTTGGTTATTTTTTATAAAAACTCTGAATAATATAGGAATCAATTTTATGATTAATTAGCTTTTTTTTAAAAAATATTGGCTTGGGGCTTTGGGCGGGCGAGAAGACTTTGGGATTTGGAAATAAAGATTCAATTTTGATTTTGATTTACTAGCTGTAGACGACAAGAAAAACCAAGACTTTTTCTAGACACAGAATGAGAAACATCGAGGGGCTCCATGGACGTGAATCATTTTCGCTGTCACATGAGTAGTCTCTCAAGTCGCAAGTCTTATAGCCGACAATGTTGCTTGGTCTTTTTTTAAGTGCATAATTCTTCAATTTCAAATTCAATCAGCAAAAAGCGTCCAACTTCTGAATTCTAATGATGACTGTTCATTTCAACTTCAAATTCAATCTGCCAAAAAAGCGTCCAGGTTCTGAATTCTAATGTCTCTGTTCCTTCTCCAAATTTGACCAAATGTTCGTTCACGCCATTGTTTCGTAATCGAACATGTCATGGAATTTGACTTTGGAGAGTTGATTGGTATTGAGCTAATTTTGGTTCGGTTTCTTTCATAATGTAAGGCACCAACTGCATTATCAAACATAACTATCAAGCAGGCACACGTACTATTACTACCATGCACATGTATTGGAAGGAGAAAAAAGAAACTATGCCGGGTCAAACAATGCCATATGTAAGGGCTTTTTTCTTTTTTCTTTTCTTATATATATATATATATATATATATATATATATATGTAATAAAAAAGGCCACAATCTAAAAGATGACCTGGATCAAGAAAGAAATATATAACTATAGAGGGTGTATATTTACCAAAAGAATTAAACAAAAACTAGGCTCTTCATGTCTGCCAGAACACATCAGGGTCATTGCTGTACAATGAGTGATCCTGAATTTCCTGGTTAGCCACATGGCAATCAATGAGCCGTGATTGGATAATTTTACACAGTGCCAAACCAGAAGGAAGCACCCACCATCCACTTTCATCCCTGCGTTTTGCAAACAAGGATTTTCATTAGCGAGAATTGAAGTTGCTGCAATCACTATTTACAACAGTTGAGGCTACTACATAAAGGAGTTGCTGCCATTAATCTAAAAACTAACATGCTAAAATTCCAGGACTGAAAGTTGGAATGCTTTTTCTGCGAGTGGGTCGTATACTGAATCAATCCACACGTAAAAGCAACAACCTGAAATATTACAAAATGTCAGGAACCGCACCATCAAATATCGAAACAAGGGCATAGCCTGCTTGTATTGTTGTAATAGCCTTTCATGTGACCCTCTTGAATTTTTAAGCCACTGGGTACAGAACAACTTACAACATTGGTCAAGGATGTGATATTCCACAAAGCATATATACGTGCAAGACCTGCTGACCGTCTCGGTCCATGACTAAACAAAGCACTGATTCCAGCTGGGAAGGGGAATAGTAGTCCAAGAGGAAGAATAAATAAGACTAAGAAGAAGTCCAACAGTGAAATAGAATACAGCTGCAGCAAAGTGAGCAAGACTATGCTAAAATCTCCCAACAGAAGAATAGAGATGACCAAACCAACAAGATCCTGTGATAAGGAAAGATACGAACGAGGGAGAGTTAGAATAGCATCTAAGAACAACCAGATTACAGAATGAGGAATGATAAAAGAGGAATGATAAAAGACCAAGTCAGTATATTGTAGGCATGGTCACTACCTGATGGCCAACAGGTTTGCCATTACAAACTATGAAGGAAAAGGGATAACATATAGCTTTCCTCTCTTTAAACATCCTTAAGCTCTTGGTGTGTAAAATCCCTCCAGAGAACCTTTTTTGAGACATCCAATGGTCAATGAGTCTCAATTGTTCAAAAGGGTTTTCCCTATGATTTCTTGGCGTACTGCAAATCAGGTCAAAGAAACATAAGCCTTAAGGTATATAACTTGCTAGAAAAATAATCAGGAGGAGAATGTTACCGTGACTGATGCTCTGGCGGCAATGATGCATCTTGACCATCCAGCGCTGGTGGCATACTTTCATTGTCAATAGCATATACCAAAAGTCCAAACTGGCAATATCCAGATGCGGTAGGCTGAAACCAGGCAAGATCTACATGTATTCCATATGCACTAAGAGCAGGGTTTGCATGTGTTTCAAGCCAGCTGATAACATGACCCAAAGTTAATTTTAAGTGTCCACGCCGAACCAAACGCAGTTGAGCGTTTAGACCAGCTACAAGCCGATACCAGATTGTAGGTGGAATACACTGAAGAAAAAAAAAATCAAATATAACGATCAGAACTTAATTTTATATATATAATCAGCAGTAGGATATAACTGAACTTCACATAAAACACATCCCTAAACAAAGATCGGTAGTAAACCTGACTCATAAGGCTAGTAAGAATGTTATCACTGTGAAGAGAGAAAGGAGCCATGTAACTTCCATTTCCTCCAAAAATTATAGACATCGGAAATCTCTGATGAAGACGGGGAGGAAGACCAGCTCTTTTCTCATCTCCACCCAGGAAAAAGTCCACATATGCAAGCATTAGATCAGAAGTTGCAGCTACCTGCAGGAAAAAAACATTAAACGTGATGGTAAAACTGTTTATTCAGCCATAATTTCAAAACAACTCTTCAACAGACGTAACAAATGAAAATCAGCACAACTGCACTGCAATGACACGAGATTAACAGTAGATCATTCATATGTATTCAGTAAAATTCATATATAGATATCTAGCTAACAATACAAGCTGACAGTATTTCTGTTCCAGGTGCTTAAGATCCTAAAACCTCATAGTCCAAAGAAAATTATGTAGAGAAGCATAAGGAAACACTAGACAGTTAGGATGCCTTTAGAAATACCTTAAGCCCTTCATACAGTGCACGTGAACGACAAGAACGCAAGCAAGAATGATCATATTCTGACCGAACATATTCACGAAGTTGTTGTAACTTCTTTTTCCGTCGACTCTGTAACCATGACCATGCAAGTGGATAGGCAAAAACAGAAAGAATGCTGTAGATTGATCCTTCCCACCACTGATAAGCAGCTAAACCATTAATCTCATCCACAAATCTATTGAATGCATCCTCATATCTGCCATGTAATGAAATACTTAAAACACTTGCAGAAGTTTACCCAACTTGAGTTAATAAGAAACTATGAACAAAATTATCAAACCCAAGGCATCAAGCATCAATATAGAAATATATACATAACTAAACAAAGGCATGTCGTGTCACCATTAATTTGCAGTGAGCATCCAACCACCAAAATCATAATACACCAAATGGAGAAAGAGAGCTTACACAATCTCTGTTACTTGTTCTGGAGGGGAATGAGGTAGATGCCAAGGTTCACCGAATGTATTTGGCCCCATGAAATACATCCTATGTACATGACTCTGAGATTCCTCGTTTCTATTTGTTTCCAAAACCTAAATGACAACAGGATTGTCACATCTAACACGATGGAAGATTACAGGGCACTCCAATTTGGTTTTTAAATGACAATTATGCCAGTAATAAAAACAGCAGTAAGTAGCCAAAGTCAGAAATTAGAGGCAAACCTCATTTAACGATTCCAGGAAAGGGAAGGAATGATCTAAACGTGACCCCTGTCGAGCAGGTAAAGGAGCTGGTACTTCATCTGCAGTAACATATTTTGTTCGTGCAACACTAAGCACAAGAGCTAAAAGGATGAGGAGACCTAACAGAATAAGACTGAACAACCATGGTCCACCAAAAGTGTAAACCAATTCTTCAAGTGCTGTATAACATTTTGGCATGTGATATCTGTCAGAAATGCACTTGTATGGACAAGGAGTTTCACTAACACCACCTGATAAAATTCAAATGAAGTCAGAGAGTTGATTTACCCAAAGAGAAACATAATCACACTAATATTGTAACACCACTCTCAACAACAAAGATCCACAACATGCAGCCAGTCAATCCAATTTCCAGGTCTTCACAAGTCAAATAATGACAAACTTTTTAAAATAAAGCATATTGAAAAACATAGCAAAACTGCTGCACAAATAAATAAGTAGCCAAAGTAAAATTTAGGGATACCTCGAACAGTAACATATATAGCACGATGTGGAAGCTCGAGAGACGGGCAAGCATGACAAAGGGCTCTATCAGAGCCACTGACATTCTTAAAAGTGCCCACAGGGCATTCCTGCAGTACAATTTGCTCAAATTGTAAACATAAACATGATATTTAGGAGAAATAAAGCAACCCATCGAAAGCATATTAAAGCCCACAATCACAGACGCAAATATGCATACAAATACAATATGAACCAATATCTTCTTATCACATGGATACAGAGTCTAGGAATCAAATGATTAAAGATCCAACTGAACAATTAAACAATGCAAAATTGACATCAACGATCATGTTTCAAATGCGCCTACAACGACAACAAGAAGATAATTTATTCAACATAATGTTTCTTAGCTCTATGCTAGATATAATACCATGAACGCATCCATATTACATCTTAAAAGCAATTCAAAACATCATGCAAATATAAATTGCGAAGCTACCTCACAAAAGATACCATAAAGCCCTCTAGGACAGGCCTTTCCAGTAATACTCCCATTTTGCCCAGCAAGACCATGACCTCTACCGAAACCTCCCCTGCGCCAAGGAGAAGGAAAGAGGGTTAATAGACTGTTTATAATCAGAAATCTAATTATTGAATAGAAACTAAACCGGCGACATATATATGTCAAAATGAAAATTGTGAAAAGCAGTATCTATTTCAGAATACGAACCCAGTAACAATGCTTCCTCTCACTCTTGCTATGGGTAGATATGCATCACCAACTGGTATATCCGACCAATGAAAGTGAATCCTTCCACCACCACCTCCACCACCACCACTAGGACTACCATGTCCACCAACAGTTGAGATTGTAGATGAATTACCAAGTGCCAATGTTTGAACAAACAAAAGAATAGTTCCACCAGATCCACCACCAGGACCTATATTTGAAAAGGTCCTACTATATTGCTCCAAAAAATCTTCTCCAAAGCTTTCTCCGTCAGCTCTAAGAGAACCATCAAGAGACAAACTTGACAGCGAGCGCTCCAATGAACCCATTACTGTTCGGGAACAGACAAACAACACAATAACTATCCATCACAAAAAGAAAATCAAGAGAAACGAAATTGAATTTAACAGTTAAGATATGTTTAACCCATTGAATTGTCAACGTATTTCAAAAATTTCTCCACAACTTTCATATACATTTACTTATATTTCTTACCGATAATACCACCACCTGCAGTTGCACCAGCTAGGCTATCATTTCCACTGCCACTACCAAGTTCACAAGGTAAATCAGCATCTCCATAGGAAACACCACCTTCAATAAAATTTCCGTCGTAATACCCATCCCCACCTTTGCCACCATGGCCCCCACCACCACCAAGCCCATTTACAAAAAACTTTCCTCTACCCATCCCACCAGTGCAACCTACACATTGAAATAGAGATTCCTTAAATCTTAAAATGCATTGTTTAGGCAATCATTTATTTCTACTTCCAATCCAAATTGTTAAAAAATAACGCAAAAACGCATACCTAGCCCAGATGCACTAATTACCCCAGAAGAGTGGACCGCTACAGCTCTAACCCAGTGAAAATGAATAACAGATCCAGATACAATGCCTTCAACAATAACATCTTCAACACGACAGATCTGGAGTAGTAAGCCAAGCCAAAAATATATCAGAAAAACAAGGTGGAATCTATTCAACCATAATAAAAGTTTGGCAAATTGACCAAGATAAGTACTTAGTTCTCAATCTGGATCAATGGGAGACCTGAAGAGTGAAGGTCAATGTAGAGTTCATGTTACAATCTTCGGGCGGATGAAGTAATTCCATGGGGCAGTTTGGAAGTTCACAGTTGAGTTGAGGTTTCCTACCAGGCCCAAAATGAAAATCAACTCCAAAAATAAATAAAAATTACAACAAAATAAAATGGCACCACTGAGAACTATGAATTTAAAACTTACGTCAAATTACTACTGCCACTGTCCAGAGGCCCTCGCAGTAAAGATCCAGGTCCAACCTTCATATTACAAACAGAAGATTCAGTATGTACATGGCAATGCAACAAGATAATATGTGATCAGTGGCACAAATCATATAGTACATTTCAGAATTACACAGCATGACAAGTAACAACATCAGACCAAGTGGATAAGATTTTTTTATTTTTTATTTTTTTTTCTCATATATATGCTCATTGGATTTGGTTATTATGTCAAAAATGAAATTAACAAACCAATGAAAGTTCCAAATTCAAATAACAGAAGACTGATGCCAAAATCATTGTTCCTCAGATGCCAACAATTCTATGTATATGATGGTGGAACTTTAGAGAGACAAACTGAACACTTTGCATCATAATCCTGAAACTCGTAAAACATGGATTTAAAAAATGGTGAATTCTTAAAAACTACACAATAAATACACAGCTTACATTGATACTGAAAAACAGAGACAGAACGAGGTGTTGTGCTTCAATCAGATCTCCTGGCCCAGACAAATTCAAGAAACCTTGTCCATGAACTCCCAAATTTGCATTAGAATGTATCACAGATGACCCCTGACAACCAATTATGGAAGCATGACTTGATACTGTAGACAACATAATATTATATTACTTGTTATTTTAGGTGTAAAATTAAGGCTCAAGTTTCAACATACCCTGAGAACCACTAAATTGCTTGCCTCAAGCAAGGATGTTGCCACAAGTGCATCAGCGCCACCATCTATAAGCATTTTAGAATTCCACATCAAGTGCATTTTGACAGACATTCGAAGAGCCCCAAATATCTGAATTTATTAGGAAAAGAAAGTAGACACTCAAATGTTAAAGTCTTACAAGGTATGAGATGTGCATGCCTTTATCTATTTTTGCATGTTACCCTTCCCACTCCCACCCCCAATTTATTTGTGCCTAGCTGGTCAGGTATGCAAGAAACATGAAATTCTAGAAAAAAGTAAGAATAGAAAGAAAGAAAAATGGCAAATCTGCCACTTGCCTTGACAACAGAATCACTCATCAGAAGCTCTTCTGCCATTAACTCAAACTCTGATGAAGCATAATGTGCAAGACCAAAACTCAAAACTGCACCACATGTTAAACGAATTTGACCTCGAACCTGTACAATGCATTACAATTTCAACATAATTCAAACTTTATAACGCATGTTTTTTATTTTGAATATCAACATTAAGACAAGAAGAACCCCTTCAGCACAAAGCAATAAATGTTAGTTCTTCAATTACCTGAACACGGCTCCAATACAAAGGAACCAAAGTCTTGGCCTGATTTTTGATATCAACATTGGTCCAAAGTGGCTGTTTAGGAAACTCTAACAGAAGCGTGTCAGTCTGTGTGGACAAGTTGTGATTACTGACAATAAGTTTCCGAGGTACAGCATCATAATATGTCCCTGCAGCGCCTGCATTTTCAGGACAGCCTAAACTCCTTCCCCCTGCCAGAAGAAGCAGAACATCACTAATATACCAGAATTAATGTACAAAATCAAAGGAGTTCCAATGGTTCTTTCAAAAGCAAGTTCTTTCTCTACAGATTACAAAAGATAAACTTAAACAACTTCTTTTATATACAAAAATATATTACAAAGAATAATATTTGACTTACCATGAGCGAAGATATCTGTATCATCACGCCTGCTGAAAACTTTGATGGAAACTCTGCCACCTCCTCCTCCAGCGAATCCATTACCCCCCACTGCACTTATCCTGCCACTTCCAGTCCTGCTCTCCACAGAAAAATAATTGTAGGTATGCAATGGAAGAACAACACAAGCTGATAGCATCTAAATTCATGATTGAGCATTAATAGGCATAAGTATTAGTCCTTTTCAAAAAAATAAATAGGCATGAGTATTAGTGAGTCATTGTTTCCAGTTAAACAAGCAACAGCTAAAGAACTTACATTCTATAAGCTTTGATAAATATGCTGCCTCCAGACCCTCCTCCACCCTTAATCCCACCATCACCACCATCAGCCAAAACACTCCCACCAACATCAATTGAACTTCTGGCCTCCAACCAAATCCTCCCACCTCCTTCCCCACCATCCTTCTCATCCTTACTAGTCGTGCCACCCTTACTCCCATAACTCACGGGCTCATCCAACGATGACCACGCATATGGATCCCCACCCCAAACATCGGAAGGGAGCTTCGTATTATCGGTCACACAACTAGCACCCCTCCCACCATGCCCTCCACCAGAGCCCTGCACACCCTCTGGGGTGCCACTAGTCTGCGGCGGGGGTGCACCAGCCAATGCCGTAACGTTTATCACTGACCCTATTGACAAGTTTGCATTTGAAGCATTAACCGAAACTAAACCTGCAATAATCATTGAATTGCTACCTAAACTAAATTCTCCACTAATATTAACCACAAATGAGCAACCCAATAGTGGGCAGCTCAAATTAACACCAGGGTGTATATATAAGCTCCCATTGCCTTCTATAAACACATCATCTTCAAGAATCAAGCTTGAGTTGAGCTCACAAATGGTGTCCAGAGACCCAATTCCATTGAGACCCCCCTGACACGAGAGCGGTGGAGGGTGAGGTGGCGGCGGACTCGAAGGTGGCGAAGGAGGCGTGTAGTCTCCCTGAAACTGATCGAAACCGAAGCCGAGAACCGAGAATTCATCGTCTAAATCAGTGCAGAGACTAGGGTTTATGGTGAAACTGGCCAATAGGTTGAAAATGAAAAGGTGGAGAAGAAACGGGGGATTAGCAGCCATCTTGAAGAGGCAAAACTCATCACAGATATAAAACCCTAGTTAGATATTGGTTGCAGAATCGTAATGGGTCAACACAAAACCCAAATTCTGGGTTTTGGGGACATGGATTTGGGGATTTGAGAGTTTTGAGTATTGAATTGAGTGAGATTCTGGATCAAAGACTGGAACTTAGAGTGAGAAATTGGGAGGATAAATTAGGCAAATACGTAAAAGCCAGACCTTTTTTAAGAAATAAGAATTTCATGAAAATGGTAAGCAATCTAATAAGAAATTAGCGCGTATTGGTGTTGCTTTGTGATTGAGACAGAGAAGAAGACGAAGAGCTGATGCCTGGTGGAAGCAGAACAGAACCGACGCAGCATACGTGTGCGTGGCACGTGCAACCTTCTTTGTTAAGGTATTTCAGACTTTTGAGTTTCAGATAAGCTTCTTCTTCTTCAATTCAACATTCCAATCCAACTTTCCCATCTGCGAAAAAAGAGAAAAATAAATTAAGCGCAACAGAGTCTTTTGCTACAATTAACAAAAGCGCTGTAGATTGTCACTGATTTCTGATGCGTAACGTAATCATTAACAGAGATTAGGTTAGATTAGGTTAGATTTAACACTAATTATATATTATTTCGATTCTAATCTCATTTAGTCGTTTTATACTAATGCAAGGTATGCGTCACCTGGTTTTTTTTTTGTTTTTTTTTGGGTGGATGAATTTTTTTTTTTTTTTTTTTTTTTTTTTTTTTTTTTTTGGGGTGGGTGGATTATTGAGAATTGGACTAATAAACCAAAACAACTAATACGATAAATAATAGTTGTTATTATTATTATTATATGTCAAATCAAAGTCTAGAAGAGAACCACCTTTTTTTTGTTTCTTTGCGATATAGTATCTTATCAAAAGCTGCCACCTTTAACTATAAAATACTGTGCAACGCATCCCCTTAGGTTCATCAAAGAGATTATTAACTGTTTGATTATGATTAATGAACAGTTACTGATAGTTACTTTCAACTTTTAACGCTTCACTATGGTGTTTGTTTAGGATCTGTCATAAAGGGAGAAACTTCTTTTTTTGGGACGAAATAAAGGGAGAAACTTTGAACATACGGCTCATAGAGTCTGGTAATTAGAATGAATACAATCTAAATCCCTTAACGAGGATTTGGTTGGATAATAAGAATGTACAACTTGGTTCTTTCTATACTTTTCTTTCTCAACTGTGTTTTGTTTGTACATTCGTTGTTGCGTACAGCTCTCAATCTAATTTGCAAACAGTGGAAAAATTAAAATATAATTAGTCCTTAGTCATGGAACTCGTAATGAGCTGACCAATTTGTCTGTAATGAACTGGGGTAGTGCTGTTCAAAAATAATAAATCAGCAGCAGCAATCTGTTTGGTCATCATCCAGCTGTACAGTTGATTGATATAAAGTTGATTTATTTTAACTCCCAGCTTCAGGGAAGTCGATTGATTTTAACTTGGAAATGGAAATCTAAAGTTGGATTTCATGTGGATGAATTTTGATCTTTATGAGTGAGAACGGAACTTACGGAAATTATGAAAGGAGAAGGATGCAGAAATACACTCTCTTTATTCGTTCATGAATTTTGGTGTGCGCAGCAGCACAAGAACACATTTCTTAAAACATGTAAATAAATAAAAAATACAACTCATCAAAAAGTAGCTGGAGGGAGCAGAGCGCCTCTTCTTTAACCAACAGTTTGTACATCACTGAACAAATGAAGTCTTGATGAAGCAGAGCATATAAAGGTGCACTTCTCCTTAATACACATATTGATCATGTTGAAAACTCTCATGGCTCACCATCTCAGCTTTGCTGGGAAATACTGCAATAAAATTCACATCCAATTAGAATATGATCGGCTGGAGAAGGATCAAAATCCCCTACTGAGGAACTGCACAGCAGCACTCACCTTCTCAATGAGGGATAAATAATATGGCTTCACTTTTTCGACATTGACTCGTACTTTGCTCTTGCTGTAGAGGTCATATTTGCTGCATAAGATTACATAAAATAAAAGCACAAACATGGTCAGTTTGAATTAGAATGATGAGATGGGATATATAAACAAATGAATTGATTTGGAAATGGAGCTTACTTGAACACTTGAAGCCACTTTAGATTCTCTTCATCCTCCTTGTTCATAAGGTGTCTATAAGCCCCTGCCCTATGTAAAGCTGCAAGATGATAAATGGGAAATTTTCAACATTGGTTTCCTTGGACAGAATATTGTCAAGTGCAGTTTGCATAGTTGGAAGGCGATTTTCATGATGGTACTTACGATAAAACGAGTGATACCGGATGATGAACAATCCAGCCTGAGGCAAAGTTGTTCCATTTTCCTTAGCCACCTGCAGATTTGAACATACCAGTTAACAAAATCAGAGTTATGCTGATAGTAATGTTTGAAAATCGTACGGAGCGAAAGACGTACCAAGTACATGTAGTCATCATGACCCCAAGATATCATGACATTGTCCAGTCCACATCCTTCTGAGTAAATCCCATATTTAGTGTTAAAGGAAGCATTGTTGTAGTCCGGATTTTCCTTGAAATACTGCAGAAGCAAATAAATTTGGTGTAACTTGATTGATTATAGTCACATTTAAGATGTCCTCAGTTCAAGTAAATTTTGAAGAGGAAATTTACCTTGTGGTGAACAATGGATTCATCAAAAGCGCACCCAAGAGGATGTGTGTCTCCTGCAACAAAATAATTGAGTAACTTTTTTCAATTGAAATAGCTCAAAAAGGGAAAAGGGTAAAATCATATATATCAATCAACAGTGAAACTGCAAAGCTCACCAACAACAGCCCATTGAGGAAGTTCTCCAAAGCTAGGAAGAAGAAGCACTTTTCCAAGATCTGAAAACCCATGCAAGATTAAGTTAAATATGCTGCTGTGGATCTCTATCCAAAACATATCAGAACCAAGGAGTTTTAATTGGGCATTTACCATGAATAAGGGCAGTCAAATGCAACCAATCTTCATTAGGATAGTCTTTTCTGATGGCTTCAGCTGTTTGCAACAAATGCTCAATTTGGGGTTCATCCAAGTCAGGGTCACTGTCATCCACAACCTCATTGAGGAGCTCACAACATTCCCATATGCTCATTTCCACTCTGTTCAACTTGCTATACTCCTCCCTCATCTTCTTCACGAAATCGAATGTTTGATTGATGTGGTTCGACTTGTAGAATTCCTCCACAGATTTCTGCCTCTCACTTTCTGCATTGTAATCCCTGCATAGCATTTGTGCATAAAAATCAGGTCAGGCTCCAATGCTTCACAACAAGAAACCAAACCCTTGATGCAACATAAGAATGTGAACAAACTGAAAATATATATAGAGACCTGAATGACTGGCCAAATGAGTTAATTTCAGGGGCAATGAAGGCATCATTTGATGCTGCAATTTTTTGTGTCACACATCCGTCATTTTTGGAGATGTCTTTGGGCACCACAAACCCACCATCCAAAACCAGTTCACAGGTTTCATTGGTTTCAGAACAAAGCTTCTTCTCCTCCATTTGTGACCCTGCTAAAACAGGAAGAGAAGATCAAGATCAGAATCAATTAATTCTGCATCAGAACTGGAACCTAAAACTCAATGCAGAAGAGTTTAAAACAAAGAACAGAGGAAAAGGCTAGAAGGGTACCAAGCTGATGATCGGGCTGCTCAATGAGGATAGTCATTTTTGCCTCCAAAACTCAATCAATTAAAATATGACTGAAAGCAAACAAAAAGCACCAGAAACAGAGAAAAACATCAATCAGGCTGCTCAATGAGGCTGTGGCACAACATGTTGCCAAAGAGGGTTCTTATAGTCACATAAACTGTCCTTGCATGAAAATTTTGAAAGCATGGAAGTCCTCAACTGAAAAAACCATCAAGCTTCCAAACCATTATTTTATCCAACAAAATCTTACAAAAAGTCCTTGCATCAAAATTTTGGAAATGTACGAGTCCTCAACTGAAAATTTATATATTTTCCAAACCATTTTATCCAACTGGCCCCATTGAAACGTTCAAAAAATACAGTTGGACTTGGAAGGAAAATGATTAGGCTCTCTCTCTCTCTCTCTCTCTCTCTCTCTCTCTTCCCGCCCACATTTGGGAAATAAGATGATTAAAATTGAAATTAAAAAAGCACGACTAAGAGTCAGCTATTACGTGGATATCATATCTAAAACTCTTGCTTGGACCTACTGACATGGAATCTAGTCATGACCGAGTACTGTATAGTACTGTTTTTTTCTTTTTCTCTGGTGTGAGATCAATGGCTTAGCTGTGACCCTCTAAATAAAACGTTGACTAATATGGTACTAATAATCAGAATCAACGGTGAATATTTAATATTACACGCCGACATCAACTTGCTAAGTTTTTTTACTTATTTTCTGGCTGAGAACATCTACCTGCAAGTTGCATTGTGTTCTTGTTGTAATGAAAAATATAGTATACTTAATAATGCAGAGGTCGGCTGTATTCTGAGAGGATATGCCAATGCCATGGTAGATATATTTCCTGCTATAGATTTATACCATTGCCGGCTGCAGGTTAAGTTGCTAAACTACGAATCTGAACAACTAATGTGTGGTTAATGTGACAGCTTAACGACATGAGAATTTGTCTCGTAATAAAAGTTTGATAAGAGACTATTACTCGACAAATTATATATTATAATTTTGGCTTCGTTAAACAAAATTCAAAAAAAAAAGTAGAATTACAAGAACAGCTCACGTCTTTACACTGAAAGAGAAGTTAACGGGAGGTAAACTGAATACATGAAACTTGATAGATGCATGCTCACAGAAGATGTATGTTAATTGATTGATAGTAAGTAAATTGAGCACGTTTTCGTTGTTCAAAAAAGCAGAATATTTTGTGTCGGGGGAAATATAAGAAAACGTGTTTGTTGAGGTCTTCAATCAGTGCATATTTATACCGTACACTTGTCATGGTTCTATATCTGTAATGCCAAGAAATTGAAAGTAAAGATCTTCCATAGCTACCCTACCAGGTGTCCGTTCCCTTTGAAACCATATTCGGTGCTCTTTAACGTAGTTTAGAGTAATTTAGCGTATCGCTTTGAATCATATCAAATTTCCTTGTAAATATGTTTGGTGATTGAGATTGGATTGGATTGTGCAGTAGAATTGAATTACATTAGACTGGAAATGATAACACTAATCCAATGATATGTTCGGTATTACACATAATTAATGGGTTGGATTGATTGAAATGTTCTATTACATGGCTTAGTAGGATTAGACATAATCCAATCCAATTTAATCCTAACCTTTTGGTAGGATTCATAATCTTACTATATTTGGCCCCAATAGGATTAGACATAATCAAATTCATGTTATTTTTAGGTCACCTGACATTTTGACTAGGATTATGAATCCTATCCAATTCACTGGACGGGCAGTACATGTGTGTCTGCATATATCATATCATGATAGACTCAAATTAAGTGCATTGCATCATATCTAAACTCATCTAGTGAAACACATGTTACACAGCAACAAGTTATATTAGGTGAAATGTTCTCATATAGATTTTGCCTTTATTTCTCGTGACAAAACACAATTGGTTACTTTAATAGATCAATCTTCTCAGAAATTCTATGGGGCCCAAAATTTGTACGCCCAAAATTTGTACGCCTTTCTTCGAAGATCAACATGACCTCTTCACAAACAAATCTTACCAAATAATAGAGACCACTGCCAGGTGACCCACCACAAAGCCTTTTCTTGTTTCTCGGTTAGCAAGATTTCAGACCAAAAATTTATGATGGAAACAGAGTCCATGGGCAGATGTAAGTTCCAAAGGTTCTATGGACAATTATTGTTTACCACAAAATGCTTAACTCTGACATTACAATTTTTGAACATTTGATGAATACCAAAAAATAGTCAACTAATCAATTAAAGCAGAGTGGAGAAAATATGTTGTAGTCTCCATTTGCAAGAGGGTTATAACTCAACTCAAGTGATTAAAAGGAATTAATACTGTATTCGGGATTGTGTGTTCGAATCCCTCTTATCTGTTATCGCTTATGTAAAAAATAACATTTGAAGGCTGTGAATTTGAAGGTGATATAATTCATGTCAAATTCCAATCCTGCTTTTCCATTCTGCATATCCACTCAGGAAATACAATGGCTAATGTTTTCCACTTACCATACCATGATAAACTAGACAACAATTTCTTTTTGTTTCTCGGAAGCCAAGCCACACATGGAAAGCATGAAAATCATGAAAAATCATGACTCATGAGACTTTACCGACACCAGTAAACTAAAAAGAAAATTGCTCCCCCCAAAGAGTTCTGCAAAAACACTCCCCGAAGAACGAAATTAAACTGCAAAAGCCAATAATGCCCTTGCTGTTTTTGTCATCTAGTACGGCAGAAAAGACATTGTCAATTTTACATTATTCACGAATTGACCCCAAATCCTGTTGTCTTATTCGAAAGTATCGGGAAATTTGCAGTTGAGGACATATTTAAATGCTGCCACTTTACGCGGTACACGGCGCAAAAGTGGGCAGCCGACTGATTTTTCTGCTGAAAAAATTACCGGATCAATGGGCCAACAAATGCGTAACACTAAAACTGGGCCTGGCCAGACCAAGAAAAAGACTTTGGGCCTAGCTAGTTCAGCCTAGCAGTTCTTTTATTTTTCGATCAACATGCCAAATTTTATTTTAACAACCCAAATTAAGAGGAAGAAGGATTCGAACTCGAGTGTGAGAGGTAAACATACTCAAGTTAATTGGCCTAGCCCACACATGCAATAGACTAACAAATTAAATTTGGTTGCTTCTGATAAACATAGTGGACAAATATGTTTCATGAACTCGACCAAAAATAAATAAAAAATTCATTATCAATGGGAAAAGTGAATCAAAAAATGAGATATTGTTCAATATTGAAAAGAGAAATATCATTAAATTAAGAGTTAATCACACTAATTGTAGATTACGATAATTGTAATCCAAAACCTACAATCTTACATTTTTGGACCAAAAAATACATATTTGTTTGGCCAATTTGGTTAGACAAAGATAAACATCGAATCTAGTTCAGGTAAGATTGTATCCACTTTACAGTTCCAATCTTTAAAAAGAATGCAACTTAAAAAAGATGGATGATTTGTTTAATCTTCATTCCTAAGATTATATATGTTTTGTGAACAATGATTATATGCAAACAATGTACATAAAATAACAAACAACTTGCTTAGGAACCTTATCCAAGCTAATCTATTTGCAAAAATTGTGGGCTGCTGTTCTATTATTTTTTAATCTGCCTTTGAGAGTTGGCCTAACCTTCAATTCAATCGCTTAGTTTACAAGACCCTAATAATGGATTACAGGCATTTTACTATAAGAGGAGCATACAAATTGATGTATTGGGATAATTTTGTTTGGTTACTAAATAATAGGGAGCATCAAACTTGGACATTTCTGTCAAATTTTGTGTTTGGGATAATACTTTTTGTTATTTTTGGCCAATGACACGTAAGTTTTCTGCTTATATATGGCATACTAAACACGACATGGTGCATTTAATATGGCGAGATTTGTTTGTATACCTGTAAAATGTACATTTAACAATTATCATATTTAACACTCATTTGTATGTACACGTAAATGTACACGTAAACAACTATCGTTAGCATTCACATCAATAATCTTTAACTATTGAAAGAACATAATTGCATCAAATGCTTATATTTGAATTGATTTCTTGTGCACTCAAAGACTGTTCTATATAATGTTTCTTCTTAAAAGTTGATGGGACAAATTATACTTAATTCCTTTCGTGATTAACACTTCAGATTCTCATATTGGCCGGAAATAAAGTCATTTATTCTTACATCGATCAACCCAAGATAAAGTCATCCGTGGTTTCGTAAAAATAAAAAGAAGTCATCTGTAGATATTATATATTATTCAGTTGTCCCTTTCCTTGATAATTACAGACGAAAAGAAACCCGCAGTAAGCACAAAAACTTCTACCCCAGAAGAAAATATATACATTTTATATATGATACATGGCGCAGATATTATCATAGTAACAGTGACATCTGATGGTGGGGCAATTAATCTTATCTATATCACTCTCAATGTGACTGATACCGTCACTTCTATATACATTTTTTGTATTTATCATTCTTTAAAATTTATTTCCATGTCCCTAAATTCACAGCAACATCCCACATTTAGGCCTCCGAATCCTCCAACTCCACCTCCACCACAAACAAATATCAGAAGGCACAATGATTAACCTTCAAGAACAAATTTAATTTCAGTGGATGTTTCTCCGTAATTGTAATAGCCCTTATAGCTAGTTTGTATTGACTATTTATGAATGGAATTCCGAAATTTCTCAACATAAAAAACCCCGCGTTGTTCAGATAAATATTGATTTTTTTGCCTCTTAACCTCATATAATTGTTGCTTGTGTTGTAAAATAATTGTGTGCATGCAAGATGTACTTGGCCCACAATGCCTTGGATTGGATCGATCATTGAGGCCTGAGAACTTTATAGTCCCATTGACACGACAAGAAATTGAAGTCGTGCCCAACATTTTCTAAGGCAGCAGAAAAGTTGTGCACGAAGTAAAATTAGGCCATTAATCGATAAAATTGAACAAGGATAGAATCTCATGCTAAAGGTGTT